TCCCAACCTCCACGCTGGAAACACTTCGGATTTCACAGTAGATCCAAGTGCATGGGAAGAAAAATAAGGAGAGAGTGACAAGTAAGGCTGGTCACATGACTGTTTACGCGGGAAAAGGGAGGTAACTCGTTGGTGAGTGTATTTTTACGTCCGCTTCGGGAACTTCAAAGGATTCAAGTGTTCCACTACCATTCGCATAGGAAATGGAGATAAGCAAAATAAAATATCAATTTTACTTTGAAAAATTACATTATTATATGAGTGCCTATGTGCACGACACGAGTGCTCAAATGTTGGTATTTCCCCAGTGAGAGTGAGGGATATACCGATATTTAGGCACGAGTGTCGTAAACATAATATGATATGGGCACGAATATCATATTCTGTTTATTACCGAAGTCATCAAATTGAGGAAAACCCGCCATCTCCGTATTTCAAACATCGTATGTAGAACGCAAAGTCATAGAAGAAACGTGATGTCATAGCATTGTTCATGATGTCACCTCACCATGACAAAGTGATATTTTGCCCTAGGGGATCGTATGAAAAATATGAACCCCGATATTTTCGCCCTCGTAGGTAATAAAAAGTGCTTGTCAATGCACACCATAGTTATAATGGTATCATCTCATTTCTTATTCGTTGAAAAGTATACTGAATTAAACACACAAAACAGTGTTGACATCAGATTCACACTCTTGTTTATAATAATGTAATCTCATTTTTTTATATTCATATTGCTTTATTGATATATATAACCTAATTGACTTTCCTTCTTCACAATGGTGGCTTGTCGTTTTGCAATATCAGTAATTTCGACTTGGTATTATTTCTTTTGGCCCTTAGTTTATATTGTCAGGAACTGATATTGACATCATCATCGCAGTCAATCACAACTTTTCAATAAAAAACACTTTCTTAGACAGTCACCATTACTGACTGAATGTACAACTTTAAGTAAGTCGCCTATTGTTGTTTATGTTTCATGTGTGTTTGTGACATTCGATGTGTCACGTATGCCTCGCTGATTGGATGGCAGGTTGGTGATGTATGCAAATTTCCCCGTTAACCAATCACATGAAGCAATACGTCAAAGGTCATGAGGTCATTCATAAATTATTTTGCTTACCTCATTACAACGGGAACCAATCACAATCAAGGTTACATTCAAGGCTACAATATCCACTCAACATGGTTTAGTTCTGTTTTAGATCCAGTTATGTTAATAATGAATAAGTCTTTCTATGTGGCATGTTGAACCTGATAATGTTGGATAAGGTATGGGGAAACTGGGTGGTTCTTCTGTTCAGATTCTATTTGAGGCGGATTTCTGTGTTCCTGAGTCTTTACATGTAAACAATTAGCTACTTGGCGTACTTGCAACCTTATAATGTTACACCTCACATGCTTAGTTGCCGACAGTTGATATCTTGTGAGTTTTCAATGAAAGTTTTGTCCACAATCTCAAACATAAGACAACAACCTCACTGTAAATAAAATAGTAACAAACACATTTAATTAATTCTTCATTTATTAGTCACATGATCAAAGCAGGTCCGGGTAACGTGACGGGTACCCGGGTCCAACTCTTTACCCACCCGTCCTGGGAATCTGAGTTACCTGTCCCAGCCCTAAAATCATGTATCCATACACCCTGAAATACTTGACATGATACAGAGTGTATCATGATTCTCATTTTGTGCCATTTTGTATGAAATTCTCATTATGCCATTTTGAGATGAGGAACACTTTTTATGGATAGACAATGTCTTTATTGCACTAGATGAAACGTTTCGGTGTAGATGCTATTAAGCAAGTCACTTGTTTGCATTTATTTTTTTCTAACTAAAATCTTCTTTGCTGCATCTAAAAAGAGAGTCGTCTTCATCATAATGGCGACCGCCTCTGTGGTGTAGTGGTTAGAGCGTCCGCCTGAGAGTCGTCTTCATCATAAAGGCGACCGCCTCCGTGGTGTAGTGGTTAGAGCGTCCACCCGGAGGGTCGTCTTCATCATAATGGCGACCGCCTCCGTGGTGTAGTGGTTAGAGCGTCCGCCGGGAGAGCGGAAGGTTGCGGGTTCGATCCCTGACCGCGTCTTATCAAAAGACGTTAAAATATGGTACTGGTTTGTCCCTGTCTGGCGTTCGGCATTAATGGGTACAACAAGGACTGGTCGGCTAGGAGTCAGTATAATGTGTCTGAGTGGGGTATTCATGCTTCACTGCGGCATGGTATCTCAGTGGGCTAGCACTATAAAACCAGCTTCAGTCTGGGCTAGTACAAGCAGCCACACATACACATACATACGCATGCACGTCGTCATATGAGCAAATTATTCTCAAGCACGACTCAATTTCACCTCACCTCATCATAATGGCTTTTAAATGTCACTTAAGAAGTCCATTTTGAGAGGTAATTTTTAAGTGAACAGCCAGTTTGATAATGATACACTGAGAATCATTTGTTGTTCCCATACTTGTGTCTTAAAGGCTCAATGTCACACAGTTTCAACAATATTTTGGCCTATATTATATGTATTATATGCACTCACTTTAGCTTCCTGTTGATGCAATAAAAGACTTATTATCACTTATGACTTCTTGCCTGAAATTGATAATTGAACCTTCGAGGCAAACAGCTTCCAAACACTTCCCATATATGGAATGTAAACAATTGTTCCGTACATTGAAAACTGTCAGTGTTTGCTGAACTGGTTTCAATCACAAGTTGTGCATGAGATATTCGTAAAGAGTGCTTCAAGGGACTTAACTCTATGGGGTTTGCTTGAAATAGTGTTGGGCTGTTAGAAGGTGCGAGAGTCAATTTCATGCAACATTGCATTAATTCATTTGAATTTTTTATTTAATAATGTTATCTAAATACGTAATTGTTTTCGGAATAAATTATATGGTAGTTTCCCTGAGGGCTGATAGTTAGTATTATTGAGAGGAATGCATTATATATTTTTATAGAAGTGTGGTGTGATATAGTACCTTTAAGTCAAGTATCCATATTGTGAGATTTTTTCATTGAATCTTTCTTTGGGGGCTGTATATAACAGGTTTTTCATCCTCCAAAGTCCTGAAAACAATGACATATTTTCAGATAACCTTTCTCACGATCATAGATTCAAATTGCTATTATTGGTTTGTATTACAAGGGGGTATGCACATTAAATGAAACACCGAGAACAAGTAGGATTGGTCTAAGATAACGCTCAGCATGTACCGCACAGGCATTTGTTTCACTGTCCCAATTACTGCGCCTACCCCCTTGTAATACACACCAATAATAGCGATTTGAATCTACGATCGTTTTTTGAACAACTTTTTCTTAAGTTGAATAAAATTCTGAGATTTGAATTTTCAATTGGCAAGGTAAAATTATGAGGATTCGCAATCTTAATTTCACTTAATCTGATTTACTTTTTTTTTTCAAGTGAAATTCATTGGTACATTTTCACTGAAAACAGACTATAGTTGGTGGTAAGATAAACACGTTGGAAGCTTCTTTCTCGGGTAATACAGTCTAACATATGCCTCTTGTAGCAGTGTTATCCCTCGCCTACCAGCTCGGGTAACACTGCTACATTTCGTACATCAGACCGTATTACCCTCGAGAGAAGCATACAACTTATAATGCATCTTTTCATAAACCTTCCCCATAGGCTGTCATATTTCTGGGGCACCCTCCCTTGATTCCCTGACACCCCTTCTCCCAACTTCCCGACCCCTTCCCTAAATATATTAGTTTTTCCTTATAAGGACTTATGTGACAGTCAAAAGATATAATATTTTGATCTAAAAGTTTAAGTTTCCAACTATTTACACTAATCTTTGTAACAACTCCGTCCTCGTGAATACACAATGCCATTTAGAAAGTGGTCAAATGTAACATGTTATATATGTGATTACACTTTTTCAGTAAAGTACAGATTCTAGTACTTTTGTTGGGTTGAGTCCCATCCAGGATTCGGAAGCATACAACTTATAATGTAGCATCTTTTCATAAACCTTCCCTATAGGCTGATATTCTGACACCCCTCAGAGTCGGCCACCTAACCCACTCAGCCACCACAACTTCCACTGAGTGGGTTAGGCGGCTGACTTTATGTGCTGGCGATTAGGTGCCTGACACTGAGGGTGTAGGTTCGAATCCCGGATGGGACTCAACCCAACCAGTCTAAGTAAACTTAGGCTCAGTATTATTCGTTACACTGCTATACTGAGTCTAACAAAACCTTGTGGAAGGTCGTCAGGTAACCTTTTCAATTGACCAATCAGAACACAGCTTACCAAATCGCGAAAGTTGACCTTCGCACATAGCTTTTGAACTTTTATCTCGAAAAAGTTTTGTATCTGAACGATTCCGAATGATATTTTCCGTACAATCACTTTCGAGTGATGCACATGGAGCACGCCACAACCTTGAGTAAACAGTCACTGAAAATAGCGTTTTGTCAGTATTCAAGGATGTGAGCTTGTGGAAATATTAGCTAATGATAACCATGTCAACAGAAACCCAAAAGCGTATATTCTGCAGGTCATATATCTGTGTTTTGTGCGGGTTTTCATTTGTTGTGAGATCAGTGTTGGCGACCGGGGAAGAGTAAATCCATTTTGTAAGTCCCGCCTAACCCTAAATAGTAGCCGTTGTCTGATTGGTTAAATCCGTTCTGTCATCTCACGTTTGATTGGACGGTCATAGGTCGCTCAAGGGTTACCTGAAGCGACCTTCCACAAGGTTTTGTTAGACTCAGTATAGCAGTGTAACGAATAATACTGAGCCTAAGTTTACTTAGACTGCAACCCAACAAAAGTACTAGAATCTGTACTTTACTGAAAAAGTGTAATCCCAAATATACCATATGCTAAATCTGTCCTCTCATATCTTGCAACCTACAATGTTGATCTTGTTGAACTGTTATGTAACATGTGCCCTTATTGGTCTGTCTTTTTGGGCCATACCTAGTAAGATAATCTGTGATTGGTTTGTTTCAGGGTTTTACAATGAAGCTATCACCTTCTTGATATGTTCTGGGGTTGTGATTCTTGTAGCCAACGTGGCAGTATCCTTTGGTGAGTCGTCATGTTCATATCACTACAATCATAAGTTTTACTCTTATTAGATATTTCCCTCTTAAGATTTGGCAAACAAAACTGATTAACCCAAGGTAAACTCTGCTGAGTTAGAGAGTGTGTGAGTGAGTGAGTGAGTGATTGAGTTTTACACTGCTTTTAGCAATATTCCAGCAATACAATGGCGGGAGACACCAGAAATGGGCTTCACACATTGTACTCATGTGGGGGATCGAACCCGGGCCTTCGGCATGACGAGCAAACGCTTTAACCGCTAGGCTACCCCACTGCCCCACTATCTGATGATGTTGGTTTTGAAATTCAGAGCCTTGTTCAACAAAACTATAAGTGCCGTAAGCTTAAGCCTAAGAAATGGGTGGGTGAGTGAGTGAGTGAGTGAGATTGGGTGGGTGTGTGAGTTGGTGGGTGGGTGAGTGAGTCAGTGAGTGGGTTGGGTGAGTGAGTGAGTGAGTGAGTTGCGTTTTAAGCTGATTTTAGAAACATGCTTCACTCATTGTACTCATGTGGGGAATCAAACCCGTGTCTTTGGCACGATGAGCAACTGCTTTAACCACTGGGCTACCCCACTGCCCGCAGGCACATAGTTGTTGCAGGTTAATCTAAACTGTTTCTCTAGATTGGACAATTGTTTTTGACTTACCATGCTAACAGAGTTGATATGTTTCAGGCTACTTGATCTCAACAGTAGCAGGCTCCGTGAACATAGCTTTAGCTATTGCACCCCCCTTACTTATCCCATTCATGCTGTTCGGAGGACTTTTTCTTAATAATGGGTAAGATCGGAGGACTCTTTCTCAATAATGTGTAAAATCGGAGGACTCTTTCTCAATATTGTGTAAGATCGGAGGGATCTTTCTAAATAATGTGTAAGATCGGAGGACTCTTTCTCAATAATGTGTAAGATTGGAGGACTCTTTCTCAATAATGTGTATGATCGGAGGACTCTTTCTCAATAATGTGTAAAATCCGAGGAGTCTTTCTCAATAATGTGTAAGATCGGAGGACTCTTTCTCAATAATGGGTAAGATTGGAGGACTCTTTCTCAATATTGTGTAAGATCGGAGGGATCTTTCTAAATAATGTGAAAGATCGGAGGGATCTTTCTAAATAATGTGAAAGATCGGAGGACTCTTTCTAAATAATGTGTAAAATTGGAGGACTCTTTCTCAATATTGTGTAAGATCGGAGGGATCTTTCTACATAATGTGAAAGATCGGAGGACTCTTTCTAAATAATGTGAAAGATCGGAGGACTCAATCACATTAATGGGTAAGATCGGAGGACATGAGCTTTGAATACTAGTTCTCCGAGTTCTGTTGTCACCATCAAACCTGTCCTTGTAGGTTTCACCAAAGCGTAAATGTCTGAGATGTGCTTCATTTTAGGCTTTTCTGCTTCAGTACACAACCCTGTGGGTCATAACTCGAATTGTTATTTTTCGACAGATAGCCAAACAAAACCCCATTTTCTTTGGATATTGTTACCGGTTTTGCATTTTGTGCTATATCCAATTTTCCAGTCTCTCCAGATGGAACTCCACTTTCTTGCTGAAAAAAATTGTTGTATTAAAAAATAACAATCCCTTAAAGCTTGTAAATCCTGTCGAAACGAATCATTTACAAGTTTAGAAAGAAAAACTACCCACCAACATTCCAGTTCATACAGAAGGAGCTCACTGAATTTTACAAGTTAACAAAGTATAACCCTGTCATTAATTGTAATAGACACTACTGCAGTTTGGTCTGATCAGATGGCCATGCTCTATTCTCCTATATACACTGTCATGCAAAAACGTGTAAATGTTTAGAATAAATAAATAAATTATAAAAACAATAACTGGAACTGTGTTCACAGCAGAATAGCAAGTCAACTGACAGGAGTAAGACGTGATGAATACAGGTTTAAAGATACTGATAGTTTTTTAATTCAAGAGATGATATTGATGTTTTTGGTTGAGTGTGTTATGTTGTTATAATTAAATGAAAATATTCTCATATGGTATCTATGGTTGTGATGGTATCTATACAAGGTGAGGTGAGGTGAGGTGAGGTGAGGTGAGGTGAGGTGAGGTGAAGTGAAACTGGGTTTAACGTCGTGCTTGAGAATATTTCGCTCATATGACGACGTGCATGCGTGTGTATGTGTATGTGTGGCTGCTTGGGCTAGCCCAGACTGAAGCTGGTTTTATAGTGCTAGCCCACTGAGATACCATGCCGCAGTGAAGCATGAATACCCCACTCAGACACATTATACTGACTCCGAGGCGACCAGTCCTTGTTGTACCCATTAATGCCGAGCGCAAGGCAGGGACCAACAAGTACCATATTTTAATGTCTTTTGGAATGACGCGGTCAGGGATCGAACCCGCGACCTTCCGCTCTCCGGGTGGACGCTCTAACCACTACACCACGGAGGCGGTCGGTATCTATAGAAAACATGTAATACGATGAGTAAAGTACCGATGGTAACTTGCAGCAATGTTCCTATAATTATCATGACACCAGAAATAGGCTTCACAAGTTGTATTCATTTGAGAAGTCAAACCCCAGACTTTGGTGGTATGAGTGAACGCTTTAACTACTAGGCTACCCTACCAGCCAGAAGGAAGACTATTATTATAATACACACTTGTTATTCAGTTTGGTAGATCTATCATTTTGCTTTATGTTCATTATAAACATAACTGTATTTTACTGTGAATTATTTCACTGTATATATTGTAATTATGTTATTTTACCTTCATTTATATTATAGGGTCCAAGTGTTAATAAATATACACATTTAGGGAGAGTCATGAAATGAGAACATTTTCATTTAAAATTTAAAGTTTATTTGCATTTTGTCTTTACTCACTGGGTTTGGAAAATATGTAGAAGTTCATTTGAAGAGTTTTCCAAAATATGACAAGTATTAGGGAAGAGTAATTATTTTTATACATTACTACATAAAGAACATCTTACCCACCAACACCTGTTACAACTAATTGGTCCCTGTGTTTAATCTATGCTGCCTCTGTTTCCAGCTCCGTCCCCGTGTACTTCATCTGGCTCAAGTACATCTCGTGGTTCCAGTATGCAAATGAGGTCCTGTCTGTCAACCAATGGGAGAATGTTCACAGTCTAGGTGAGGCTGAAGGTTTTCATATTATTCATACTATTACTGTCTTTAATGTTATTAATAATAACAATGTGTCCATTTATATAGCACCAAACTCCACACCAGGTATGCTCATAGCGCTAACAATGAATGAAAGCGCTAATCAAAGCACAGCACATTATTACCCTGGATAACCCAAGCTGCCTGTGAGCAGAGACCATATAATAGATATATTATATGGTCTCTGCTGTGAGGCACTAGAAGGTTAATAGTCACATGTCCTATCCCACTGGGTACCCATTTTCTGCTGGGTGAACAGTGGCAATTTTGAACAAACTCACTTACCTGAGACCAAATGTATCACATGTGCTTCGTTGTGGGGCCGCTGCACGGGCCCGGGCTGAGGACTGAGGTCCTAGAAATTGATAGGAGTCAAGATGCCAAACACGGTCACCCATCCAAGGACTCTCGGCACCTCTGTGGTACCTGCCTGGCACTCAGCATTAATCGGTATCAGGACTGGTTGGCTACGAGTCAGTATAATGTGTCTGAGTGGGGTATTCATGCTTAACTGTGGCATGGTATCTCAGTGAGCTAGCACTATAAAACCAGTGTATGAAATAAGGCCCGTCCGACCGCCCGAGACGGTCTAGATTTCTGACGGACGGTCTAAATTTACAGCTAGCCAGCCCAATGGTCTGGTAAAAAATTTAGGTGCTCCATACATCTGAGTAAATTCACCATATTTGGTCTGGTTAAATCCATTTTGGGCTGGTAACATTTTCAAGTTACCAGCCCTGATGACTAGCTGGATATTTGGCTTATTTCATACACTGATAAAACCAGCTTAAGTCTTGGCTAGTACTAGCAGCCACACATACATACGCTAGACTAATGTTTAGTCTCTGAATATATATAATTTTGATAGTAACCAACAAGCCCTTTTATATTGAAAAGGAGCCCTAGGGAGACCAGAGATCCTGAACCTGAGGAAATCTAGACTTGCTTTATTTAGGGCTTTAGCACTGCAGAGAGGGCTTGGCAGTAGAGTAATTAATGTGGTTCAGGGACTGTGAGACAGACTAATACATACTCATGCACGTCCTCATATGAGCAATTTTCTTAAGTGCGATGTTAAACCCCATCTCACCTCATGACCCTGTGACCTCTAGTGACCCCTATGCTGACCATTGCAGTTTTACCAAGCTCTTAAGTCTTCTCCTGATAAAGCTTTACTGCTGAAACTCTAATCTAGCATACAGGTTCCCTTTTTATGGTGACATCTTTTCTAGTTTAAATCAGAATCGTATTATTTTAAAATCTTACTCATTAAAAGCATTATGAAAAATCAAATTTAGCTGAACATTTACGTCAATGGTAAATACTACACTAGTTATAGTTTCACTCATTGATGAAGTCTGTCACTCATTGAGGTTTAAGCATCAAAATTTTAATTTTTCCTTATCCTGACTCATGCTCTTTTGCTTGTCTTCTTCTTCTTGCGAACATAGTGGAAACACTTGTATCTCCTTAATTGAAGCTCCCTTCAATGTAAAATCACTAATAGTACTCACCACGAGTTGCTCCCCTTTAATCCCTTTTGGCGGGAAAGGTGTCGCCACCTTACACCTCGTGCTTCACTCTCTCCTTCTTCGCCCAGCCCAGTGAGCAGGATGTGAGAGCGCCTGTGTCTCCTTACACAACATATCCTTTGATTTTTCTTAGCTTATTACTTCTTATAGTGTACTATAGAGGTATAGCTAGTATCCTTCAGTAATCTGTATTGATTATTTATCGTATTTCTACTGTTTATTCACGTGTATTCGTGATTGTTCAGCTAGTATTACGTTGATGAAAATCTGAACTATTTGTAGATTACGTTTTTCTGCCTCAGATCCGCATGTAATATGCCCTAGTTGTTCTACGCCGTGTGCGTTTGATTCACGTTGCAGTTATTGCATTGATTTATCTAATTCTGCATTTAATAAATACTATCTTTGCGTCTTAAGACGTGCTGCAGATAGGTCACGCAAACAAGGGCTAAATATGGCTGATACTCCATCTAGTCAGCTGCTGGCGATCGACCCCCTACCATCTGGTGTTCTGCTAGAGACCCCATCGGAAGAGGGACGTGGGACGCAGTCCGTCACCTCTAAGAAGCGACCGGCCTCCCCAGACATCCCGTCATCGCAGCTAAAGTCCAAGAGGGCCTCGACGTCTTCTCAACGCAGACATCGTACCCCCAGGGCAGCGTCGACTTCCAAAGGAAAGTCTACGAAGACAGCGAGAACTTTCTCAGCCGAGATCATTCCAGCCCGAAGAAATGGGCCTCTCGATGACCAGCCGATTATCATCCCGACATACGGCACAAGAAGCGGCGGTGTCAGCGACAGTGACTTCAGCAGAGATCTTCATGCAGCCTGATGCCTCTACACTGATGTCAGGCGTTATTGCTGTGGACCCCATCATTAACTCCGCAGAGAAGGCTCAGACAACATCATCGCAGACCATCCCTGATGACCTGATGCAGCAAATTATGACGATGATGGAAGACCGATATAGACTGCAGAAGCAAGGACCGAGCCTTCGAAGGCTCCAACGTGAACAGCACCCCAGAGGCACCCCCGTCCAGCGTAGCAGCCAAGGCGATGTCACCTTCGGCGAAGGAAGGCACGGACCACCTCCACGAAGGACCTAGATGTACAGCCCAGCGAAGGCCTTAGGCGGGATAGATCATCACCCTCGTCACCTTCATCCCAAGATGTGGACTCGGACCATCCGACATCACGGAAGCCTTCGCGAAGGTCTTATCGTAATTCCCCGGACCGGACGCAGAGGAAGCTTCGTGAAGGCATTCGCGAAGGGCAGCTGAATCCAGATCTTCATCATCTAGGACATCGAGGGACTACACAAGAGCTTCGCGAAGCTATCAACGTTCTCCTCACAGGTCACCGAGAAGATCAACCCATAGACGTAGATCACCTAGACGATCTCCTCCTCGTTCATCACCACGTAGATCACCTTACAGGTCACCATACAGAGCTGCACAAGCATCACCGGACGTAGAGACAGAAGCACGCAGTCCAGAACAGCACCAACCTCTCATCAATGATGATGGTATAGAGGATGATGGAGGAGTTATTTTCTCCGATGCTGAGATACGGTATTGGATGGTCAATAACCTAGATCTCTCATCACCATCTAAAAATGGCAATGTGAGCAGACATATCTGATGAAAGAAGACGATGCAGATGCTATCACACTACCACCGATCGACCCGATTGCAGCAGTTCCACAGAATCTAGATGCAGCATTCCACAAAGCCACGAAAGTTCAGACACCACATATACCTAACTTTCATGCCAAGAAGTTCTCCACATAACATGGACCCCTTCTTCAAAGCTCAAGACATCGATGAGAACTATAAGTTGATCAACGATGTCAAGTACAAGAATTACAAGATTGATGATCGCAAGTTAGTCCAGATAGAAACTCGATGAGAACTATAAGTTGATCAACGATGTCAAGTACAAGAATTACAAGATTGATGATCGCAAGTTAGTCCAGATAGAAACCATGACGAGACGTATGTTTTTTGGTTTAAATAGATCTAGAAGCGATCAATGAGACTCTTATCACCAGATTTCGTGATACGACTTCTGAGGATGATAGAATGATTTATTCTGCCTTACTTATGCAAAAGAAAGACCAGCAGTTCCTAACAGATCATCTTACATCTATTTCAGCAGCACTGACCTTAGCTCATCGTCAAGGCCTCCTCGCTTCCTGCAACTGGGGTGAGAACTTTACAGACCCACTGTATACAGCCCCGTGGTCTTCAACATCCATCTTTAATGGAGAAATAGACAAAGTTTCCAAGGAAGTCACTAAGGATTCCAGAGAAGTCCTGATGATTAAATCGATGGACACACTAGCCAGCGTCATCCGACAGACCTCTCAAAGATACTCAGGAAGATCTAAATTCACGGGCCTACAGAGAGCACGAGACAGGAAGATAGCCAGCTCTAGAGGAAAAGATTCTTTTCGTCGGCCATTCGGCAACTATAGAGGAGGATCAGGAAGAGGCAGGACACCCAGAGGTTCCCGCAACTATAAACGCTGAAAGACAGGTTCGGAACGACTGGAGTCTTCCACCCCCAGCCGTTCCAGTACAACCATCTCAAGTGGGTGGACGCCTCCAACTTTACTGGGAAAACTGGGGAATGTTACAAGACCCTTATGTCTCCAACATTCTTAGATCCACGGATTTAAGTATCCCACTAAAGGCCAAGCCTCCGTTGACAGTCAACCCTCACAAGTTAGACTTACAGGCACAACAACTACCGAAGTTAAGAGGCTGTTACATCACTCTTAATAAAGCAGGCCATAGAAGTACTAGACCAAGACAACATAGAACCAGGTTTCTACTCCCCAGTTTTCCCTAGTTCCCAAGAAAAACTCCAAGGAGAAATACAGACTCATCTACAACATGAGTTTTTCAACAAGAACTATCTACGCAAACCCCGAAGTTCTGCATGATACATTTACCTCAGTTACGGCAGTTGATTAAGCCCCATGGACTACATGGGCAGTATCGATCTACAGGGCGCTTGCTTACCTGCACATCCCGATACACTCCAAAGCCAGGAAATACCCACGGTTTACTTTAGACAGGCAACATTACCAATGGAAAGTGCTCCCATTCGAATATCATCAGCCCCTGGCTTTTCACGAGGATAGCAGAAACCGATTATCACCTATCTTCATCATCAAGGCTGCGCAGTCGTTTTACCTCGACAGACGGGATACAAGTAGATCAAGATCCACAGCATCTCAAACTACAGTTAAACTACATCATAAAGCTACTAACACAGCTAGGATGGTTAGTAAACTTACTCAAGTCGGACCTAGTACCGCCGTCACAAGACCTACAGTTCCTAGGCATTCGATTTATCACAAATCTCAACCATATCGTCGTACCAGAAGACCGTTGGATCAAGATCAACAGACCATTCCACCAGCTCGGCTCTCCGTTACCACTTCGACAATGGCAGAGCCTCCTAGGTCTCCTCACATCAGCCCAAGACATGACAGTCAGAGGCAGGTTACAGTTACGTCCCTTACAGGTCTTCATCAATGCACATCTCGACGATTTACAGCCATTCAGTCTACCGAAACATCTCAGACCTCATCTACTATGGTGGACAAAGGAATCGAATGTCTGCGAAGGGATTTGTTTAGCAGAGCAGGAATTCAAAACCCATCTATATGTGGGCGTCACTTCAAGGTTTGGGAGCTCATCTAAGCCAACCAGGCGACATCGGGGATTATGGAACCAACAAGAAAGCAAACTCCATATAAACATCCTAGAGATGAAAGCTGTAATCAGCGCCATTCTACATTGGAGCACATTTCTCCTAAATCGCACCTTATGATTCATACCGACAATTCCACAGTGGCGTTCTACGTAAACAAGCAAGGCTCAACGAGATCACTGAACCTTTTGAACTTAAGCTTTCAACTATTCGATCTAACCCACGATCTAAATCTACAGATCAGAGCAGTTCACATTCCCGGGCCAAAATGTACTAGCAGACGCGCTCTCTCGGCCTCATCTACCATCACCGACAGAGTGGATGCTCAATACGGAAATATTTGCACAGATAATCAAGCCGTTAGCAGCGCCGCTAATAGATCTATTCGCCACAAGATTCAACAATCAGCTACCGACATTCGTGTCACCAATCCCAGATCCACAAGCTTGGGAAACGGACGCTCTAAGTATATCATGGGAAGGCCTCAGCGGCGTGCAGCGCGTTTCGCGCCAGCAATAATACCTCAAGTATTACAGAAAATCAAACAAACACAGAATCTACAACTCACTTTGGTCGAGCCCTACTGGCCAGCCAGAGTATGGTTTCCCATGCTAATTCAAGGAATCGGTCAACCAGTATTAGAGCTACCCAAGCGCTCAAACCTGTTAATACATCCACACACAAAACAAGTGCACGGAAACCCAGAAGTTTACCAACTTCACGTATGGACTGTATACAAATGTGTTTAAACAAGAGAGGATATTCTGCCAGGGCGGCAAAAGCGGTCCGCAGCTTGCCTTACGACACTCGACTTCGTGGCAATGCGGCGACAAGTGGCACAGTTTAGAAAATTATGCAGCTAATAAAGGATTTACAGCGAGAGATGCTTCACATCCTCAAGTGGCAGACTATTTGTGTTACCTGCGGCAAAACAAACATTTAAGAGGTTCGACGATATCAACATATCTTGCTGCGCTTAGCTCTGTGATCACTATGAGAACGGGTGTCAAGCTGACAAAATCTCCAGAGTTACTGGCCTTACTACGTGCTTTCCGATTGGAGGACCAAAAGCGGAAGTTCCGCCCAGCTTGGGATCTGAATGTAGTGTTACAACACCTCACTAGTGAGGCCTATGAACCTTTGGAATCGACAAACTTTGAATTTCTCTCACAGAAAACACTATTTCTGCTATCTCTAGCCACGGCAGCAAGAATATCTGAAATTCAGCTCTGGATTACGAGAGGATACAGTTTGATGACAATCAAAACATAGCGCACCTGGGATTAAGATGGGATTTCATCATAAAAAATCAACTACCAGGTCAACCAGACAGGTTATTCCATGTACCAGCGCTATCTTCGATTCTCGGATCACAAGATACACAAGACTTATCACTGTGTCCAGTCAGAGCTCTCAAAGTTTACTTACGACGATCCAAAACAAGGCGAAGATTTTTCAAAAGATTATTCATCCCCTTATCGCCAACAAATCAAACAGAAGTCTCGCGCGTACTACCATATCTATTTGGATAAGGACTGTCATACTTCCAGCCTACAAGGCAGCAGGCTTGGACCCACCTACAGCATCAAATCCATGAGATTAGGGCACTGGCTTCCACCCTCGCCCTGCGGTAACTGTTCATTAAACACAATTATGGAAGGATGCTTTTGGAAATCGAACATGGTGTTTTGCGAATCACTACCTGAGAGACATCACCACAGAAGATGTCTCTGGCATTCACCATTTGCCCTTTGGTCCTCGCTCAACAGCTGACAGTCCCTCAGAGGGCGTTAAAATATTACCATCACAAGTTTAATATGTATTATATACATAATTTAGCTAGCTTATAACTCTAAGGAGTTCTAGAGCTATGTATATATATTTAGCTTAGGTCATTCACCCCTAAGTATATATGGATATTATCTTTAGTTGTACAGCGACTCTATCAGAGTCACTTATATATATATATAATATATGTAATGGTTTTTCAATATATATCAATGTAATACCCAATTATGGCATTATATAACCTATGGTTTATATACAGGAAATATCCTAAGTCAATGCCTTCATGAAGTTCCCATACCAGTTATTACAGTTATATTTATACAAAATCACTAATTATAAATCCAAAGTATTCTATTACTCCCTCCTCCGTTCCGTAGGATTCTACAAGCAAAAGAGCATGAGTCAGGATAAGGAAAAATATGTAATTTTTAGAGTAAAATTGATATTTTATACTTATCCTGACTCATGAGGTCAGCCCTCCCATCCTCCCCACATAACACTTTGGATTTCCCTGTAAATTCAAGTGTTGGGCTCGCAAAATCAGGAGAGAGTGAAGCACGAGGTGTAAGGTGGCGACACCTTTCCTGCCAAAAGGGATTAAAGGGGAGCAACTCGTGGTGAGTACTATTAGTGATTTTACATTGAAGGGAGCTTCAATTAAGGAGATACAAGTGTTTCCACTATGTTCGCAAGAAGAAGAAGACAAGCAAAAGAGCATGAGTCAGGATAAGTATAAAATATCAATTTTACTCTAAAAATTACATTTTTTTTTATAATTCGGGTGAGCTGCATAATCTTTTGGTTCTGTTTTTGTATTTTTTCTTTCATATCTGACTATTAGTATTTACCTCTGATTGTTTGTTTACTTACAGAATGTGGACCTAGCAACGGTACTCTCCCTGGCAACGGTACTGATAGTCCGCAACGCTGCTACAGAGATGGCCAAGATGTCTTGAACTACCTCAACTTCACTGAGGTAACCAAGTGGTTAGGTGTCCTAGTCCTGGGTTTAAATCTCTATGGCAGCTTATATTTCCGGGACCAATTACCCTGTGATACACTCAGGCATGTTAATAATTTTCAAAATGGTTTATTTGATGATAGTCCCATTTGGTGGAATCGCTTCTGTGATGTGTTGGACTGAGTGTCTGCCATGAAAGTTACAGGTCGATGGTTGGTACCCAGCGGAGACACACCAAGACACACTAAAAGATGGCTGTTATTGTTGGCCTGCCTGACTCTCTGTATTGGGGGGTCAAGTAGGGAATAGTTGGTTAGGAGTCATGTCTGAGTGGGGAATCCATGTTAATCTGTGGCATGGGCTGGCTCTTTCTAAGAGATGCAGATGTATATGGAGACACAGACATAAACACAGACATAAACCCAAACCCAAACATAGACACAAACACAGACACAGACACAAACACAGACACAGACATAAACCCAAACATAGACACAGACATAAACCTAAACACAGACACAGACGCAAACACAGACACACAAACACAAACACACACATGTTGCTTTGCTACATCAGTGCAAGAATCTTGAACTCATGTTAAAACAATAAAAACACTTTCTCTCCTCCTCGCCACATTGTGTTGGTCACTTGGTCAGTGGTTGACCACTGATGGTGTGTCATCAGGCCACAATGGCTGCGGTCATGGTTGGCCGGAACTGATTACAACCAGCCATGATATAGCTGGTCTATTGTTGACTGTGGCAAAAAACAATATTCATTCACTAATTATCCCCCGCCGCGTATTTAGCGCGAAGCGGGGGATATAGAATGAGGCTACGTACGAATTGGAATATCTTAAGAACCGTTTGCTAGATTCTTTTCATAATTGGTAACTAGGTTCATCACAGTATAAGAAAGGTCCAAGTCAGGTTTGGTGACCTTGACCTCAATTTCAAGGTCACAAGGGGACTTTCACGTTTTACCTGCATCATAAGCTATCTCAAGAACCGTTCACTGGATTTTCTTCATATTCAATACATAGCTTTATCCAGGGAAGGCGCAGGGCCCAGTTGATTTTGGTGACCTTCACTTAATTTTCAAGGTCACAGAGACACTTTGAAGATTTGAGCATGTTAACCTGAATTGTCAGCAAGATATTTAAAAAACAGTTCACTGGATCTTCTTCAAAGACTTTCAAGACTTCCCTTAATTGTTTTTCAACAAGCAATTTCTTTAGTACTAATTTTGCAAATTTCATACACTATGACATTCATGTCAAAGTCAGTCTTGAAAATATCTGCGTGTTTGAACACCTAAAGAGCAAGACATCAAGAGAGGTTGACTGGTCATGTTTTTGTTGACATTTAACTTAAACTTTCACTACTTTATAAGTTTGATTTGATAATTTGCCGCGGCGGGCGATTATGTCACCTTAGTGACAATGCTTGTCTCCGTTAACATGGGGTAATAGAACAGGGTGTCCTATTCCTTTAAGGTAATATAATACTTTGTGCTTAGTTATGTCCCTTAGGCATTATCCCCCGCAACGCGTTTTGTGGGGTCATTAAAATGGACTCCGTCCGTCTGTGCATCCGACCATCCGTCCATGTGTGTGTCTGTCCATCCGTCTGTGCAAATTTGTCTTTTTCCGAGCAGAACTTAAAAACTGTTCAATATTTCCTCACCAAACTTGGCATATATATAGGTCTGGTGGTGAACAGGTGCCTTGTATTAGTTTTAGATTTCTGAATAAAATATTTTTTACATTTCCATGGCAACAAGTTTGACCTTGACTGAAATTGGTGTCATTGCTCTTTTCTGGAGCAGAACATTAAAATCAATACTCTCTTTCCAGTTTGTGGGTATCCAAGAATCTAATGACCTTAATCAACAGTACCACTCTATATCAACATTACTGAGGTACATCAAACCGCACATTGACATAGTCATAACTAGTTGACATATTCATGGAGAGTATTTTACCATTGCAGGGGATATTGATGACTTTGTCTTCTTGTTATTTTTGTTAATTGACTGTAACCAAACTCACGGAGTGTTGCCCTTGGAATTGGTACCTTGTAGCGTCTGTTCATTGTACAAGGTGAACAGGTGCACAGACACAGTGAACATGGTTGATTGCACATCGTCCTGTACCAACAGTATTGATCTGTAGCTCATAACATCCATCACAGGTTTGTCACACTCAGTACTGCTGTGTATTGGCAAATACATTGTATTGTAATATATTACCATTCAGGGACCTGTATTGCGATATGTATTTCAATATATTGGGAACTTCAGTGTTTGACAGTGAGTGACACTAAATGTGCATGTCAATCCTATATTCTACATTATAAGTCCCTAACATACATGTTATGGTTCTGATAACAGCAATCTCAAAATTAGGTTGCATAGTCATGGATTCTATTTTCCTTTCTATCCCCTGCCGAGCGTTTAGCGCGAAGCGGGGGATATAGTATTAGGCTCTGTCCGTCCGTCCGTACGAATTGGAATATCTTAAGAACCGTTGACTAGATTCTTTTCATATATGGTACCTAGGTTCATCACAGTATTAGAAAGGTCCCATTCAGGTTTGGTCACCTTGACCTTAATTTCAAGGTCACAAGGGGACTTTAATGTTATACCCTTGTCAGCAAGATATCTCCAGAACTGTTCACTAGATTTTCTTCATATTCAACACCAACCTTTATCCAGGGAAGGCACAGGGCCCAGTTGATTTTGGTGACCTTCACTTAATTTTCAAGGTCACAGTGACACTTTGAAGATTTCACCATGTTAAATTGCATGTTAAGATAGTCAGCAAGATATCGCAAAAACCATTCACTGGGTTTTGTTCATATTTGACACCAAGCTTCATCTAAGCTTGGCCCAGTCAATTTTGGTGACCTTTACATAACTTTCAAGGTCACTACAACACTTTGAAGATTTCACCATGTTGACCTGAATTCACTGGATTTTCCTCATGGACTTTCAAGACTTCCCTTGAATATTTTTCAACAAGCCATTTCTTTAGTACCATTTTTGCATATTTCATACAGTATGACATTCATGTCAAGGCCAAAGTCAGTCTTGAAAATATTTGTGTGTTTGAACAACTTAAGAGCAAGATATCAAGAGAGGTTGACTGGTCATGTTTTTGTTGACATTTAACTTCATCTTAAACTTTCATTACTTTTTAAGTTTGATTTGATAATTTGCAGCGGGGATTATGTCACCTTAGTGACAATGCTTGTTATACAATATATAGTATTACAGTATGCTGTTTTGTCATTGAATAACGAAGGAAAACATTTGTTGTGAATGAAAGTCTGTGTAGATTCAATTTAAACCATAAAAATATTCACAAAAACTTCATATATGTTCTTTACCCAATATACCGGTCTTCAGACAAAATATAGCAATGTGTATCATTTGAGAAGCGTAATGCGAGATATTGGTATACCGATAATACTGTGGAGTCCTAACTCTCAGACAAGTTTATTGACAGACTGCTGTTGTACAGCTTGAATGTTGCCTTCTGTGGTGTTGAACAAACAAACAAATATATGAATGAGCGAATAAAGAAATGAATAAACAAACAAATGAAAATTAGCATTTGATAATGAAGTTAAGTTTATGTTTTAGGACAATGTGGTCTTGGACCTGTGTCTGATGTGTGCGCTGCTGGTGGGGTTCCGCTTACTCGCCTTCCTCGTCCTCCTCTTCAAGGCGCGGAGGTCCAAGTCCTAAACAGATGGAGATTGCCAATGGTGTGTCATGAATGCCTCTCTGGCTACCCACAAATTCAAGCCAAACAAGTTGTTTGTGGTGCAATTGAATCTGAGATTTCACAGTGGACCAGAAATAATATATTTCACTTTCTGCAGGGAAAATTAAAATATTTAGAAAAATGACTTATGTGAGTGTCAAAATTGCAAAAGGAATTTGGTTACCATTTTCATGTCTTCTACAAAAATAGTCTCAATAAAATCAGATCTGCTATTCCAGTAGTTACCATGGTTACAGTCTCATGATTTCGACACCTTGGTATGAGTGAAGTATTGAGACCATTGTATCCTTTTCTGTTTTTCAAAACTGAATTAAACCAACAAGAACCAAATTTCAATTAAAGGGGAATCTTCAAATCATTGTCAGTATTTTATCTACTGTTTTTTTCCCAGCGCCATGGCATTGACCCCCAAACAGAAGAAATATTTGTGTTCTGATACGGGGTTTAACTGTCTGGCTGCTGAATCAGTTATTGAACCAATCAGATTTCTGTATTCATTTCACCCACTCTCTTCACAGAGCCTCATAAGGAAATTCATCTAGCAGATAGAGTCAGGAAGTGAACTGTCTGCTGGATGAATTTCCTTATGAGGCTCTGTTAAGAGAGATTGTCTCAATAACTGATGCATACTTCATTCAGATTGGGGAGAGTGGGCGGTGGGGTAGCCTAGTGGTTAAGGCGTTTGCTCGTCATGACGAAGACCCCGGTTTGATTCCCAACATGGGTAGAATGTGTTAAGCTCATTTGTGGTGTCCTCCACCGTGATATTGTTGGAATATTGCTAAAAGCAGCGTAAAACCAAACTCACTCACTCACTCAGATTGGGGAGCCAAAGTTTACACAGGGTTATATGAAACAATCTTCTATGGAGGTATCATCCTAACCTAACACAGGGAGGTGTCTTATCAGAGTAGAAGATCTTGTTTTAATGTAATTGCTTCAGAGGCTGACACAGAACTGATACTGCTGGTGTGTGTGGAAAACCAGGAAGAAGACCAGAACTGAAGACTTTGCCCAGGATCATTGCATAATTTCTTTACAAGGAAATCCATACCTTTCTCTGAATATATAGACTCACCTGCCAAAGATGTACATAGAATTATTACCAGCATTCGAAATACCTGCCTACCTGACCGCCCAGGGTGGGTTATTTTCAACACGGACTGCCAGATTCTCAAATTCACCTGCCCAACGTTCGGGTTCAAATTTAGACATGTATATGAAGATATTTTCTGGGCAGGTAAGTTTTGGTCATGGCTGGCAAGTTTTACATCTAACCAGCCCTGTGGTCTGGCTGAAATGTTTGGGAATTTCATACCCTGTTATTACATGTATTTACATCTTCTGGCTTACCAAAGACATACATAGAATGATTATATGTATTCATGTCGTTTGGCCTACTAAAGATGTACATCAAATTATTACATGGATTTCCATCTTTTGGCCTAACAAAGATGTACAGAGAATTATTATGTGGATTTACATCTTCTGGCCCAACAAAGATGTACATCAAATTATTACATGGATTTACATCTTTTGGCCTAACAAAGATGTACAGAGATTTACATCTTCTGGCCCAACAAAGAATTATTACATGGATTTACATCATTCTGGCCCAACAAAGATGTACATCAAATTATTACATGGATTTACATCTTTTGGCCTAACAAAGATGTACAGAGAATTATTACATGGATTTACATCTTTTAGTGTAGAGAATGTTTTGTTGTGACGTTCAACAAATCAGTGGTGATATTATGTTTTTTTATGTTTAACTGTTTTGCAACAGATACAGAGCTTAATGAAGTAGCTGTATGCGTCAGGATTGTAATCTTTGTTTAACTGTCTCTGGCACTCATGGCACCGTTTTAGTTCCTGTACACTTCTAGGTGTGTTTCATGATATTTTACAAACTACCTACCTGATAACTATTTGTCAACAATTTTTTGTACATGTAGCTGATTCTGTGCCAAATGGTATTTTTCAAAACTGAATATATGGGTCCGTCTCCTATTCGAAATGCTGAAGCATGACACTTCGGTTGTTTACATCACCGACTGGTATCTAAGAAGTGGACCAAGTCTGTAAGTGATGGTCCCGCGAATTTTGGGATTTTATACCAACTTATATATGACTTTTTTCCGCCCTTTCTGACAGGATTGCTCTTACATACACTCAATAACGTCAATTCCTGGTAATACCGCGAGAATAGGAGAAGCCTCATTTCGTCAATGGCGGATGGTATTGTTTATCACCGGGCTCATGAGTGGTGATTCACCTGATGGATATGGCAGCTGATAGATGTAGATGATAGAGGAGAAGGCCCTTCATTTAAAAACAACAAGCATTCATACGATAAGAATTGTTTGTGTTATTTTTTCAGCCGATATCCGTAAGTACCGCGAGAATAGGAAACGCCTTCCTATATATAAATATATATATATGAGAAAATGTAATTTGGTAATAACAGTCATCCTTGGATGTAGATGGTCATTTCGAAAACATATTTTCTAATTATCAGAGTTGTGATCAAAGGACCTGACTATAACATGACTATATAACATGACAACATGACGTTTTATTGATGAAACCGATCCATTCTTGCTTACATATCCCGATACTTGATTTCATCTGCAAATAGTTGTGATGTTTATGCTGCTAAATATGTGACATTATTTGTTTTAACATGAGCAAGCATACCTGCCACAGGTGTAAACAATATCATATGATTAGTGCTCAGATGAATTTGCAACTCTTGAAAATCCAGGTTAAAATTGGTCTTCAGTAACCTCATGCTTGTCGTAAGAGGTGACTAACGGGATTGCTGACTTGGTTGACACATGTCATTGTATCCCGATTGCGTAGATTGATGTTCATGCTGTTGATCACTGGATTGTCTGTTCTCGATTATTTACAGACCACCGCCATATAGCTGGAATGTGGCTGACTATGGTGTAAAACTAAACTCACTCACTCACTCACTCAGATGAATTTGCACCTGGATAGGTGTCACACTAAATGGTTTTCTTGTTAGAAAAATGTCTTTTATTTTTTGGTTTACAGATGTGACTGACTGGAGACAAAAGTCATGAGTTGAAAATGAAAAAAAGATGTTTCAAATATATTTTTATGTACAGTATATTTTTTATCATTTTTTTCACATAAACTATGCACCTCTATTTCCTGAAATGCACATGGCTTCATTGCAGTCTAGTAATAACACGAGTCTAATTTTAGTCAGCTGATGAAAGATGGCGGAATGTAGTGAAGCTGAGAAAGATTGTTAATCTATCATACTGCTATAGTCTCTGTATTTTACTATGCTAGTGGAATACTGTTCAAGGCAATGTTAAACCAACTTACTCACTATATTTCATTGATGAATGAGCTAGGAACAAAGTTATCCCTCTGTATATACTGTCCACATCCTATAGTTTTGGTAACTGAATCTGTTTTCATTTAGAATTGTAAACGTAAATATTGATATTGCTCAAGTGATAAGACTGACTTAATGTTCATGCTGAAAATGGCAATAAAAAGATGCAATAAAGTTTTTGCATTGTGTCAGCGATGAATGTTCTTGGTGAAGAAATGACTGAACCTCTATTGGTGTATTGAATAGTAATGTTGAAAAGACATTTCTTTGAGATTAACTCCATGGGTATTCTGAGTCAGAACAGTTCCCAAGTATACAATGATGAAGCGACTCAGTGAATTGTGGGTGGTCAGGTGACCTGGTTAACTGCATGTCATCAAACCCATCTGATAATATCAATCACTGGATTGTCCAGTCCAGACTCCACCATTTACATACTACTGTCATTCTGTTGGAATGTTGCTGTTTTAGGCATTTAAGAAACAAACTAACAAAAACAAGCACAAACACACGCACATGTACCCACTTTGGGTGATTCATTGGTGTCAATTTTGCAACGATGACTGCCAAGTTCAGTGATACATACTTTTTAGATATGTCAGTAAAACAGGCGTATCTATTCAGTGCTGAGGTTTTAAGTAAACATTTGTTGAGTAGAGTAAAGCTCTTTATATATTTATATGCATGGAATTCCTGAAAATATTATTTTGATATTGTTTATGTCTTACCTGTAGAAAAACAGCAGAATCAACACTGGAGATTTGAGAGGCAAGAGTGTTTTCATTTGACAAATATGTTAATATGTTTGTTGTTAATAGTTGTATGTTTGTAAGGAAGAACATTTTGTATGGAAATAAACAGCGACAAAAGCCTAAGTTTTCATTTTATTGGTTTGAAATAGGTTGATTTCTCGGTTGTTTATGGCAAGAGATGACATTTGATAGCGATTGATGTTGGTGGGCAAAAGGGCTAAACACATCACCTTGGAGGGCATAGTGTTGTAAATGGGCATGGCAAAACGGCCTAAACACAGATCTGCATGGAGTGGAGATTGATGCTGGTGGGAGTGGCCTAAAGTGCTGTAACAGATCAGGGTGGAGTGGAGAACACAGATCTGCATGGAGTGGAGATTGATGTTGGTGGGAACGGCCTAAAGGGCAGGAGTGGTCGAAAGGGCTGGAACAGATCAGGGTGGAGTGGAGAACACAGATCTGCATGGAGTGGAGATTGATGTTGGTGGGAGCGGCCTAAAGGGCTGTAACAGATCAGGGTGGAGTGGAGAACACAGATCTGCATGGAGTGGAGATTGATGTTGGTGGGAGTGGCCTAAAGGGCTGTAACAGATCAGGGTGGAGTGGAGAACACAGATCTGCATGGAGCGGAGATTGATGTTAGTGGGAGTGGCCTAAAGGGCTGGAACAACAGATCAGGGTGTGGGAGTCGAAAGGACTGAACACAGATCTGCATGGAGCGGAGATTGATGTTGGTGGGAGTGGCCTGAACAAAGGGCTGGAACAGAGATTGAGGGTGGAGCGGAGAACACAGATCTGCATGGATTGGAGATTGATGTTGGTGGGAGTGGCCTAAAGGGCTGAACACAGATCAGGGTGGAGTGGAGAACACAGTGGGAGATCGAAAGGACTGAACACAGCAGGGTGGAGTGGTGGAGATTGATGTTGGTGGGAGTGGCCTAAAGGGCTGTAACAGATCAGGGTGGAGTGGAGAACACAGATCTGCATGGAGCGGAGATTGATGTTAGTGGGAGTGGTCGAAAGGGCTGAACACAGATCAGGGTGGAGTGGAGAACACAGATCTGCATGGAGCGGAGATTGATGTTAGTGGGAGCGGCCTAAAGGGCTGTAACAGATCAGGGTGGAGCGGAGAACACAGATCTGCATGGAGTGGAGATTGATGTTAGTGGGAGTGGTCGAAAGGGCTGAACACAGATCAGGGTGGAGTGGAGAACACAGATCTGCATGGAGCGGAGATTGATGTTGGTGGGAGTGGCCTAAAGGGCTGAACACAGATCAGGGTGGAGTGGAGAACACAGATCTGCATGGAGCGGAGATTGATGTTGGTGGGAGTGGCCGAAAGGGCTGTAACAGATCAGGGTGGAGTGGAGAACACAGATCTGCATGGAGCGGAGATTGATGTTGGTGGGAGTGGCCTAAAGGGCTGTACACAGATCAGGGTGGAGTGGAGAACACAGATCTGCATGGAGTGGAGATTGATGTTGGTGGGAGTGGCCTAAAGGGCTGAACACAGATCAGGGTGGAGTGGAGAACACAGATCTGCATGGAGCGGAGATTGATGTTGGTGGGAGAGAAAGGGCTGAAACAGATCAGGGTGGGGTGGAGTGGAGAACACAGATCTGGATGGAGCTGCATGGAGATTGATGTTGGTGGGAACAGATCAGGCCTGGAAAAGGGCTGTAACAGATGAGGGTGGGAGTGGAGAACACAGATCTGCATGGAGCGGAGATTGATGTTAGTGGGAGTGGTCGAAAGGGCTGAACACAGATGAGGGTGGAGATCTGCGGAGATTGATGGTAGTGGAGTGGAGAACACAGATCTGCATGGAGTGGAGATTGATGTTAGTGGGAGAGGTCTAAAGGGCTGAACACAGATCAGGGTGGAGTGGAGAACACAGATCTGCATGGAGTGGAGATTGATGTTAGTGGGAGTGGCCGAAAGGGCTGATTAACAGATCAGGGTGGAGTGGAGAACACAGATCTGCATGGAGTGGAGATTGAGGTGAAAGGCCTAAACACTGAGAACAGATCAGGGTGGAGCGGAGAACACAGATCTGCATGGAGTGGAGATTGATGTTGGTGGGAGTGGCCTAAAGGGCTGTAACAGATCAGGGTGGAGTGGAGAACACAGATCTGCATGGAGCGGAGATTGATGTTAGTGGGAGTGGTCGAAAGGGCTGTAACAGATCAGGGTGGAGTGGAGAACACAGATCTGCATGGAGCGGAGATTGATGTTAGTGGGAGTGGTCGAAAGGGCTGAACACAGATCAGGGTGGAGTGGAGATTGATGTTAGTGGGAGTGGTCGAAAGGACTGTAACAGATCAGGGTGGAGCGGAGAACACAGATCTGCATGGAGCGGAGATTGATGTTAGTGGGAGTGGTCGAAAGGACTGTAACAGATCAGGGGGTGGTCGAGAACACAGATCTGCATGGAGCGGAGATTGATGTTAGTGGGAGCGGTCGAAAGGACTGTAACAGATCAGGGTGGATTGGAGAATATTGGCTGGTACGAAACATTTGGTTTCCAGGGACAGTTTATGTTCCTGAACATGGGCAAAATAACAGTGTGGAAGTGGTAAATATTTGAAATCTTGACCAAAACTTGTTGTAGGGAAAGGAGAGCGATTTTGAAAAGCGTGGTTTACACATTCGCTGTAAAGAGGTGGGGCTTTGGAGGTGGTGACATCTTTGAAGGACGTGGGCTAAAGAATTTACCACAGATAGGCTGAGCTAGGAGCAATGCTGGAGCTAGTGCCTGAACATATCTTGAGTGGAGTAAATACCGAAAGCCACTCAATTTTTTACTCTTATATACTCAATCACATAAAGCAATTTCCTGAATTGTTAATGAGGCCGTGTACTCGCTACAATTTGCTTTGCGTCTCTAAAACAGTCAAAATTTTCTGATCGTGGATTGGAACACCAGACTCGCCCTGCTAAGCAGGATACCATTTGAGGGGTTCACAAACGTGTAACATTTTGGTCTTTCTTTCCAAGTTACGGAAATAGTGATCAATGTGGAGTTACCCTAACTCCCCTGCATATCATTCAGCGTGTAGACCTTCTACAACAAGCTTGGACCAAATACTGTAAGTCCCTTAAATCAAACGGAGCCAACCCTAATCAGATCACCCTTAAAAATGACTAAAAACAGCCATTTAAAAGGGGATTTGTTAGCGTCAAGGTATTGACGGATCTAGGACGGGTGCGCCATCCACCCACTTTTTTTCAGATACCTTATAAGTAACCTGACCTCGTCACTTCGTGACTTGCATACAGATGCAATCACCCCAGTTTCCAAATACCGGATCCGCCACTATCAGCGCTTTCAAAAATGGTCTCCTGATATTATTAGAACGCATAAGATGATGAAGAATATTAAACTTTTAAAATGAAATAATTTTCGAACATGAGCAGAGCAGACAAAGTGAATGTCCTTGCCCCTTTACCTAACTAATAGAAACAAAACGACCGCCCCCAAAAAAAAAAAAAAAAGAAGAAGAAGCTAAATAAAATAAATAAATAAAAAATAGAAAATGATATATAAATTAACAAAATAATATTATAATAAACTAATGATAATAATGAAAAGAATAAATATAAAACAAGGACCCCCAAAACAAAACAACACACACCCTCACACACCCCACCCACACCCCAATAAAAAGAAAAGAAATGAATAACAAATAAATGGACAAAAAAGCAACAACAAACATACAAATAAATTTAATAATCGTGTTTACTGTGATGGGGCCATACAGCAATAGATGTACACTGGATTAAAGAGGTTAGGGGTCATGGAATATTTTGGGGGGTAATTTATTTTTATGAAGTTGTGTGCTCAATCACGCACTACTACTTATGGTGGGGTGTTCAAGTGGTTAAAGCGTCACGCCGAAGACCCGGGTTTAATTCCCCATATGGGTACAACGTGTGAAGCCCATTTCTGGTGTCCCCCTCCGTGCTGCATGGAATATTGCTGAAAGCGGCGTAAAACCACCTCCTCCTGCCTCTCCCTCCTCTTCCTCCGTCTCCTCTCTCCCTCCTCCCTTCCTCTCTCCTCTCCTCTGCCTCTCTCCCTCCTCCTCCTCCTTCCTCTCTCCTCTCCTCTTCACCTCTTCTCCCTCCCTCCCTCTCTCTCCCTCTCCTCTCTCACCTCTCCCCTCCCTCTCCTCCTCTCCCTCTCTCTCGTCTCTCTCCTCTCTCTACACCCTCTCCCTCCCTCTCTCTCTCTCCTTTTCTCCCTCTCTCCTCCTTCCTATCTTTCTCTCTCTCTCCTTCCTCACTCTCAATCTCTCCCCCTCTCTCTCCCTCTCCTCCCCCTTCCCTATCTTTCTCCTCTCTCTCCTTCCACACTCTCAGTCTCACCCCTCTCTCTCCTCTCTCCTCTCCTCCTCCCCCTATCTCTCCTCTCCTCTCTCCTCCTCTCACCCCTCACCCCTCCTCTCTCTCTCTCTCCCCTCCCATCCTTTCCCTCCTCCCTCCCTCCTCCCACGCTCTCCCTCCCTCTCCCTCCCTCTCTCTGCTCCCCCCATTCTTCTTTCTCTCTCACACACTCACGCACGCACTCACGCGATCGCGTGTTAACACATGCACACTTATACATATAGGAATGAAACAGAGTACAGTTTAATCACAATTATGAATCACATAGTACGTGCCGCTATACGCTTTGCAGAGTTGCGTCCCTTAGCCAAGCGAGCCACCTTGGACTCCGGGTTCAAATCCCATATTTGTTTGATCATGCTTCTCTCTCAGCGCAGTACTTGCACTTGTGGTAAAAGTCTTGTACTCATCGTGGGCTTTTTCCCCATGTAAAGCTGAAATACCAGTATATAACTACGTTTACAGACATCAAATAGGCGTTGCGCTAAACCTCTTCAGTTGAGCTACATGTACACGGTAATTATCTCCCCTACCACTCGTTGATTGGAAGCCACTATCGCCTTTCATATGTCTCATATTGTATAGTACATAACAGTTGGTAGTAACAGAAAACAACCGTTGTACCTTTAGTACAAGGGAACCAACCTCTTTTACAAAAATCATGTTTATCTAACGCATGCCCACGGATTCCTAGACAACACCATGCTTCATACAATGAAATCCGGTATGATAACTCTCCCAATGAGATCGTACTAGGATGAGGTGTGTCATATGCTTTATATCAAATATCAATTTTGTCTATTTATGGAAGACATTTTTTTTCTGTTTTACACTTGCATCCTATGGTCTTGTGACATGGTGAAGCTATCAATAACACCCAAAGACTGACTGACTGACTGTTTAGTTTTACGCCGCTTTTAGCAATATTCCAGCAACATCACGGCGGGGGACACCAGAAATGGGCTTCACACATTGTACCCATGTGGGGATTCGAACCCGGGTCTTCGGCGTGACGAGCCAACGCTTTAACCACTAGGCTACCCTATAAAAGGCGTGACGAGCCAACGCTTTAACCACTAGGCTACCCCACCGCCAAATTTGCATGTTGAAATCTGACATTTGGACACGTCCTTGACCAACGAAGATTTTATTTCAACATATTTTGCACTGTTATCAATTTCCTATGAAATATAGCTTCGTTGTCCATGTTCAGTTATAAAAAGACCCCTCTTTCATACATCTATCATCAGTCTTTCCTCCACAGTTTAGTGGGTTTGTTAGTTTGTTGTTTAAAGCCGCACTCAGCAATATTCCAGCTATATGACGGCGGTCTGTAAATAATCGAGTCTGGACCAGACAATCCAGTGAAAAACAGCATGAGCATCGATCTACGCAACTAGGATACGATGATATGTGTCAACCACGTCAGCGAACATGACCACCCGATCCCGTTAGTCGCTTTTAACGACAAGCATGGGTTACTGAAGACCAATTCTAACCCGGGTTCTTAACGGTTTCCACAGTTAAGCCCTATGCACACATTTTATAATTCCAAGTCATAAAGTGTTGAAATAAACAAAGTCTGTCATTTATACGGAAATTCTTATAATTTAAAGAAGAATTTACTTCTTTGAATCAGGCCTTGACCCTTGTCCGTGTACTGGAGGACAAGGTTTTGCGAACATACACGATCCGAAATACCGAGACACAGTAAACTACTGTTACGACAAACTCGAATGTTTGTTCTTTATAACCGCCATTCGTTGTACCTATTTAGACTATCAAATACAGAAAGTGACCTAAACAACAACGACGACGACTACGACGACAACAACAACAACGACGACGACGACAACAACAACAACGACGACGACGACGACGACAACAACAACGACGACGACGACGACGACGACGACGACAACAACAACAACGACGACGACGACGACAACAAACAAACAAACAAAACAAGCCCAACCTAGTTTACCTCAATTGTATCAATTATATCTAAACTTTCTCCTTTTTCAGTAAACATATAATAGTCATATTTTTCACGTTCATATTCCAAACTTCACCTGGCTACTTAATAAAGTAGACAAACGTCACATTTGAAACATTTGATGAAAACTAAATGTGACAAGCGCTGTTTTTATATAGAATTTTAAAAGTGTTAACAGATATACAATAAAGAAAAATCGACAACATGAGTTCGTGGAAATCCGTACTTGATTCACCTTAATAGTGAAATAAGATACTCGGTCGGGATTGGTAACCAGTGTAGGAACTAGTATTGGTAACAATTACCTCCCTTTGTGATGTGGAACACGTTAGATTGACGTCACCAGGGGTTACTGTGGCTGAATGCTTCAAGATCCGGGTTTCCGTCAATAAAAGGGCAGTCGACACACGGATCAGAGTGGAGTCCATGTGTGACCCACGGCCAGGTAGAATGTCGCTACACCACGCCCAGGTAAGCTTGTGTTTGTGCTCATGTACCTCATAACCTACCATTTGCTAAAGATATACATTTTGTAAATACTTTTTAAAATATTGCAATTACTCAATATAGTTTCATATGTTTTCAGCCTTTGTTTAACATATAAACATGGTTAGTATATCTTATTATTTTTATAGGTTAACTGTAAAATCTCTAGAAACGAGTGTTACTCCTTTTCCGCAATTTACCTTGTCACAATGTATAGTGTTTTTGTGGCAGTTTATGAAAGCTTTCTAGTCGAATTGTTCTCACACTGTCTATCTGTACAACCTAAAAAGTATTGTAGAGCATAAATTGAACACCGGCAGAAAGAAGTATATACCCATTTTTGATGATGTCAATAATGAAATATACAAGAAATGGTTGTTGGATAGGAATGTATTTAATACGAGTATCAGAGCTGTGTTTTGGATCTTAAGTTAGCTTGGTAACGTTTTCATAACATTTATGTATTTTTAGGTTTTTCAGTGTACATTTCCTTTTGCCCGGTTGTATGATAACAACTGATCTCTGCACATGTCACGTCAGTAGATGTGCAGCTATTATTTTTAATTGTTCTCACCGTTCTTTTAAATTAAAACATGTGTGTTTTGAAGAAGGGTCTGAAAACTTGCGCTGTCCTTCACACAAAACATCCAAGCCAAACATCTCCAACACCAAAACCAATTAAACATACTTCTCTCGACGGAAAACAAGACCGCACACTTAATGTTTGTACGGATGCATCTATTTCACGGGTTACTGGAATACTGAATGCCATCCTCTAGAATCCAGGCTATTACATGTCAATATTGCCTGACTCCTAGAACAAATAAGGAGACTTATCACATCCTCGTTATTTAAGTACACATTACATCACTCGAGGAAGGTGAGCTTCAGTACCGTCAATTGATATCAAGTGTTATTCGATCCCCTCCATTCTATTGTGATAATTCAAATACACTGGACCCATTCATTATTATAGTTTGTATTCTTTCTTTGAATGAATATGTACCAAACATCTGCAGCTGAGATTCATGAAATATTTCACTCGGTGCTTCAAGCCATTAAATTGCAATTTAAATTCATCTTTATCTATTTCGCCCTGGAACGGATTAACACTTGAATGAATTTTATCGATATGTCCTCGTGAATTCATTTTACAGTCCACCGCTGACAATGATAGACAATGTGCTGATTGCTTTATCCTGCAGCGATACGGACCATGACTTTCTTATTTGCAAGTCCACTGATATTGTACTCAATATTAGGTCATAAAAGATTTGTTTGGGATTTGGATAGGAGATATGTTGACTCGTTTTGCAACGCTCAATAACAAAACTCTGAATAGCTCATTCATCGTTGTATAATCAGTTCACATGTATACTATGATTGAAATTGCCATGTCCAGTTAGTAGACATGGCCATTTATTTGACATAGATATTGTAACATATGTTGTATTGGGATTATACTTTCTTAGTAAAGTACAAATTCTAGTACTTTATTGGGGTTGAGTCCCATGCTGGAGTCAGGCACTGTTAATAACAGGCACCAAATCGCCAACACACAAAGTCAGCCGGCGATTTGTGTGCTGGCGATTTGGTGCCTGACTCTGAGGGTGTGTGTTCGAATCCCACATGGGACTCAACCCCCTAGAAGTACTAGAATTTGTACTTTACTAAGAAAGCGTAATCCCAAATATAACATATGTTTCATTTGACCACTTTCTAAATGGCATTGTGTAATCATAGATATTGTATTAACAAAAACTGTTTGTAGCTAAAAATGAATCATTGGAAAGTTTTGCAATATTCAGGTTAAAGTTCATCGAAATATCACGTCTACATATACGGTATGTACTTGTTGTTACTTAACCGGGGGCGGTTGGGTAGCCTAATGGTTAAAGCGTTGGCTCGTCTCGCCGATGACCCGGGTTCGAATCCCCACATGGGCACAATGTGTGAAGCCCATTTCAGGTGTCCCCCGCAGTGTTGTTGCTGGAATATTGCTAAAAGCGGCGTAAAACCAAACTCAGTCAGTCAGTCAGTGTTACTTAACCGCTATACCAAGCAATGTTCCCGGGGCGGTGGGGTAGCCTAGTGGTTAAAGCGTTGGCTCGTCACGCCGAAGACCCGGGTTCGAATCCCGACATGGGTACAATGTGTGAAGCCCATTTCAGGTGTCCCCTGCCGTGATGTTGCTGAAATATTGCTAAAAGCGGCGTAAAACTAAACTCAGTCAGTCAGCAATGTTCCGTGCTAGATGAGTACGGTCGGTAAAGCCAGTGGTTGGTTCCTCAGTACTCACCTACCCATCCATCAACCTAGTCAGCCAGCCTGATCACCCGATCCCGTCATTCGAGTATGCGAATATGGTTTTACTCCGCTTTTAGCAATATTCCAGCAATATCACTGCGGGGAACACCAGAAATGGGCTTCACCCACTGTATCCATGTGGGGAATCGAACCCGGGTCTTTGGCGTGACGAGCGAACGCTTTTACCGCTAGGCTACCCCATCGCCCCTCCCGCCATTCGACTCTTACGATTATTACATGTTGCAGACAACGATGACTTCGTGTTATTAAATGTTTTTCATTCATAAGATGACTTCACTGGTTCCCATACAAGAATGACTTGTTTTGATGTTGAATAATTTGCTTCAGATGCTCAGCTTCGTATTTGTTCTGACGTGGATGTCCGTGACAGCACGTGCCAGCTACGGCCCCTTTCAGCGCTACTATACAAGGTCTTATGGACATTCCGAATATCCCCCGTACAGAAATTACTACAACCCTCTGTCAAACTGTTTGAAGATGGTGTACGGCAAGGATATTTTCTACGACCGTCCTGTTTCCTCCATCTCTCCGATAAAAACCTTGGACGACTCGAATGCCCAGGATAACGTGAAAAGAAGCTACGGAAACATGTTTATGACCCTGGATGAACTGAAGTCGTCTTTAGGGATCCCCGCTTCTACCCACGTCAACTGGGACGGCGGAGTTCACTCCCCTGACAACAGACCAGCAAAAAGCGCCAGCGCCACTGGCTCGAGCACGTTACAGTTCGACTCCGATGTGTGTTGTTCCACGTAAGTAGTGTTGTGCATGGGGATAGTAGGAAGTTCTCGCAATATCGAAGTCACATGAATATCAGTCCATTTGTTATTGGTTTCCATTATCGCTACTGTGCCATCTACACGAATGTTTCTGCTTGTATCCCAAGTATCACCACAGTGATGTTCCTTGTGTCCCTTTCGTGAAAGGGTGCTAAATACAGTGAAAAGACAAACTCACTTCATAATTCCCAAGAAAGCGACATTTGCTGAGCGTTCTGGTGAAGTATATTCTGCTTTAAGGCGTATTTCAGATTAAACAAACTTTTTTCTCATTTTGTTCATAGGGACGAGGTGTTCCTTATCAACGAAACCTTGGTGGATGTAGAGAACATCCCTAGGAAGATAGCCCAGCTGACCAAGATTGGGGCATACCAGTTTATACGCCATGGATTTTGTGCGTGAGTATACGTCCATGTTGTGAAGCAGTCATCGAGCGAGAGAGTTAACATCATGAAATCTGGACAGACAGTCTTCTTTTATAAACACCAAAAAAGCGTTTGCATAAATACTTGTTGGCGTCAAGCAGCAACTGTCCGAGAAATGAAGTTCCCGGTTTCACCGTAAGATTGTCTTTAACGTTTTAACGTTATTCTCCGTTGACTTCTTTGAGTGGCATTTTAAAAGTTGGGAAGTACAATTCATATTACCCATCAAAAGTTTAGACTCGCTTAAAGCACTCACTATATATGTTATGTATATATATGTGGTTACATCGAGGGGAGGTAGGGTAGCCTAATGGTTAAAGCGTTGGCTCGTCACGCCGAAGACCCGGGTTCGAATCTCCACATGGGTACAATGTGTGAAGCCCATTTCTGTTGTCCCCCGCCGTGATGTTGCTGGAATATTGCTAAAAGAGACGTAAAACCAAACTCAGTCAGTCAGTCAGTGGTTACATCGAAGATGAATTTCTCCACTAACTTGGGGGAACCAACTGCAAAGCTTATGCAGATGAATTGCACGAGGATCATGTATCAAATTGTTGAAAAGCATGTGCAAATATCGTGCAAATGAACAGCTGCATTTGCAGTTTTGTTAAGAATTCATCAATTTTCACTGCGTTTCATCATTTATTGAACTCATGACATAATATTCTTTTCAACGTTACGAATTTGGTTTACAATACATCAGTTCATGTGTAAACAATACCTTTAAACAGTATGGAATATTTTGCAAAATCTAGTTTAGAACAGTTGAGTGAAGTACGTGGCTACATTTACACGAGTGAGTCTAATTTTTGATGGGTAGTATAGAACAAACTTTATGGATAACAACTTCTTTTATTTCGTGAGGGCGACGTTTCGATATCGATCCGTGAACCGTTGTACCATTTCCTGCTTGACAACCGTACAAGGACCTGGATCGAAACGTCGCACTCACGAAATAAAAGAAGTTGTTATCCATAAAGTTTGTTCTATATTATTCTTCGTTGGTCACACATTTCTGTTAGGAACATGTGTACATACAGTCCAGGTGTGTGATTGTTTTCTCTTTCAGTGTTAAAGGGGCGTGTCCAGGTGAATGTTTACAACACTACATTAATCTACCGCTGGCTGTAGATGAACCTGGGGCCGGTTTGCCAATCACGTTTCGGTTTTTCAAGATACCCGGATACTGCTCCTGTCGTGTAATTGGATTTTGAAACCGACTTTTACCTCCAACAACGAGTTTCGGTGTTCGCCCTAAGTGTTTTATATTTTAACCAGTTTCAGACCTGTGTTGCAATGCTAACACCCTCGACAGATAACAGTATGTGCAAATCATGTGTTCCTTAACTTCATTTGAACAGTATATTATCAGTCCCTACCCATGTAAGGGGTGATTGATTTTGAAACCCTCCAATGATTGTAAATTCAGGTTTTAAATAACAGGATAAATGTTTAACAATTTCAACGGTTAGTTTCGATTGTACGCTCTGTTTGTTTAATTACGTCTTAACCAGTGAGACACGAGTTGCACTCCGCATGAAATTCTTAGATTATTAACAGAGAACAATGTCTATTTAAACTGATGGTAGCGGACAATCGCCACTTTACGTCTTTGGTTGTACATATTTCACTGGTTAGAGTCCATTACCACTGTCACGAACTTCTGGGGGCGATGGGATAGCCTAGTGATTAAGGCGTTCGCTCGTCACGCCGAAGACGAAGTTCGATTCCCAACATGAGTACAATCCGTCCCCAACACACGCAATATCACCGCTAAGACTAATAACTGTTTTCTTTTAGATTTGTTATTTTCATTTAGGCAAAAAGACACCCAATGTGTTAAAATTTAAAGAATTGTTTACCTGTAAACGAATTAGTGTTTAAAAACCTGTGTGTATTTTGCAATACCATTATGAAAACTGTATAATCTTCCATGTAAACAATCTCGCCTATGTATTCTTAAAGGGTACACGAATAAACAAGGTCTAATGATGTCATTCGTTTATCAGTTTGGCACCAATGACGACATTTGCAAGGGACATAACCAATAATGTGTTTATTGTTGAAATACAACTCTCGGTAAATGTGCAAAATATGAATCGATATAATGCAAAAAGTAAATTAGTTACTGATATCAGTACTGTTTTGGCTATAAAATTCCTTGACAAACACTTTTTGTGCTGAAAAAGTGCAAGATTTTCGTGTAAACTTGGCTTTCACCTGTACAGTTGAACCTCTTATTCCGAGTATCCTGGCCTGAGCGAAATAAAAGTTCTGTTCTGTTCTGCAAAACACCGAAATATTTACGTCCGCTTCGTTTACTAAGCAAGAAACGTGTACACATTGGAGAAGGGATAGTTTTGCACGCGACAAGCGCCTTCTTCGCTTTGCGGAAAGGGGGAAGTGGTGACGAATGGAGACCATGTCCCTGGTTTAACACGTGTAGTAATATTCAAATATGTTTACACCACTGGGCTAGTCGGGTTCCCAGTCTCCCCATGATTTGAATGACTAGCCTCTCGTCATAGTTATGTTGTAATTAGTTGGAAGGCACTGATGACAAGGAGCGGGAATTTTATATTGTGACCCCCTAATGTGCCAGGATCCGGTTATCGTTTGCACATATTTTCAACAAAGTGATCTGCATAATTTGAGGACACATTTCCGCTTTAAGGTCGTCGTGGTGTACTATTCTAAACCATTCGTCACCACTCGCCCCTTTCCGTAACCCGCTATTCGGCTTGTCCCGGAATAACACGAGTTGGTCACGAATGATTCTAAACCGCTGATTCAGGTGTCAGATCACACGCAGTTCTTGAGATGATTCCTCCTCCTCCCTCTCTCTCTCTCTCTCCTCCCCCACCCCCCATTTTTTTGTTGCAAATATGCAGATCTAGAAGCGTATGGAAATTATTACAAAGTAATGACGAAAATAACACTTTTGAATCGGAAATTCCATTCATTTATAACAACCTATGTAGCCGTCGCCAGTCGCAGGTTATCGTCGAATTCCGTGCGCCACCTATTCCGCATTTTTGTAAGTCCATTTAGCTACATTCTTACATCGGGAAGCATCCGTACCTACAACAGCATTGGTGTACATGTATTCTCTAAGCTTCTTAGAATTGTATTTGATGGATGTAACAATTGTATTTGATGGATGTCACAATTGTATTTGATGGATGTCACATATATTTGATGGAAACATGTCCGTATTTTCCTATGTGATTTATATTGTACTAGGTATTGTATATAGGGTATTGTATATTGTAGATATATATGGCCAGTCGCAATTGTCAAGTTGCATGACATGGTAAATACATGTATAATCCGTGTTCATTTGTATCGTTGACTCATGTAAGGGGAGGAATAACACATACTGTTTTGCACAAGCATATATTCTATCTGTGATAATAAATCGTTTTTTATTTAATTTATAATTGATTGTTTGTTTTCTGTGGTATATTTACATATTGAAGCTGGCCATGATAGATGTGGCACATTGAGCTCTCTGTAAACTGAGGAGGTTCGTCTACCCCAGCGAAGGTAATTCGCGCAGCGGAATTCGGAATTAGACAAACGGGTGTACGGGTGTATGAAACAAATGGTGTTACCTGACAGCCAAAAATTCCGATTTAATAGACAAGTTGCATATCCTACTGTTATATTTTTCGATGGATCCTGTGTGGGAGGGTGCGTGCGTGCGTAATGTTTGAGGTTGTGTGATATCGTGATTTCACCTAAGTGTTAAACATCTCAGATCTACATCGTTCCGGGATACATCAGGCAGTTGCCCCAACTCACTGTAACTTGTAAATGCTTTGCCAGTTTAAACCAGGGCCCCGACAATAACCTGCATTATATTTTCTCGTCCTCTACTATGAGGTGGGATATGGGCCATTTTCAGCCCACGGCACCTGTATAATTGCAGTGAGTGAGTGAGTTTGATTTTACGCCACTGTTACCAATATTCCACAGACACAAGGGCGGGAGTCACTAGAACTGGGCTTCACACATTGTATCCATCTGGAAAATCGAACGCGTGACTTCAGCAAGCATGATGAGCGAACGCTAAAGCCTCAAGGCTAACTCCTGCCACACCTGTGGCATCCGTCCCAAACACATGCAAAAATAAGCCAAAGTATTCACTTGAAAAACGAAACACTGTAACATTTGGAATCAACATGTCTCTGTTTTAAGCTGATATGAATTCAGAGGAAGCAGATGGGAATTAAGTGTCTCCAATCCACAACTGCATTGAAATAAAACTCATTTTGACTCTGTACTTACAATGTTTACTAATGCAGACTTGTTCTCGTCACTATATATTATATGGCTGGAATAATGCCGATGTGACGTAAAGCCCAACTCAACAACCACAACTGCAACACAAGATGAATGGCATGTGGTGAAAAGCCCCGGATCGCCCTCACGTCGCTCTTTTTCAACAGGCAACCAACCTCCAAGAAACTGTCCAATCCCGAAACTTCTCTCACGACTAAGCCTGCCATGTGTAGCAACGACAACCAGGGGTGGTAACTCAAACTTCTGTTTTCAATCATTTGCTGCCCCTGACAAAAACATCAGCTTGAAACCTGTGTTCGAAATAGCCAGTGGCCCGCTAGCCCGTGGCTAGTAAAAAATCCAATCGGGCCAGTAAATCTCCACAGTCACTGGCCCGACTGGCTAGAGACTTTTCATGGGATCATTTTGTAAATATATCACTCTCTCCGACTTGTTAAGTTATAACACAGCGTCAAATCATTCCAGATTTTGTCCTAATAAGAATGTTCATCATATCAGCAGCTTAATGCTGAAACCCGTGTCTACATTCAAATTTCGGGTTTGTGAATTATTTTGCGGGCTAGTAACTTTCAGGCATAGCTAGCCTAAATGGCTAGCAAAATTTAGAAACTATTTCGCACACTGCTTGAAACATACTGACTGACTGACTGAGTTTAGTTTTACGCCGCTTTTAGCAATATTCCAGCAATATCACGGCGGGGGGCACCAGAAATGGGCTTAACACATTGTGCCCATGTGGGGAATCGAACCCGGATCCTCGGCGTGACGAGCCAACGCTTTAACCACTAGGCTACCCCACCGCCATTGAAACATACAAACAAACCCAAACTTACACGATCTCTAGTCACATAACAACATAGGTGGATCCAGAGGGGGGGGATATGCAGGGGTGCGCACCCTCCCTTTTGTCCTGAAAGTTTCTTAAATGACCACTGAAACTCTCGTGAAAATGAAGTGTGAACCCCTTACTTAATAGTGAGAAAATAATTTGTAAGCATAAATTTTAATTATTACCCACACGGCCTAGGATACATACACAGGTGATCATCGCACCTGTGCTTTTCAGTGATATGTGCCTATGATGACCCCCCTGCCTCCCCAGAACAAAATGGGTGACAGCCCACCCGCCATTAATTATGAACGGTCCCTTATTGTTGCGGTGTAAAAAAAAAATGCACTCACAGCAATGCACAGAACAACAATTAAATGTCTTAATTTGCCACAAGCCCTCAATACCAGAAAATGTATCGAAATAGCGAACCAAAGTTTGATACTGGCAGAATTGGATTTTAAGTACATTGACTCACATTCAGTAATGTAGTTCAAGCCACAGTTTTGCTATACATTTAAAATCACTGAACTGTGACATTGGATTGCTCCTTTTATAACTCGACTGTTGATCGTGATCAAATCATCAATGTAAGAATCTCATAGTTATCTCCCTTCAATAATGGCACGCGCTGTATTTGTTGTGATGTTGCCAAGCTGTGGATTGCGACTCGGGTCAATGAAGACGGATTTCTTTATGGGAGGTCGCTCGCGGCTTGGTAGCACACATGATACTAACATTAACCCGCTGTATGTTACTTGACATGACAGCAGACTTGATTGATGTCCACCTTACGTAGCGCCACAGACCTCCCGATGCGGTGATATGACAATCTCACTGCTGAAAAAACCAACACTGATCTGTGTGTGGACTAAATATATTATCGCATTGCAAGAGGTGTGATACTGGACACACCACACTGGTTGCCCCGTCACGGTGTCAAGGCCCTTAATCACTGGTAAGTTTTGCTTGTTGACTTGAAACTTATCTGCTGACAGGCATTGCGATCTTATATTTACTTATTTCAAACCCTATGTGTCAATGTGTCTATTAAGTCTATAAATAACGTCATATGATATAACTACTCTTATATATATATAAAACTGTTTGGTAATAATGTTTGTACTTGTTGCTGAGAAAACATGTCATTAACTTTTCAAATGGGTATCAATATGTCTATAATAGCTATAAATGACTACATATAATATTAATTATTCTTATCCTTTATTATAACTGTTTAGTAATATTTTTTGCACTTGTTGCTGAGAAAAAGGCCTTTAGTTTCTTGTCTGAAGAACAATTAGCAGTGAGCTTGTGTAAGTGTTCTTATATTGACATATAAAGGAAAATTAATAGTTAAGTGAATTATCTTCCATGTATTTAATCTTATTGATGTAACAATTAAGTTTTCAAATCAGTAAAGTAAATGAATTTACTTCTTGATCATTGGAATGAGGACAATTTTCAATTTTGGTAAGCTTCGGTAAGTTGAAATACAAAATATGTTAAATTTATGTAACTCATTACAGAAGTTGTTTTTGTGGTACGGTTTAATGGGTGAAAAGGATTCTGGATTTTTTCCTAGTAACATGTCTGTGGATTTTACTCTGAGTCAGAAAAGTTTCTATTCTCATCAAGAGGTGTTTCTATTGTTAGTCAATACAAACAATGCATTTGATAATCATTGTTTTATAAGTTGAGGTTAGTTTGTGTTTTTAATTCTTTAAGATAAACCTTTGAAGTAATAAATATAAATGTAACTTACTATATTTTTTAATGATTTTAGGATGTGGTTAGACTATTCTGTAAACTGAAAATGGAATGAATGACAGTATACCAATTGGTTCTCAGTTATACCAAACCTGATACAAATGTATCCATTACAGCCCATGCAAGTCCAAAACAGTTGACAAGTCTAGATTACTGCAGTTTCAAGAATGAAAAAACAAGCCCTAGGAACCATTAATAATCACTTAACAATTATGTTTTTTTATTAAAGGTTTAGTGAATAAATGCTGGTGTATCAAATTGGTTGATATTGAAAAAGTATAATCTTGTCAACTACAGCTGCTGGCAACACTAAACTCATGTCAACCTCCCACAAATGCCAATCAATTTGTCTTTTTGCTTGAGGGCATTTTATAATGTTTGGAATGCTTGGTTCGTTCACAATTTTCATTTTTTGTGTGACATGTACAGTGCTTCTTTTTGACTTACTGGTCTTAATAACATGCATTTGTCGTTCTTTTTGTTTAGTACAGCTTTGAATTTTGTTTGAAGTTGTTTTAGGAAATTGAATTAAAAATTAAAATCTAATAATATTTAACTAACCTATCCATCATATGTTTCTAAAAGGGGCAGGTGTGTTTTGGGCTAAAATTATAATTTATTTTAGACATACTTCAATTCTGATTGTTTTTTGTTACATGACCTAATAACCATGTTTTTGTCTGTTTTTGTCTTTTTCTTTATTCTCTTCATTTAGTACAGCTGAGAATTTGCTTTGCAGTCATTGGAAAATTGAAATAAAATTAAAATATAAATTTGACTTGCTGACCTAATATTAATTGTAAAATGAACTAAGTAATATGTATATTGTCATACTCTTAATTTTCAAAATTGCCTTTGAATTTTATAATAAATATTAAGATTATTTTTTATTGGAAAATCTGTGAGGTTTTATGAAAGATTACACACACACAATCAGGCAAACAATAACACAAGATGTGCCTGAGGATAACAAATGCAATAGCTCCATGAAGTTGATGAAGTTGATTGACTTTCTTCTCCGAACTGCTGTATCTTCATTGACATCACAAGTACATGTTTGCACTGTTCTTCCTACCATTGTGTCCCGCTCTGTTAAAGATGCCAACTTGGTGGTGGGACACCAGAAAAGTACATGTTTGCACTGTTCTTCCAGTCATTGTGTCCAGCTCTGTTAAAGATGCCAACTTGGGTGTGGACACCAGAAAAGTACATGTTTGCACTGTTCTTCCTACCATTGTGTCCCGCTACTGTTAAAGATGCCAACTTGGGTGTGGACACCAGAAAAGTACATGTTTGCACTGTTCTTCCTACCATTGTGTCCTGCTCTGTTAAAGATGCCCACTTGGGTGGGGACACCAAAAGAAAAGTACATTGTACCGATTGTGTCCAGCTCTATGTTAAAGATCAACTTGGGTGGGGGACACCAGGGTCTTCGGCTGATGACAAGTGAACACTATTTAACCACTAGGCTGGGGACACCAGAAAAGTACATGTTTGCCCATTTTGCTTGTAACTGAAATGGGTTGAGATGAAAATCCAGTCTGTAATATAAAAATTTTCAAACTCTTAGTATCTTCCAGTGAAATTGTGTCCCGCGATTTTGATAGGAGCAAATAACTCTTTTTAAAATTGAAGATGATCTCCAGTCAGATGTTTGCACTGTTCTTCCTACCATTGTGTCCTGCTATGTTAAAGATGCCAACTTGGGTGTGGACACCAGAAAAGTACATGTTTGCGCTGTTCTTCCTACCATTGTGTCCTGCTCTGTTAAAGATGCCAACTTGGGTGGGGACACCAGAAAAGTACATGTTTGCACTGTTCTTCCTACCATTGTGTCCTGCTCTGTTAAAGATGCCAACTTGGGTGGGGACACAGAAAAGTACATGTTTGCACTGTTCTTCCTACCATTGTGTCCCCAGCTTCTGTTAAAGATGCCTACTTGGGTGGGACACCAGAAAAGTACATGTTTGCACTGTTCTTCCTACCATTGTGTCCCGCTCTGTTAAAGATGCCAACTAGGGTGTGACACCAGAAAAGTACATGTTTGCACTGTTCTTCCTACCGTTGTGTCCCGCTCTGTTAAAGATGCCAATTTGGGTGTGACACCAGAAAAGTACATGTTTGCACTGTTCTTCCTACCATTGTGTCCCGCTCTGTTAAAGATGCCAACTTGGGTGTGACACGAGAAAAGTAAATGTTTGCACTGTTCTTCCTACCATTGTGTCCCGCTCTGTTAAAGATGCCAACTTGGATGTGACACGAGAAAAGTACATGTTTGCACTGTTCTTCCTACCATTGTGTCCTGCTCTGTTAAAGATGCCAACTTGGGTGGGGACACCAGAAAAGTACATGTTTGCACTGTTCTTCCTACCATTGTGTCCCGCTCTGTTAAAGATGCAAACTATGGTGGGACAGAAAAGAAAAATTCTTCCTACATTGTGTCCCGCAAAGATGCTACTTCTTCCACTACCATTGTGCACTGTTCTTCCTGCCATTGTGTCCTGTTAAAGATGCCCACTTGGTGTGGACACCAGAAAAGTACATGTTTGCACTGTTCTTCCTACCATTGTGTCCCGCTCTGTTAAAGATGCCAACTTGGGTGTGACACCAGAAAAGTACATGTTTGCACTGTTCTTCCTACCGTTGTGTCACGCTCTGTTAAAGATGCCAACTTGGGTGTGACACCAGAAAAGTACATGTTTGCACTGTTCTTCCTACCATTGTGTCCCGCTCTGTTAAAGATGCCCACTTGGGTGTGATATGAGAAAAGTAAATGTTTGCACTGTTCTTCCTACCATTGTGTCCTGCTCTGTTAAAGATGCCCACTTGGGTGTGACACGAGAAAAGTACATGTTTGCACTGTTCTTCCTACCATTGTGTCCCGCTCTGTTAAAGATGCCAACTTGGATGTGACACGAGAAAAGTACATGTTTGCACTGTTCTTCCTACCATTGTGTCCTGCTCTGTTAAAGATGCCAACTAGGGTGGGGACACTAGAAAAGAGCTTCACACATTGTACCGATGTGGGAAATCAAACCCGGGTCTTCGGGATGACAAGTGAACACTTTAACCACTAGGCTACCCCACCGCCCCATTTTGCTTGTAACTGAAATGGGTTGAGATGAAAATCCAGTCTGTAATATAAAATTTAGACAAACTCTTAGTATCTGAAAATATGTAATTTTGATAGGAGCAAATAACTCTTTTTAAAATTGAAGATGATCTCCAGTCAGATGGGAGATTCAGAAACCAGAAATTCATGAATCTGAAATCTAGACTTGATTCATTTAGGGCTTTCCCGTTACAGATCGTGTGGAAGGAATATAATCTAGTTCAGGTATTGTGAGACTGACTACATATTCTGTTCTAAAGTTTGCCTTTAACAAACAGAATATAACTGTTATTGATCATGACGCCATGTGGACAGAATTAAATCAATATTTCCATGGAGCTAAACTTAAACAAGTGTTCATTCTAAATAAAGATATGATGAGTTCAAATACACATCCATAATTATATGACCAGGGATAAAGGTGTTGTGATTTTTAGGGGAAGGCTTTAGAAATTATAGAAATAGGCTCCCACTGAAGTAAACAACTTGGCAATTATCTCCATAATGAAGCCAAATAGCTGTCATTGCATGAAAGGGCGTGAATCTGTTGATTTGAAGTAGACAACACAGTGACAGAAGAATCTTGGCGAGGATCGATATTGGCAAAGCAATGTGCTTGTATCATTGTGTGGTTGAAGCCATTAATAACAGGATCTCTCACATAACTGTGTAATCTACAGACTGGGCCGAAATGAAAACATCATCTTTCATGGCTTAGTGAAATCACTTATGAATTATATTGAGGATCATTGAGGCCATTTTGTGTTAATGTCACACTTAACTGAATTCTCCTTGTGCAACGCTTGAGTGAACATCTTGACATCTAAAATGAAAGTCCTTTGATTGTTTGCTCTTTAAGAGAGTGTTACTAATTCTGGAGTAAATTTCTTTTGTATGGTTTTCAAGAATGCAAAGGTTTGATGAACGTGAAGGTATTCAAGTTAATTTAGTTTCTGTGCTGAGAACCAGTTTAGCTAAATATTGATTTCTATTGACTTTTTCTTTTATATTTTGTGTGTGAGAATAAAAGTGATTTTCACTGTAATTTACAACACTCAACTTTATATGAATAATTTGTTTAGGAACCGCTCATAAGATATGGCTAGGGTGGAGGTGTGTGATGATGAGTTCTTTTGAGAAGCAAGTATCAATGTGAATGACCCCGAATAGTAGGTGACCCCCGCATATGATGTACATAATCAATGACACCCCACCCTCCTTCCCATATTTTGTAACCATGTTTTCAAAATATTTTATGTACAAAATTGATGACCACCCCTACCTCCCCAGAACAAAATGGGTACCCCTTCCCCCTTAAAATCATCATCATCACCCCACCCCACCCCCATAAATTATGAACGGTCTCACAGTATATGACATGTTTATCTGGAGTCATTCATTGCACAAGGGTGAAAACAATGAAGTTTGTGACAAACCTAGGAAGAAATTGTGAAATCAAGGCATAGATTTAGAGAAAAGTTTCACTAAGTTTTGTGTCATTAGGGAAGGTCCAGTTTGTTTACACAAACTTGTCAAGCAGTTTTGACAATCACCAGCTTTGTTTATTGGTAACCATGTCAAATAATCTTATTATTACAAGCTTAAACACAGCCCACCCAAGTTGTGCAGTACATTGTTCTTCCTTTCATTCAGGCAGTTCTGGTGTATCTTCATCATTGGCTGACGCCCTCTGCAACTTTTGTACTCAACATGGGTTGTGGCTCATCCACATCAATATCACCTGAATACCCAAAATGACGATTATCAATGACATAACAGACAGGATCACCATGACGATAGACTTGATCGCCATGACAACAGACAGGATCACCGTGACATAAATCCACCAAACACAGAAGACAATGAAACTGTTGACCCAGAACCGAGCCTGAACCAGAACCAGAACCGAACCGGATGTTCCTCGCCACGATCCTGATCGTCGCCATAGCGATGTCATAGACAACGATGGTTTAGGGCCTGGCATACTACTGTAGATTTCCGCATTGCTAAAAGTCCGAAAGCATGACAGTGAACCGAAGTGTTTACACGCGGTGAAAGGTGGACAGATGAAGAGTTCCCCTCTCCATGTTGCTATAAAGGAACAATCGACAGAAGAGGTTGGACTGGAAACGGCATCAGTGAGTGGTCAGCTTGTTTTGTTTTTTAGGGACAGATCTGTACCTTTGGGGCAACCAGTGAACCAGAGGGGGAAACCAGAAATGAGCCAGATTACATTAATGCCATTTAGAAAGTGGTCAAATGTAACAGATGTTATATTTGGGATCACACTTCTAAGTAAGGTACAGATTCTAGTACTTTGGGGTTGAGTCCCATCTGAGATTCATAACCACACCCCTCAGAGTCAGGCACCTATATGCCAGCACACACAGTCCCACCTAACCTGCTCAGCCACCGCGGACTCAGAAGTCCCAAATAACATATGCATACAGATATGGGCTATATGCAACAGCATTAACCACATATATCCATAACATTGTGTATTGCATAAACAAGGCTTTTATTCCTTGGCTGTTGGGGTTCCAATGGTGGTGGTGGTGGAATTGTGTTTAACGTCCGGTTTGAGAATATTATTTCTATGGCACATGATGACGGCACGCATGTGTGCACACGTGCAGCTGCTTGTACCAGCCCAGACCCCTGCTGGTTTTATAGTGCTAGCCCACTGAGATACCATGCACGCGAGTGAAGCTACGAATACCCCACTCAGACACATTATACTGACTCGAAGCCGACCAGTCCTTGTTGTACCCATTAATGACGAAGCCAGGCAGGACCAACAAGCACCATATTTTAACGCCTTTGGTATGACACGGTCGTCGGGAGGACACTCTAACCACTACACATGACGGAGGCGGCTCATTAGTTCCAATGACACCGTTAAAATGAGTGTGTGGGTTTGGTGGATTGGAGTGGGTGGGTGATTGGAAGGATGGATTACGGGTGGGTGGTTTGCTTTGTTAGTGAGAGTGTGAGTGCATGGTGTTTGGGTTGGTGAGTGGGTTTGTGAGACAGGGAGGTGAGAGGGCTTGTGAGACACGGGGTGTGGAGGGTTTGTGAGACATGGGGGTGTGTGGAGTGGGGTTTGTGAGACACAGGGGGTGTGAGTGGGTTTGTGAGACACAGGGGTGTGAGTGGGTTTGTGAGACACAGGGAGCTGAGTGGGCTTGTGAGACACGTGTGTGTGTGTGGTTTGTGAGACACGGGGTGTGAGTGGGTTTGTGAGACACGGGGGTGTGTGTGTGGACACGGGGGCAGTGAGACACGGGAGTGTGTGGGTTTGTGGGTTTGCAGACACGGGAGCCGGAGTGGGTTTGTGAGACACAGGGTGAGTGGTCAGGACACAGAGGGAGCCAGGAGACAGTGTGAGTGGCTTGTGAGACACGGGGATGTGAGTGGGTTTGTGAGACACGGGGGTGTGAGGGTTTGTGAGACACGGGGTGTGTGAGTGGCTTGTGACACGGGGTGTGGAGTGTGGAGACATGGGGTGTGAGGTCAGGACAGGTGGTAGTGGGAGTGGAGACACGGGGTGGAGGACACGGGAGGGTTTGTGGAGACACGGATGGGTTTGAGACAATGGAGTGTGTGAGACACAGGGAGTGGAGGGAGTGTGGAGGACACGGAGGAGTGTGGAGTGGAGTTTGGAGACACGGGGAGGAGAGTGGATGTTTGTGAGACACGGGAGATGGAGTGGGTTTGTGAGACACGGGATGTGGAGTGGTTTGTGGAGACACGGGGATGTGGAGTGGGAGACACGGGATGTGGAGTGGGGTGGAGACACGGGATGGAGGCTTGTGAGTGAGACACGTGGATGGATGTGGACAGGGTTTGTGAGACACGGGATGGAGTGGACGGACGGGGACAATGGAGGACACAGGAGTGGACAATGGAAGGGAGACACGGGGAGCGTGGACAGGAGACACAGGACAATGGAGTGGACACGTGTGGAGCCGGAAAGAATGGAGTGGAGACAGGGGGACAATGGAGGAGGACAATGGGAGCGTGGTGGAGGACACGGGAAATGGAGTGGATGACACACGGATGGAGGATGGAGACACGGAGGTTTAGAATGGGAGGAGACACGGATGTGGAGGACATGGATGGACACAGGGACACAGGAGCGGAGGTGGAGTGACAATGGAAGGAGGTTTGTGAGGAATGGAGAATGGATGGAGGACATGGATGGAGTGGAATGACACGGGGACAGTGGAATGGAAGGTGGAGGAGACACGGGAATGGGAGAATGGAGTGGAATGGAGGGACACAGGAATGGAGGAAGAGGAGCCGGGGTGGAGGACAATGGAATGGAAATGGAAATGGGATGTGGAGGGAATGGAGGGACGGATGGAATGGTTTAGACACAGGGAGGGAATGGATGGGGAGTGGTTGGATGGAATGGAGACAATGGATGTGGAGGGAGGACAGGAGATGGATGGAAATGGAGATGGACGGGGAGCGTGGAATGGAATGGATGGAGAATGGAGGGAAGGGAATGGAATGGAAGGAGGGAATGGAGAATGGAATGGAATGGGCCGGAGACAGGTTTGTGAGACACAGGAGCGTGGAGTGAGATGGATGGGAGTGGATGGAATGACATGGGGGATGGAACGGGAATGGACACGGGGAGTGTGGAGACAGGAATGTGAATGGGGTTTGTGAGATGGGATGATGGGGTTTGTGAGACACGGGGAGCGTGGAGGGTTTGGAGACACGGAGCCGAGTGAGAGACATGGATGGAGTGGGTTTGTGAGACATGGGGATGGAGTGGGTTTGTGAATGGATGAGTGGGTCAGAGACATGGGGGGAGTGGAGACATGGAGTGGTTTGTGGAAACAAACACACACACACACACACGCATTACACACATGCACACGTACACGCACACGCACACGCACACACCACCCACCAAGTTCCGATGACACCCTGTTTGTATTTTCAGGAGCTTGCTGATAACCCTGTCCTGTTCACGGAAGGAACAACGAGGTTTGACATTGGTCAAGGGTCAGCAGGGACATGCTGGTTCCTGTCTATGGTGGCCAATCTGTCCGAACATCCACAGCTACTAAAAAAGGTAGGAGGGGCCATGTAGGAGTGTGATCAATTCTGTATGAATCAGATTATATGTTTGAAACAATTAACACATGTATTTGAAACATTGTGCCCTATTGGAAATAGTAAGAGCCCCAGGTACTTGAATATTGACCATAAGCAGATTTAAAGAGATGAACTGAGGGGCTAAAGTAATTAACAGCATTATATTTTTTTAATTGATTTAGTTGGCATGTAGGACATATTGAATGAAGGTATATATATCCAACGGCAATGAGTAATGAGATTGGTATCAAAATGTATCCTCCAAGTATTTGGGGTATATGGCATCTCCCGATGACTCTTGTTTGGTACGTTACAACTTCTGTTTTTTGATGTCTGTGCACTTTGGCATATAACTTGTCTACACAGAATGTCTTGTCCATTATATAGTCATACTGACACTTAGTCTGTCTCACAGTCCCTGAACCATATTATTTTCTCTACAGCCTATCCCTCCCTGCAGTGCAAAACATGTTTAACTGGCAATGAAAATGTGAAATCTAATAATCCTCATTGTTTATTAGCTAAAGAATGATACGGTGTCGTGTCGGGAAGGCTAAAATATATTTTTCAGATGTCCTGGGAAGGCTAAAATGTATATTTCGGATTTCCCGGGTGAGCTAATTTCCAAGGGAGTAGGGGGGTACCGCCAAAGCTTAAAGATATGGTGCCGGGAAGCGTAATCCATGTCGGGAGTAGATAGATTTATTTTCAAAACATTGTTAAAGTATTCGATTCGTTTATTACTGTTATCTGTACACTGGTTGATAATATTTTCATTGATTGCACATTTCGATACCTGATACGCCCAATTTTTACACCACGGGTCTCCACCTCCTCATACAACATAACAACCCCGTAAAATGCTATTTTCAGACACAAGAAGCTTACACCAATATTTAATCATGCTATATTGCCTTTTAAATACGAGCGGATAACGACTTAACTCGGCATAAACCATGGAATTACATGTTGATTTCTTAACTCCTAATAACCTATTACAAAAAATCCAAAGCAACATTTCCATATTTTAGCCTTTATTATATCCCCATATCTCAGATGCATAAGATAGTATACTGCCAACATGACAATCAAAGACACATAAAAGAGATTCCAGGTTGAGAGAGAGCGACCTGATATTATTGTAAATTGAAAAAAAGGGCCTTCCTACCCTGGTCAGACAACTGCAGCTTTGCCTTTGAGAATCGGTTATTATAATTAAAACCTATTCCTAAATATGTAAACGTATCGACAGCCTCTAGGACACAACCCTTATATATCCAATGTTCTGACGATTTAAGTTTACCATCGCTTCTGAAGACCATCATCTTTGTTTTAGCAATATTTACTTCAAGTTCCCACCACCTGGAATAAGCTGACAATGAATTCAACTGTGTTTGCAACCTTTCAACAGATTCAGAAAATATTTCAAGATCATCAGCATACATAAACAGAAACATATTTAAAGATGTAAAAATTGTAAGGTATACATTTATCTTTGGGAAAGACTCCTCAAAATTAACAATCTAATGTCAAATTAAAGAAAACGTATAAAGAAGATTAGACGTGAAAAAGTGTAAATAACTTTATATATATTTTTTGATATGTGACCAAATTAAAGAGTGTCCCCGTTAATCCTGTTTTCTTTGTAATTTGTCAGAGCCTCCAAGTGGGGCGCCCCGTGTTCATTCAGCCATAACATTGCATTGAAAGTACCGCGAAGGCTATGCTCATTGAACCGAGAAGCGTCACGATTTTAGCCTTCCCGGCCATGAACCAATGACACACTTTATTTGTGCTATGGCTGAAGATAGCAAAGGCTTGCTAGTGATTCCTATCATCCAATACAGGAGCCCCACCACGTGTCGAGGCAAAAGGGGTGATAACTCTCATCAGAGTTCCTTTAACATACCCGTAATAATAAGAAAAAATGCTGCCACTTTGCAAAAGTGGTCAAAGGGAGATAATCCATCAATTTTTCGGGTGTAACATTACAGTAGTTCCAGTAACAGCTGTGAGGTTGTTTCTTATAGGATTCTGCATCCATGAGGCAATATGTCATCCTGTATAAAGTCTGTGAATGGCATTTGTAAGTGATGCATGCAAAGGGGGATTTTTATGGATGTCAACTTCTGTAATATGAAGAAATGATGTTCCGGTTTGTCCTGTTCTTTAGGCCAGACCAATTTTATTTCTTGTTTTACAGATTTTTGCAGGAGGGAAAAAAATAAAAATAAAATCACCAGTCAAAGTAATATTCCTTCTAAGTACTCAAAGTATTTTACTTTTGGTAATTTTCTGAAGTGTATATGGGGCAAAAAACAATCTAAAAATCTTTTCTGGTAAGTTTAAATTTTTGGCCGATAAAGGTTGGGAAAATTAATTTATATTTTTTTTTTATTCTTGAAAAAATATGACAGGCAGATCTGTTAAACAAGAAATAAAATTGGTCTGGCCTTTGAAGAAGTTGACCTCCATAAGTGCCCCCCTTTAGTTGAGCTTTGTTACTGCTTCAGGTTGTCCAAGAAGGGGACTATTCTCACAAGAGGGGGGTGTTCCACTGTCGCTTCTGGAAGTTTGGTGTATGGGAAGATGTGTACATTGATGATCACCTCCCGGTCGTCTATGGCAGGCAGATCTGGGGTGCCAGATCATCGAGTGATGACAATGAGATGTGGGTCTCGATGCTGGAGAAAAGCTTTGCCAAGTGAGTCTCATCCATAAAGCTGCTATACAAACTAAATATGTGTTTATTGGAATGGAAAAACAGTACAGAGGTCGGAAGGTAATAGTGGTTTCATTCCAGGCTTCATAGTGAAAGACATGAAAATATAGTCCTTGTTCTTTCCATGACTTCTGCCCATCATTCAGGGGATGTACCAATTACATCCAAATTTTCAATTTTCTTTACTGACAGACTTGTGACTGCATCTTTTCCTGATTTCCTTCCATTTTGTCAGTAAGGGAGGATATTCTGAATATTTGTGAATGTTTAGTGGTGTAACTGAGTAAACTGTTTTTTTTGGAGTGGTCTCCCTTTGATATCCGTCAACAGGATCTATGATCTCATATAACGGGTGAGCACAGCTGAAATAAAATTTGCTTACCAAACCAGCATTTGGTTTCGGAACAAGAGACCACTCCGCACCTATATGCTTATTCAGTATTGCTGTACTTATAATTAGCTTATGCTGCCTCCTTATATTAAATTTTGTGCGTAAGTTTCAATTGGTTCAAAATTATTATGACGGACAATTTTTCCTGATCAGATTACATGGGTCATACAACGCTGTGTATGGTGGACAGTCCAGCGATGCCTACTTGGCACTGACCGGAGGAATATCGGAGAGACTGGACTTTGAAGATGACCATATTGATCCCGACAGCCTCTTCCGTCGAGTCAGGAACTCCCTCCACACAGGAGCATTTGTCTCATGTACTGTGCCGGTGAGATGTCCGTCTATTATAACAACAAACTAACAAACTGACCTCCAAATAATCTGCATCTTTGTATAATATAGTATATTATTGATTTATCATATCATGTCCCTACTGTAGAGATGTATCATATCAAATATCATATAAATGCACAGTAAATTGGTATTAAAGGGATAATGAATTTAGAATGTTTAGTTGGAACCTTTGGTAAAATGCCTGGTTTTACTTTGCTGAAAACAGTGGATGAACCTACCCTATAACTGATGATTAGTTTGTGACGAAGAACTCCAATTGGTCTAAACATTAAATTGGTTGTATGTGTTTTGTGTATCTAGGGAAATGGAATAATTCAAAAGAAAACATATGGAATAATCATCATTGTCTAAACATGGACAAAATGATTATTTTTGTTTCCTTGAATGTTGAAGCAATGAACATGGGAGGTTTGACAAATATTTGTATGTTTTAATGTATGAAAGATATAATCATTAAAGTATTGTTATCCTTGGAAATGTTTTATTGATGATTATAAATTTTCAGGAAAAGCATGATGGAGTTTACGGATTAGTTGGAGCTCATGCTTACTCTTTGACTGGAGCAAAACAGGTAGGGAAATAGTACATTATATGACTGTAGTGATGGTAGGGAAATAGTACATTATATGACTGAAGTGATGGTAGGGAAATAGTACATTATATGACTGAAGTGATGGTAGGGAAATAGTACATTATATGACTGAAGTGATGGTAGGGAAATAGTATTTTATATGACTGTAGTGATGGTAGGGAAATAGTACATTATATGACTGAAGTGATGGTAGGGAAATAGTACATTATATGACTGAAGTGATGGTAGGGAAATAGTACATTATATGACTGTAGTGATGGTAGGGAAATAGTACATTATATGACTGATGATGGTAGGAAATAGTACATTATATAAATATGACTGAAGTGATGGTAGGGAAATAGTACATTATATGACTGTAGTGATGGTAGGGAAATAGTACATTATATGACTGAAGTGATGGTAGGGAAATAGTACATTATATGACTGTAGTGATGGTAGGGAAATAGTACATATTGATGGTAGGGAAATAAAATACTAAGTACATTAAATGACAAAAGTGATAGTAGAGAAATTCTACATATTGAAAGTAGTGATGGTAGTGAAATAGTACATAATGACAATAGTGATAGTAGGGCTGGTACATCATTAATGACAACAGTTATGATGCGTGAGAATCACTGATGGTATGAAAGGTAAACAACACACTGTTGTCTTTCAGGTGCAGCTCAACAGTGGTGAGAACCTCTGCCTGCTGCGTGTACGTAACCCATGGGGTAACACTGAATGGAAGGGCCCTTGGTCGGATGAGTAAGGAACTGCTTTTCTCGCATCTGTTCATGATGTTGATCATAATGATGGTAAACACAAAATTGGATGCTGATAATGACGATGCTGATAATGACGATGCTGGTAATGACGATGCTGATAATGATGATGCTGATAATGATGATGCTGGTAATGACGATGCTGATAATGATGATGCTGATAATGATGATGCTGCTGATGATGATGATGATGCTGATAATGACGATGGCTGATAATGGACATGATGATACTGACAATGATGATGCTGATAATGATGATGCTGGTAATGACGATGCTGATAATGATGATGCTGATAATGATGATGCTGCTGATGATGACGATAATGACGATGCTGATAATGACGATGGTGATAATGATGATGCTGATAATGACGATGATGATAATGACGATGATGATAATGATGATGATGATAATGATTGTTATGACAAAGATGTTAAAGATAGTTAATGATAATAGTGATGGTTGTGTTACAGGAGCGAAGAGTGGCGTACTATCCCTGCCGGTGCTGTGGAGCGAGTTAATATAGATGACGGAGAGTTCTGGATATCTCTGCCTGACTTCCTCACATACTTCTCCCAGACTACGATCTGCTCTCTAACGCCAGACTTTGACAGCGATGGCTGCTCGGATTCACTCAGTGAGTACACATGCACTCTTGAAGGTTACGAAAAGATATACAGTGAGTGAGTGAGTGGTAATTCTATTTAGAAAGAAATAATGTTCATATTCTGCTGCCCCTAAGCCTCCAGAGAATTTGTTCTAACAAGGTTTAATATAATTTGAATTATTTAGAGCTCTATCCATTCAGATCCCTATACAGACACTCCCTGATTGTCTTTTCAGATCATACCCAAGAAGGTCTGGGTTAGAATTGATCTTCAGTAACCCATGCTTGTTGTAAGAGGTGACTAACGGGATCGGGTGGTCAGACTTGCTGACTCCCTATTGCGTAGATCGATGTTCATGCTGTTGATCCCTGGATTGTCTGGTCCAGATTCGATTATTTACAGACCGCTGCCATATAGCTGGAATATTACTGAGTGCGGCGTAAAACTAAACTCACTCACTCACTCTTTTCAGATCATGTCCTGAGGATTTACGGCCAATGGCTTGGTGATACAGCAGCAGGTTATTCCGACAGACTGCAGAATCCACGCTATGTCTTCACTGTCCCTGATGAAGGTGTGTAACAATATAGATAGTCAGTCTCACATTCCCTGAACCTCATTATTTTCCCTTCCGCCCAGCCCTTCTGCAATACCAAAGCCTAAATGAAGCAAGCCTCGATTTCTAGGCATGGGACACTAGAAATGGGCTTCACACATTGTACCCATGTGGGGAATCGAACCCTGGTCTTTGGTGTGACGACTGAACGCTTTAACCACTAGGCTACCCCACTGCTCCTTAATGCTGGGAGCCAGGTAGTCTAACATCTAGTACCATCTCAATGTGTGTGAGTAAGGGAGTGAGCAATCATGGTTTTACACATTTAGCAATATTCCACCTATATTGTGGGGGATACCAAAATGGACTTGACACATTGAACCAATTTTGGGGAATAGAACCCAGCTCCACTGCCTCAGATGTTGAAATATGCTGTGTTGCCTTAAAGATAATAAACCAGGTGACAGTATTTAAGTTTCAGATTAAGCCATCACTACAACTTAAACCCAGAATATCATTCTCTTGTTTTTTGTGTGGTATTCTAATACTCAAGTTGGACTTATTATCTCCCTTCAGGCATGACAGAAGAGGGTTATGTCCCCTTGATGCTGCAGCTCATTCAGAAGACCCAGCACAGAAAGTTTGACATAGTGTCCACGAGATGTGACCTGTACAAGGTAAGCAGCTCGTCATGGACTTACATCAACCACAGGGAAGGTAAGTCAAAATCCAGATGTTGATCACATTCTCTGTACAGATAATACAATTCATGCTTTAATAACAAAACACTTGTTGCATGTATATTGAGGATGACATAATAAAATAACATGTTGGCAATTTTGCCTTAAGAAGTCGAAATTGATTCAACAAGCCAGGATGATGTCACCTCGTGCATTCACTAAGCTGTGCATTGGAGTGAATCATTTGAGTGGCTTATTTCGCCTGAGTTCTCAGTTGTCAGTGGGTGGGACTTCATTCAGTACTGAGGAAATGTTATTAACTTTGATGACAGCAGGCTGGCATGTATTTAATGCTGCTGGAAAATGACAAAAAGGTGGGATTCTGGAAAATTTTGCTGGTGTCATGAAAATCTTAAGTCGATTCTGTTTACTTTTCTGGAAGAATTAGTACATGTGCCAACCATTGCTTTGCATGCTGAGTGGACCTGGTTCCACAAAGAGATTTTAGCACTGATACTGTTCTCCACTGTTGATGGCGCCTGTGTTATAATATAAAAGCATATTGCCGGAGTGCTTATACAACGGAAGTGACTGCTTTGCAGAACAGGGTGCCTGATCATGTTCACTTCGGCCGCCAATTGCCGGTCTGATCAGAGTACTAAGATTATGTCCCACTCTTTAACATGGACTTGGAAACAATCTTAGCACTAAGTATCTCTCTTTGAAATGGGTCCATGGAGATGTAAGTGTTGTTGTGACTGGTCAGGACGCTGATGAGTTCAGTGTAGCAGCAAACGTGGCGGTAGATGGTCGCTATAATGGAATGCATTGGCAACATCTGCAACACTCTGTCCAGCTTCAAGACGGCCCGATGGCTTGTTCCCTCTGTTGCGTCGTTAACCTTGGCATTCTTGGCTGGCGTTTGTCGGAGTGATTTCAAAACTGATTTCGGGGCATATTTATACCCCTATGTGTCCGTTACATAATGCGCATCATGATTTTCATGAAAACTTCTGCAACCACATCCCACGGCCAATTCAATTGCTGCTGCGCTTTGGCGATGTGCAATATCCAAGAGAAATCACCAAACAGAACCTGAACATTAACAAACTGTTTCAAAGGTAACCAATGTGTAGTTACACTATAATATTTAACAATGTTCTATCGAATATTTATTCATTTTGAAAAACTTGCGTTTTTATGCATTTCAGTATACATCAACCACAGGGACGTAAATGATTCCTGAAATATCGATTACATCACAATTCTCTGTACCATGATACAATTCATGCTTTCATACAAAATACTTCAAGCATTTCTTCAACTGTATGTAAAGCACCATTGAGAACAGAGGCTATACAAAGCAATTATTATTATTATTATTATTATTATTATTATTATGTATATGATGATGACATATAAAATAACATGAGCAATAGTTTAGAAGTCGTCATTATTCTACTTGGATGACAATTTAAAATTGTATTTAGTGGCTCATTTCGGATCTCATCAGTGTCTTACTGAGGAATTATTAACTTTGATCTACTCATGTATTTAATGTCGAAAGACAAAAAGGTGGGATTCTACTTTTCATCTTAAGTCATTCTGTTTACTTTATCTTAGTACATGTGCCAAGATTGCTTTGCTGAGTGGACCTGGACATGGTTCCACAAAGAGATTTTAGCACTCAGTACTAAAATTGCTGCTTGGACCTGCGTTCCACAAAGAGATTTTAGCACTGATACTGTTGCACGTCTGTGTTATAATATAAAAGTTATTATTGCCTTAGTGCGAAGACTGCTTTGCAGAACAGGGTGCCTGATCATGTTCACCAAGCCATCTTAGTACTAAGATTATGTCCCATACTTTAACATGGACTTGGAACAGTCTTAGCACTAAGATCTCTCTTTGGAATGGGTCCATGGAGATGTAAGTGTTGCTGGTCAGTGATGATTCAGTACAACATGGCAGTTCAACCAACAGGTGCTTGGGAGTCATGTGAGCAGCCGTCCCACCTACGTGCTAGAAATGTTGGGAACGAAACAAACGTCTACAGCCCCGCTGCGCAGGTCACCTTCCGCCATCGAGTTGAACCCGGCCAATACATCGTGGTTCCGTCCACTATAGACCCAGCTATGGAGAAGGAATTCCTTATAAGGATATTTGCTCCTTGCCCCTTACATAACTGCAGGTGAGTTCATGGCTGGAAACATATTACTGTAAACTAGAGTGAGTGAGTGAGTATGATTTTACGCCGCTTTTTAGCAATATTCCAGCAATATCACGGCGGGGGACACCAGAAATGGGCTTCACACATTGTACCCATGTGGGGAATCGAACCTGGGTCTTCGGAGTGACGAGCCAACGCTTTAACCACTAGGCTACCCCACGGCCCCCTGTAAACTAGAGAACAAACCACTAAGTTTAGTTTCTTATAAACAATATAATATAGAGCAAGTGACCTTGACCCCAAAACAAGATCCAGATTTGGTTATAGGTGTGTTATATGAAAATAGTTCACTGTAATGAGAAAAGGTTTTAGATATGAAATTATCATCTTCTTACAAACCCTTTGTGGAAATGTATTTCTAAGTCAGGAGGTCATTACCCTATCTTTACCAGTGCAGCTCCTAAAATAGAATAACATCTCAATGACAAGAAGACAATTCTTGTTAACATTCAATATGGTATGTGGTCCTCTGAACAATGCACAAATCAGTTCATTTGAGGAGAGGAGTTGGATAAGTGGCCATATTTTGGCAGTTTGACTCCTAAGAGTTTACAGGGCTTCGGGGGCGGTGGGGTAGCCTAGTGGTTAAAGCGTTGGCTCGTCACGCCGAAGACCCGGGTTCGAATCCCCACATGGGTACAATGTGTGAAGCCCATTTCTGGTGTCCCCCGCCGTGATGTTGCTGGAATATTGCTAAAAGCGGCGTAAAACCTAACTCAGTCAGTGAGTTACAGGGCTTCGATCCCTATACACTGGAGCTCATGAATCATGTGTAGAGTCTCCTTAGGGAAATGACTTGTTCAAAACATACCTCGGGTCACCTACGGGTAAGTGGAATCTGATCCATCATTGGCTGAAAGTATAGTTTACACTCTGGTTTACACTACAGTCATCCCTCACCATAACACTGGTCTTGGGGTCCACAGATGACCCCTTGCATTATACAAACATGGATAAAGGCCAAGTAGTATCATATTTATGTGCACCACGGCTATTTCATGTATTGTGTCCAGACAAAACTAAGTTGTATCATCTGAGGTGAACAAGCAAACAGCGATTTTGTTGATATGCAATTTCCGAAGACGTGAAGATGTCTGATCGCTGGAGAAATTATTTTGTAATGCGGTTTAACTCAGATGTCAGTATTGCAAACTGCATTTTTGCGAGGGATGACTGCATTTTACACTGCAATACCAGGATTAGTACCAGGAAAACGTCACATTAATGAGATCACTTGTATATTTCCACCAGGGAAGTTCCCCGGAACACTACACTGATGTCGTGTGAATCTGAGGATTTGGTTGAAGTTGACGGCAGTACAGTCAAACTCAGTAAGTATCAGGCTATCAGTATGCTGTGTTGATGTGGTAGAACTGTATGTGTAATTCATTTACATCATGGGGATGGCATATATACTCCCGTGGCTCCTTCCACGAAGCAACCTTTACTAAGGTTAACCTTAACTCCCATTCTTTAACATTGCACTAAGGTTACCTTAGTGACTTACGATCACCTTAGTGCTTTGTGAAAAGAGGCCCTGGAAAATAATTTAACAATGTGTATATGTACTTGCATATTAATATATAAGGTAATTTTTAAGCCTTGTATCATGTTTAATTTCAGATGAAAAATATTTGGTTTTGTGACACAGGAGTGAATTGTTTAAGTTTTTGGCTTATTTTTCCATGGTAATACCTATCGAACAACGTTATCAATAACCATCATGTGATATGACCTCTTCGTGCCACCATGTGGAGGAATATAACGTTACCCTATCAACTATCCATTAGTAGCAATTCCTGAAAATGAGGCCAGTGGTAATTCGGAATATTGAAAGTGGTGCTGAACTTTTTTTTATCTATCCAGGTATCCAAGACTTGGGTACATAGCTGGGCTTAGGAACTTGGGAAATTGTCTTTATCACAAGTTTTTCATTTTGAGTGTAATTCTGCAGTTTTGTCAGTTTTGCACTTATCACTTATGCAGATTTTGTATGATGCTAATTCAATAAAAGTTTATAAACAAATATGTGATTTTGAATTATGACAGCTTGACTGATGTATTTGCAGCAACTTGCGAGGTGAAGTTTGGGTCGTGGAGGTCGGGGGTGAATGCAGGAGGTCAGATCTCGAAGAGAGACACGCACCATCTCAACCCCCAATACGTCTTCACCATCCCAGACAGAGGTAGGGAGGTAACCATATCATGTAGGCAGTGGGAGAGGAATTGTTTACTGAAAAACTGGGGAAAAATTGTTTGACTCAGGTTTGAAAAATGTCTTTTGAATGAAAGTATATGATATACCCATAACGATCCGGGTTAGAATTGGTCTCCACAACCCGTGCTTGTCGTAAAAGGCGACTAACGGGATCGGGTGGTCAGACTCGCTGACTTGGTTGACATGTCGACGAATCCCAATTGTGTAGGTTGATGCTCATTATGTCAAACGCTGGATTGTCTGGTCAAGACTTGATTATTTACAGACTGTTGTTATTTAGCTGTAATTCTGTGTAACATTAATTTCATGAAACCATGTGTAAAGCTATACTAACTCACTATGCCGATAGCTTTACGCATGGTTTCGATGAATTTATGTAATCAATACTAAATGAAATTTGGAAAAAAAGAAGATAAAAGCAATCTTCGTAGAGCAAGTGAGTGAGTATGGTTTTACGCCGCTTTTAGCAATATTCCAGCAATATCATGCTGAGGGTCACCAGAAATGGGCTTCACACATTGTACCATGTGGGGAATCGAACCCGGGTCTTTAGTGTGACGAGCAAACGCTTCATCCACTAGGCTACCCCACCGCCCTACTTGGCATGACAAATTATGTGACGCATTAACCATTAGGCTTCTCCACCATCTCGGCTGACATGTGTCTATTGTTCCAGGGATGCCAGTTCCAGTCTTCTTCAACCTCATGCAGCCACAGATAGAACCGAAGTTCCCCATTGGTGTCCGGGTGTACCCAGTAAGTAGAAGGAATCGGTTACCATGGCAACATGGGATTTTGTTACATTAATCCCCCCTCATTCTGTAAAATAGTTTTAAATCGGGTGTCTAGCTTCAGTTAACATCACATCTTTTAAAAGAGAGTACTACTTCCTCAGATTTTCTTTTGACTAATGAGTGAGTGAGTGAGTTTGTTTTTATGTAGCTTTTAGCAATATTCCAGCAATATCATGGCAGGGGACGCCTGAATCTTGTGAGTAACTTAAAACATACCCAATGGTGTAAGGGAGAGAAGTATATGTTTGTTTTGAATTTTGTAGTAACATATTTGTATTTAGCTGATTGATCTACGATAAAGTTTATAAAATGGATTGGACTTCAACTTCATATTCATTCAGGCCAGCATTTCAGTACAGGTGGTACATTTAGTCAAACATCACTTACTTGATAAAGATACTAGCATCAATACTAATCTTCAATTTAAAATGAGTTGCGATTCATAAGTGGACAGGGGCAGTGGGGTAGCCCAGTGGTTGAGGCGTTCGACCATCACGCTTAAGACCTGGGTTCGATTCCCCACATGGGCACAATGTGTGAAGTCCATTTCTGTTGTTCCCTGCCTTGATGTTGCTGGAATATTGCTAAAAGAGGCGTACAACTAAACGTAATCACTCACTCAGTGATACCACAGATTCTAATCGCTACTCATGGGTAGACACAGCTACAAATATAAATTTTACATTACTGGACTGTAGACACATCACGACTGTTGCACAAATATAATTTTTACATTAGTGATATCATATTTTTGAGTGTGTCTGTTGAATCTAGTTGAAACAATAAATTGAAAAATGCACAAAAATGTTATGTTTCCATGGCAACTTTTTGTCTTCAGCTGTTGAGGGAGCCCCCAGTTGACATTGACTACCTCTATGATCAATATGAGAACTGTCCAGAATCAGCAGGGGAGAACGGGACCTTCATGATCACGTGGGACTTGAACGTGAAGTATGTGCTGCCACCTGGTGACTACCTGGCCCTACTACATATGGACGACCCTGACACACAGAAGGACTATGGGTAAGTGTAGGGCAACAGCCCTGCTTGTCCGATCTTCTGCACATCTTAACATTAGGTAGGTACTGGAATCAAGGAAAACTAAACCCTGATAGCCCTGACAAACTCAGTGTTTATTTATTCTTTAATGTCAATACAACCCCTTCTTCTTGTGTTACACAATGTTGCTGATTATGTGTACATCTATTCAGCCAATCAGTGTTGTAATGCCAGAGTTTTCTGGCATTTATTGAATTTCTTTATCTCAGACTACAAGCAATTTCAAGCTTGGCAACAGTCTCCAGACAATTGCAAGAGCCATTATCCTCTGACTTGTCACATTGATTGGTCACTATGGACTTTAGAACATCAGGTCAAGGAATGGCTTTCCCCTTCAGAGCATCAGTCTTCCCACTAAACAATTCTCCACTGGCTACACTTCCAGCATGATATAAGCATGGAAAAACGCAGTACAATTTGACTATTATCATAATCATTACTAATTTCCTCCCCCTTGTCTTACAGAGGCTACCAGACTGGATAGAGTCCACCTGACCTTGGAAGACGTGCATCAGTTACACATTTAATAGTTTCAGTGATTTCTTCGACAATCTGACTTATAAAGGATCTACAGATGGATACTGTCTGCTGAATATGAATGCATTGCCATGGAGAGTCGACTCTTAAATAGGGAAACGATTGGCTCCATGGCTGAAGGCAACCTGCTGGTGTTCCTGACCTCAAGCTGGTCTTGGGTTTGAATCCTGTATCTGGACCTAACATCACCTTCAAGCTGCCTAATCCAGCTTGGTTTCAGAAGTGTATAGAATTGCCAATCAACTATAATTGAAAATGTGTTACTGCGCATAGATGTTTGTGCTCAGTCTGTTCACTACCTCTGGATCTGTGATAACAAATTGAACTTCTTTGAATGTCAGTTGGAAGTGATCCACAAAAAGGGGGAAATTTATGGATGTCACTTTTCTATTATGGGGATGTTTTGGTGTATATTCTTACTCTTTCATCGCATTTTCAAAGCCAAATCTTTGTAATATTGACAAGTTTTGGCTTATTCGGTTGATGTGCCAACATTATAGCTATTAAAACCAATGATGTTATGTTTACCAGTATTGAATTACCTACCATATCTATGTGAACATGTCGAATATTTAAATGCCAACTGGATTTCAATTGTGTCAAAATGTTTCACACTATTTAAAAATTCATACACAATCATATTTCGACAATTGGACTGTGAATGTTTTGTTTGGTAAAGACAATTAAACACAAAGTGTTAAATTTGTTTCAGGAACCACAATTCAAATACAGAAATTTCACTGGTCCTTAAGCTAGAAATACTATGCCAGTATCTGTCCTTTCATTTTAATACTCAAAGAATATATGGGTACTGACTTCTTATTTCACAGTCAGCGAAGGCATTGTTATATCAATCTCTGTAGCTATCGATCATCTTGTTCATATTTCTATTACTTATGACTAGGGGGATATGATGATTTTTATGGAGAAGCATGTACAATGTGAATGACCCCCCGATAAATAATGAATGGTCCCTATCTATCTCGCCCTATCCATCTATCTATATAATCTTCCATCATGTTTTTATTTTTCTATTAGTCCATAGTCCCTGCTAAGTATTTTGTAGTACTTTGAAACTCGTATAGTACTGAAGATGGGTTGGAGTGTATCATTAGTCAGAAATTGAAAGTATATACTGATTGATCAGACTCCAGGGGTTTAGAGTGCCCTAATGAAACTCCTTGGTTGTCAGTCTCATGTTCATACGCCCTATGTGAAATCTCTGTTCACACTCAACAGCTGATCAGTTTTTAATATTGCAATATTTTTATAGCTGCAATGAACACGTCCTTAGATTTTCCTTTGTTGTTTTTCAGCACGATTGTTTTATATTTAACATGGTTACAGTTGTACAGGTAATATGTAGCCAGACTTTGTTATGTTTTACACCTTTCCTCTGTGATATTGATAAAACATTTCTTATACACTGAACAAAGTGATTATGTTTTTTAATAAAAGTGAAAGAGACGGAACTCAAGGGTTCGAAAACACTTTTTATGTAGTACAACACTGTCCAACACTTCTACATTAATAAGGATGTACCTTATTCTAGTTTCCAGTGGGGTAGCCTAGTGGATAAAGCATTCGCTCCTTATGCTGAAGACCCGGTTCGATTCCCCAAGAATACAACATGTGAAGCCCATTTCTGATGTTCCCCGGCTTGATATAGCTGGAATATTGCTAAAAGCGGCGTAAAACTAAACTCACACCAGTTTCCTGACATCACTTCCTGTTTTGTTTTTAAGTCATAGCATGTCTGCTTATTATGGGAGGAAAGCCCAATTCAGGTCGTCAACATTTACCACGGAACGGAAGAGCATGTGGTGTTGACTTATCTTGAAACATTCAGGGTGAGCAACCCATGCAGGGGGATAAGTCATTATGATAGCATCATGATGTAATGCTTGTCATGATACAGAGTCAGCGAGTTTGGTTTAGCGATTCTTTGAGCATTCTTTCTGTTGTATCTTGTCACCCATGTCAGTTTGATTGATAAGAAGGCCTGAAGTGATGCTGGTCAAAGATGTTTACCACTTACGTGAAACCCATAAGCTGACAAAATTTGAAATCAAAGCGAACCCCGATTCGAACGAACGGTACACAAGGAAGTTCCATCTTAGGAACGACTAAACCAGTAACCATAACCATTGATAGTAGTTCTTCAATTCTTCAAGCTTCACCTTCACATAACAATATACACTTCTCCATAAGCAGCGTTCGAAATACCTGCCTGCCCGACCGCCCGGGACGGGTTATTTTCAACTGCCAGATTGTCAAATTCACCTGCCTGACAGTCGGGTTAAAATTTAGACATGTATATGGAGATACAGTCAAATCCCAATGAGTCGAATGCCGGTGTCTCGAACATTATGCATAATTCGAAGTACCTGTCAGTCCCGACCATTCCCTGTTATAGTTGTCATCATTTGAATACCGGTTACACGAATTCGTCACATAAATACACACGATGACTCGAGAAGAAAATTTGGTCCCATGAGATTCAAACAACAGCAATCTTGTATACATAAGCCGAAGTCAGTCAATGAGAAGTTGATTGGTGTAGCAAACTGATCCAATTAACAAACCAGCACGGCTCACACCTTTCCGCCTTTGACGGGTGAGTTTACGGAAATCACTGTCTGTGCTAATCAGACTGGAACTGATAAGGTGCCCCTATTAGTGATAGGGAAATCATTAGATAAACAAATGCTTAGGCGGAGGAATTTGGACTGGATCATCGTTTTTTCGACCCTCATAGATATACCTATGTCTCGAATACATCGATAAGTCGAATTTATTACTTGGTCCCCAGAGATTGGACTCATCGGGATTTGACTGTATTCATCATATTTCAGGATAATAAATCATTATTAATTCACTCGTAAAAATAAATGATGAATTCCAATTGGATGATAAACTACATCGTTTGTGAAATCTAAATTATTTGCGTTCAGGTAAGTTTTGGTCAGGGCTGGCAAGTTTTACATCTAACCAGCCCTGTGGTCTGGCTGAAATATTTTTTGAGTTTCATACCCTGCCATAAGTTTATTTCATATCAGTGGACATGAAGTTGAGATTCATTCAAAATCATTCCGTCCACCTTTTGAGTGTATATACAGTAATAACCAGTGTCTAGAGTGTTACAAATATATCAAACCAGGTTAATGATGTAATATGATTGTGATGTTATGACATTACAATGTCTAGCAATGCACTGTGATGTAATTTCATTGTGATGATATCTCCTGTGGAAGCCAGTTTGTGGTGGAAAATCCCAAGCTGCGGATGGACCAGGGAAATTCAGTTTTCAGTTATAGTTTTTGATGACACAATCCAAGATACACTTACCCATGTCACAATTCATCTGATGTCCTGAGTGCTTGTTTCAAATGATAAGAAGGAATTAAAGTCAGCCTTTATGCATTATATTTATTGGTACGATCAGTCTTAGACTTATATACCAACATGTTGGTTGTGACAGATAAATGACAATCTGAGAAAATCGGTGATTGAAGCCCATACTCCCTGTATGCCAGAAACTCAAACAGATGTGTCTCTGAGCCAGCTGTCTTCTTGCTAATATGGAGTTAGACTTCCAGTCATAATAAATAGCATGATCCTTCGCAAGACGCTTCTACAGTCAGACATTAACAAGGTAGTGCCATCTTATAACAGATCACAGGCACATGTTCACAAATGGCCTTCTTGTTTGATTGTGATGTATAATTGTATTCCAAGGACTGTTTTCTTCATCGGAAACTTGTGTGTAGAGACTTTCCTGCCTGCCCATTAAGGGGCACTAGAGGTTCTGCTTGGTAAGGAACTGCGTCCTCTGTGCGCGTGTACAACAAAGGGACATAACCCACCCTGCCACTTGACCAAACCTGTGAACATCAATTTCAAATCTGATGTAAAACTATCCACACCAACAAAATATAATTTAGGTTACAGAAGATTTATCTTAGGGTTTTGTATTAATCTAATGCAGGTTTTGACAATGAAACTGGGTGGTCGTTTGAGTCCAATTTGGACAGCGACTAGTGATCGTCTTATCAAGTGAGGCTTATTTTGACTACTTACAACAGTTAGTAAAGCCCCTTGGTCGAAGTTGGGCTTGAAGCTGATGCAGTGAGCAATTTCACCGTCTTGTCCCCTCACCAGACCACTGGAAAGATCAAAGAGAAACCAAGTCGATAGTGTGTTGCAAGCCCTGACAGAATGTGTGGGTAGTGTTACCAGCCCTGATAAAGTCTTTACGTACCATGGTAGGATCTCCATGACCGGATGTGTAACTGTTTTAAATACAGCAACATAAGAACACGCTTTGTTGTCATGCCCTGTTGATAGAAAATATTGAGAGTAAAAATTATCCTTCTGTCAATAAACATTGTTAATACATCTTTCTGTTATGACAAACAGAAGACAGCAATTCATTCAATAGATGTTCTAATAATCAAATTATCATGAATAAGGTAACTCAGGACTAAAATTTGACATTATGAACTGAATGAATTTGGGCAATATGGGTTAGTTTTACGCAAGATTCAAATGTTACCGTGGTAACCTGCTGGTTATGCACCGCTGACCAACCCAGAAACAACTGTGGTGACAATCTTGCTCTAGTTATCACAGACTTTGATGAGAGGCATCAACATAGCAGCAGTACATTTTCATGGGAATGAAGAGGTTGTACTATTTTTTCGTCCAAAGACAAATTGAAAGGACAACAAATTTCTTCCACTTTAAACACTACATCAGTCTTGATTGTAGAACACTTAAACACTAATAAACAATATGTACAGTTAGATCCTTAAAATATCTATAAAATTCAGCACCGTACCTCTAAACAATATGGCGAGACGTTCACCAGTTGAATCCCACTCCATTGCATGCACTGAGCCACCGATCTTCACCACATCCCCAGTGGCTGTCTGCATGTCTACCTCGGACACGTCCGTCACAGCCAGGGCCTTGTTTGAGACACTGATGTGACTTCCATCATGTGACTGTCCCGCACTGAATTTGATTGAGTAGATGATTGGATCATTTTCCATGGCGAAGAGAAGAATACTTCCGTCAGAACTCCAGCATGATGCCTATGGGAAAATCAGTGATTACACTGAAGCATTCATGTGAAATTATTCTTAAAAGAATGAACAAATCTATACACGATTACATCATTGCGTTAAAAGCAAACCGATTTATTATTAAATTATACATTCTATATGTACGTCTGGATGATACACAGTCATTATGAGATACATGTAATTAAGTGAGTGAGCGAGCATGGTTTTAGCAATATTGCAGCAAATATCACAACAAGGGACACCAGAAATGGGCTTCACACATGGTACCCATGTGGGGAATCAAACCAGGGTCTTCATTGTGATGAGAGGATGCTTTACTATTAGGCTATCATGCCTCCCCACATGAAATTAAGGGATGAGGCTTTACATGGTACAGTGACTCTGGTTAAGTGCTGCTTGTGGCAGAATTTCAGCAGCAACGCTTCTCTTTGACATTTGCTGCTTGGTGGAACTCATGAGCATGGGTATGGGGCAGACAATCCTAGCTGGGGGCAATGACCGGCACTGTCATGACATGGAATATACCAAGTCACTGAGTCGGACTATCCCATCCATTGGGCGTACAAGGCCAGCACACTTTGCTGGGGACCAATTCCTAACCTAAGGTCCCTGCTGGGGTGCAGAAACATTGACATGAGCTTTTTAGTGTCATGAAATCTCAAACTGTTTCTAGACAGTCAAAAGTAAGGGCAGATTGAGGACATGAACCCATTTCTAGGGTTGTCTGTTTTATAGTGAGGCCCAAGACCAACTGGCAATATCTACATGTCTTTGTGGTTGGTGTTTAGTGCTGCATTAGGCAATATACTTATGGCCTTTAGACAAATAATCCTGGATCAGCTAGTCCAGCTATTCATTCATCAGCAAGGATTCAGGTGTTGTGTGCTGACAAGCAATCAACTAGGGATGTCTCGATGCACAAGTTTCATGAATTGATCATGTATCCACGATACCCATGTCACGATTCAATATGTATCATAATACCTATTTTCGCTTCATTATTGCATAAATTTAGTTACATTTTGAATATTAATATTTCATATTTTATGACTGATCGATATCATTGTCCTAGAGACTTCTGTGGGCGTCTCGGTGGATAAGGGGATGAATAGGCGTTTGAATTTTCGCCTCCTTGTTTTGGTTCTTTGTAAGTAGACTTTAAGTGCTCTGACTGGGCATAAGGATAGATCCTGCGTATCCTGTGGCCCAAGGACTGTGGAGAGTGCTGGGATGTGGAACTGTCTGTCAGGCTGACCAGGCAGTTGGTTCTTGGCGATAAAATCCCATCTCAGTCCCAGATGTAATGATGTCACGATGTCTTGATTCAATCGTGTTCGTTCAAAGTCCAGAGCATGTATTTCTGACATCCTTGCAGCTGTTGCTAGGGCGATCAGGAACAGCGTTTTCTGAGTTAGTAGTTCAAAGGATGTCCGTTCTAGAGGCTCGTAGGCATCACTGGTGAGATGTTGTAAAACTACGTTGAGATCCCAGGCAGGAGCCTTAAATTTCTTTTGTTGGTCTTCCAACTTGAACGAGCATAGTAGTGCCAGAATCTCTGGTACTTTGGTCAGCTTGATACCCGTTTTCATGGTGATAACTGTACTGAGGGCCGCTAAGTACGTTGAAAGTGTTGAACCTTTTAAGTGTCCTCGTCTGTGCGTAGATGACATAAGAGTATTCCACCACTTGAGGATGTGTTGCTTTCACTGCTGTAAAGCCTTTCCTCTTTGCATATTGTTCAAATCTCTGCCACTTGTCGCCTACAAGTTGGCGCTTGATCTGGCGTAGAGCTAGTGTAACTGCTTTTTGCTGCTCTGGCGAGTACCCTCTAGTCTTCAGGCAAGCTTTAATACGCTCCAAGCGTGTAGTTGGAACAGTGTCGGTACCCGTGAGCTTGCTTTGGTGTGTGGATGGACGAGTAGGTTCGACTACTCTGGTAGTTTCAGGGTTGGACTTCCGAAGTTCTTGTATGAGGATGGGAAACCATACCCTCACTGGCCAATAGGGCGTGACCAAAATCAGTTGCAACGTAGTCGTCTGCTTGATTTTCTGTAGTACTTGTGGTAGTAGTGCAGGAGGCGGAAACGCGCGTAAGCGCTTAGTCCTTCCCATGAGATGCTTAGAGCATTTGTTGCCCATGCCTGAGGATCTGGAATCGGTGAGACAAACGTTGGTAGCTGTTTGTTTAACTTTGTTGCAAACAGGTCTATGAGTGGGGATCCTAAAGTCTGTCTGATGAACTGGAATGCCTCTGGATGCAACATCCATTCTGTTGGGGATGGTTGTAGTGGGCCGAGATAGGGCGCCTGCTATGACATATTTTGCTCCCCGGTATGTGGCTTGCCTTCATGTAGATGTTCAGGTTGGGTCGACTATGCTGAACAGGAGAACGCTGAGTTGTAGCAGATTTGTTGATCTTGTTGACCCTTGTTTGTTGATATAAAACGCCACTGTAAGGTTGTCCTTGTGTACCATGAGTCGTGGAGTTCTTTAGTGCGCTGGACCAATGTTGTAAAGTGTTGATTACTGCTTTCATCTCCAACAGATTGATGTGACTTCTGATCCTGACTCGACCACTTCCCTGCTGCCACTTCGTTGTTGAAGTGTGCACCCCATCCTTGTAGGGAGGCATCCACGTAGAGATGAGTGTTGCAAACCGCTCTGACAATAAGGTCCCTCCGCAAACGCTCGACTTCTCGAGTCCACCATAGGAGATATGGTTTCAGGCTGTCCGTAGTATTAACGGATCTAGGCTGTCTAGGTGGGCGCTCACAAATACTTGTAGTGGGCGACTGTAATCTTCCTCTGCGAAGTCATGTCTTGAGCTGAGGCGAGTAGAACGAAGCATGCTTTGCCTAGCATGTAGTGTCAACGGAGAGAGCAATGCTTGAGATATTATCTGTTCTATTTTGCCCCCAACGATCCTTTGGATCGACTATACGATTCACTGGCGCGATGAGTCAAATTCCTAGGAACTGCAGATCTTGTTTCGGCTCCAGTTCCGACTTGAGGAGATTCACTAGCCATCCTAGTTGAGTGAGCAGCCTGATGGTGAAGTCTAGTTCCAGTCTGAGTTGACTGTGATCTGGATGAGATGCTTGAATCCCGTCGTCCAGGTAGAAAGCACTGCATAGACCTCGACGATGTAGATATGTGACAATGGGCTTGGTCACCGAAAGTAAACAACCAGGGGCCTAATTTATATTCCAAATGGTAGAACCTTCCACTGGAAGTGCTGTCCGCTGAAAGGGAAACGTAGGTATTTCCTTGAGTCTGGATGTGGGCGTCACGCATCTTGCAGATCTATGCTGGCGAGGTAGTCTGCTGGACTTAACGAGATGTCGGAGCTGAGGAAGATGTATCGTCTTGAATTTTGCTGGTCTGCGTAGATACTCGGTTGAACTTCCTCATGTTGTAGATGAGCGAAATTTCTCCTTGGAATTCTTCTTCAGTACCAGGAAAATTGGGGAGTAGAACCCAGGCGCATGATGAGATCTTGATCTATCTCTTCTACTGTCTCTTTGGCGCAGTAGGGTCTTGATAGCATCGTCCAGTTTCTCTATCTGGTCGGCTGCGTAGTTGAAGGCCATCGGGTTGCTTGTGAGCACTGGAGTGGCTTCCAACTATATCTTGTACCCTCTGGCGCAGTATCTGGGATACGTGAAGTCGTCCTGTAGTATCCTCCAATTCTCCCAGTACCGTTGAAGACGCCCACCCACTGTTGAAGGTTGTAATGAAATGGCTGGGGTGGAAGACTCCAGTCGCTCCGAACCTGGCCTTCAATGCTTGCTTCCCCTTGCACCCCTGGGTGCTCGGCCTCTTCCGTGGTTACCTCTAGGAGCTCCGGTTGGATCCTCTTCCTCCTTTCATACTGGAATACTTCTTTCTCTGGCTCTCGGGACTCCTGCAAAATTAGATTTGTTGGAGTAGCGTTGGGACGTCTGACGAATCCACGTTAGCCAAAGTGTCAATGGACTTAATCATCATAACTTCCCTGGAGTCGTGAGAAACTTCTCTGGCGACTTCTTCAATTCCTCCTCCTCGAAGATGTAAGATGATGACCATGGGTCTCTGTATAAGGACTTGGTGAAGTGTTCACTCCAAGTGCATGCTGACAATAACCCTTGTCTTCTCAGGAGAGTCAAACCCGCTGAGGTGGATGCTAGGTGCTCCGTCATAAATTGATGGTCTCTCTTCTGCATAAGTAGAGCCGAAGTATATCATCCGAGGAATTCTTGAACTCTCGAGATGAGTGTTCGCTTGACAACCCTCGATCTGGCTAATCCCAAGAAAGTACGCCTGGTGGTTGTATCCAGCTGCGCTAACTTCTTATCCTCAATCTTGTAAGTTCTTTGACGGGGGAATCGGTGATAATGTTAGAGTCATCATCAACCTCTGGAGCCTTCCTATGTAGAGGGAATTTCCTGGCATTGAACGTCAGGATGTGCTGACTCTGGCTGACTTGGTGGCTTTATCAAAAGCTGCATTGAGGTTGTCTGGTACTTGAGAGATCGGGTTGGTCGGGTGGAAAGGTGAGTGTGTCGAAATCATCTTTGGACATCTTGTAGGTAAACACCTAATCTGTGTCCTTAGAAGGTGATGATAAAGTCCAAGCCATTGGCGATCCAGGAGTTAATCTCCGTATCGGAGAGAAGATGCCTTCACCTTCCTCCTGAGATTTAGACATTTCTCGCTCCAAGGATGCACGTAACGACTTGAGTCTCTATAGGATGATCTACAAGATGAGCTTCATAAGCGCGGTGAACGATCCCGATGTGATCTTGAATCTTTCCTGGAGATTTGAGATATTTCTCTAGATCTTCGGTGAAGGTGGATTCCTGGACGAAGTTTCCCCTCTGTAGGAGTGTCTTCGCCAGAGCTCTTTGATGGTCACCAGAGTCCGATGGAGATGACGACTCATATCTCCGGCGCCTGTAGGGTTCAGGAGAACGCCTTGATTCCTTCCTGCGTGAAGACTTCTTAGCAACACTCTCTGGGGCGCCTACTTCAGATGGGGAAGATCGTCGTGTCCGAGAGCCTTCAGGCAGGCTTCCCTCTTCATCTAGATGTGGTGGGGAGACTGTAGAGCAGGCTAGTAGATGTTGTAGTGGTCTTCATAGCAGCCTTCTCTTGAGCCGGGCGGCGCTCCATCATCGACATCATCTGGTCTGTAAACTGTTGCATGAACAGTCCCGGGTTGAAGTTCTGCGCTGTCTGAAGAGACTGCTGCATCTGATACTAAAGAGACGTCATCTTAGGCTCGCTGCCGTCGTGAAGAGTTGACGCTGCTGCTATCTCTGGTACCCGATGTCTGCGCTTGATAGAAGGTCTTCTGTCAATGTCTGCGCTGATACCAATGCCGATGTAGCTGTAGAAGCAGGCTTCGTCTTCTTACTGGCGATGGTGACTTCAGGTATGAGGATGGGTGGATCATCATAAACATCTGCTTCTTCATGAGGAACAATCTCGGCTGAGAAAGACCTAGTCTTCTGAGTAGAGCTGATCTTAGATTTTGCTGAAGTCTTCATAGTAGTAGCCTTCTCCTTCTGCAAAGCTGAAGATTTGGCCTTCTTTATCTGCGATGAGGTCAGCTCAGTAGACGATGATCTCTTATGGCCTCTGACGTTCACCTCTGGTACATCGACCTGCTCCTGAGAAACGCTCAGTAATTCACTGGAATTATGAATATCTGCAGCAGTTGTTAACACACGGTTATCAGCGCAATCACTGATTTAGACATGACTTGTGAATACCTACGCATTCCCAGTCCTTAGCACATCTATGGATGGAAAAGGTAATTAGTAAATTCAACCTCAATTTAAATTTACACAATGCTCACAGCGCAGAGCTGAAAGAACATGAAACAGTGCAATTAGGACATTATAAATGCGGTCCAGCCGCAGACACTCGGTACCTACAATGAATACAAGTTTTCATCAATTGTAAACATGAAAAGACACATGTCAAACAACAGAAATTTCAGAACAAATTTCAAACCGTAATGTAGAAGTGTTTGCCACTGATATGGCAATGTCCCCTCACCGCTAAAGAATGGAATATCTATATTTACTACTTATTTTGGGTCACATACAAGATGCCTGAAATGACTGGTGTCTGCATAATCACCCAATGTAGGCTGTCAACATACTTGAAACATTGGGTGCAATGTTTTATGAGATATCCGCTGTAAAAAAGCGGTCAGTATCGTGGTGACCTTGAAGATAAGGTCAAGGTCACCCAAATAAACTGGTGTCTGTGTAATACTCCAATGTATGCTGTCACCAAATTTGAAGACATTGGGTACAACATTTCATGAGATATCGCGTAACAAGAGTTAAAAGTGTGAAAATGTCATGGTGACCTTGAAGATAAGGTCAGGGTCACGCAAATCAACTGGTGTCTGCGTAATCCCCAATGTAGGCTGACACCAAATTTGAAGACATTGGGTACAACAGTTCATGAGATATCGCCTGAACAAGAGTTGGAAAAGTGGTCAGTGTCTTGCGTGACCTTGAAAATAAGGTCAAGGTCACGCAAATCGACTGGTGTCTGCGTAATCCCCCAATGTAGGCTGACACCAAATTTGAAGACATTAGGTACAACAGTTCATGAGATATCGCTTGAACAAGAGTTGGAAAAGTGGTCAAAGTGTCGTGGTGACCTTGAAAATAAAGTCAAGGTCACGCAAATCGACTGGTGTCTGCGTAATCCCCAATGTAGGCTGACACCAACTTTGAAGACATTGGGTACAACAGTTCATGATGATATCGCGTGAACAAGAGTTAGAAAAGTGGTCAGTGTTGTGGTGACCTTGAAAATAAGGTCAAGGTCATGCAAATCGACTGGTGTCTGCGTAATCCCCAATGTAGGCTGACACCAACTTTGAAGACATTGGGTACAACAGTTAATGAGATATCGCGTTAACAAGAATCGACGCGACGCATTTAACGCATCGCACGGACGCTGCTGAATACATAGTCCCCGCTCGCTGGGACAAAAACGATACAGTAATTATTTTGATGTATGGTCCGAAAATAGGATATGGAGGATATGTGCCGTGATAGGGACCCAGGTGCTCTCACAGCCGCCCTCAAGGGCTTAAGAAGGAGAGAGTGACAAATATGGCTGATCATGTGACCATTTGGGCCAAAGGGAGGAAAGGGATGCTACTCTTGGGTGAGTGATTTTACGTCCGCTTTTTAAGGGAACTTCAAGGGATTTCAAGTGTTCCACTATCATTCGCAAGAGGAAGGAGACAAGCATAATTAGCATGCATCAGGATAAGGAAAACTTGTAAACGATACATAAGCATATTTAAACTGATACTTTCAAAACTAAATATCGACACAGTTTTGAATGCATTGATAATTGTATCGTCTTAGAAAAAGCATCGATGTATCGTGGCATCCCTACAATCAACTATGACAGAATGTAACTAAATGAAGATATAGAGAATAAAATTACCACACAACGCGATGACAGGCGAGACCAGGTTTCACAGCTCCAATTCTTTGTTTCCCACACTCTGAAATACCACAAAGTCAGATCAGCTCACATTATCAAAGGAATCAAATCAAATCTTCTACTCTGACAGGATACCTTAACGGGTGAAGTTTTTATGACATCAGCATTTTCAAATCATTCACATCTGACAGATCTCACAAAAAAGGATACATGAGAAGCCATGCATGGCTAACCCACCTGAACAATGGTGACGGGGTCACAGCCAACACCTTGGTTCCATCGGGGGACCATCTCAAAGCCGACACACCTCCCCCTCCCCCACGACGCAGCGTCACACATATCTCCATGGGAACATTCCACGCCTGTGGGGGAATGAAACAACATCAGGGATTTACCTCGTATTCCTACCTAGGAGCACAAACTGGATCAAGATGTTATTGAGCTTAAGAAGGTTTCTTTCTGCAAAGTTCTTTATTTTCAGGTTCACAAATATTTCAGCATTCATTCACTGCAAAGATGTAAAAGTAAGCATTAAATTTTGTTTGTCTGTTTGCTGTTTAACGTCACACTCGGCAATATTCAAGACTTTTCCACAGACTTGAGCATGTCTTACCCCTGAACACTCTCCAACGTTTCCATCACATAATAAAGCAAGTGCTTGGCCGAATTGGGAGCCTATTACTACAATAACATTCGATGTCTTGTCCAAACCTGAGGAGGATTGATGAAAAACCTCTCACACTTGCTTATCAGTGCTTTCACACAACTGCGCCAAGTTACTTAAGTGACAAGCTCTCCAAGCACAATCCTGTGAGAACATTAAGATCAGGAAATCTTCATCTTCTGGAGATACCAAAACGCCATCTGAAGTCATATGGCCATTGCTCATTCAGCTATGCTGTACCTTCTCTCTGGCACTCTCTACCCCATGATATCAGACTGTCACCAACCCTAGACAACTTCAAATCTCTTTTAAAGACATTCATTTTCCGAAAATACTATCACTGCTAGATTTCCGTGTTCCTACTCGTTTGAAATACTGTGTATATACTCATCATAGCTCTTAGAGCACACACTTAGTGCCGGGAGTATTTTAGCGCTTTATAAATTCACTGATTATTATTATGTTGGGAGGTCACTCTGATAATGAGTATGTGAGCTTTATGCTGCCTCACCATGATGCCGGTGTCTGTCGGGGCACCGGACAGGAGAATGCTGCCATCTGGGTGCCAGGCAAGGCTGGTAACTGGGGTGTGGCCTGAATGTTGCAGCACCTGAACTGAGCTAGCTGATGGTCTAGAAGTAGAAGAATAAGCAGAGGAATTAATGTCCAGATTTTACGAACAGAGACGTTTATCAAACATACCTGCCAACAAGGGCTGTGGATAAAGATCTTCACATACTGATGTACCCGTGAACTGTTGGTAACCAGGACATCAAAACGTTAACTGACGTACAAGTTAACAAGGATGTTAACAAACTGACTGACACACCTGCTAACAAGGATGTTAACATGCACACAGACATACCTGCTAACAAGGATGTTAACACACATAGACATACCTGCTAACAAGGATGTTAACATGCATACAGACATACCTGCTAACAAGGATGTTAACATGCATACTGACATACCTGCTAACAAGGATGTTAACATGCACACAGACATACCTGCTAACAAGGATGTTAACATGCATACTGACATACCTGCTAACAAGGATATTAACACACATATTGACATACCTGCTAACAAGGATATTAACACACATATTGACATACCTGCTAACAAGGATGTTAACATGCACACAGACATACCTGCTAACAAGGATGTTAACATGCACACAGACATACCTGCTAACAAGGATGTTAACATGGATACTGACATACCTGCTAACAAGGATGTTAACATGCACACAGACAAACCTGCTAACAAGGATGTTAACATGGTTACTGACATACCTGCTAACAAGGATGTTAACAAGCATACTGACATACCTGTTAACAAGGATTATAACATGCATACAGACATACCTGCTAACAAGGATGTTAACATGCATACTGACGCACTTGCTACTAGGGATTGCTGATTAACAAAGAGTGAGTCAGTGAGTAAGTGGACTGATGTATCTGAGTGAGTGAGTGAGTTTGAAAATGTTAATATAAATTGTATATTTATATACTTATCCTATCTCACGACTTGCACTGTGTGTAATGGTTAGAGCACCTAACCAGAAAGCAGAAGGTCGCCGGTTCGATCCCCGGCTGCGTCATACCAAAATATACTACAAACAAAAAATATGGGAACGCCTCCTCCTCTTGCTTCGACTTTTAGTGGAACGACTGTAAACTTTTTTCCAAAGGCTTCCTTGTCCATTCACCAGTGCACTCCATGCTGCTCTCCTTAATTAGCTTCCTAGTTCCTAATAAAGCTTGCAGCATGCTCCACTAATTGCCCACGTGACTACCTTGAATGATCATTCTCATCTTGGACTTATCCCACGGTTGGACGGCGGGCCGCAAATTCCCCTTCTGTCTGGACAGTGCGAACAGCTGGTCTTGTGGACTGATGACAACCGTGGTTAGCAATGTACAAGGGAAGCCTGTTACGCAAGCACACAACTCCTATGCTTGTAGTGGGTTCTGCAGAACCCTTGGCTTACTAAGCAAAACTCCCAGGGTGATGAGTGCTCCCGAGCGATGTGGTGTTCGGACGCAGCTTGGCAAGTAGGCCTTGCCTGGCCACGACTTACAAGGTACCCCCGTAATTAAAGTCTTGCGACTGCAATCAGGCCAGTCTAAGCTTAGTCAAAGGATGTGCCCTGCAACTTCGGAGGCAGAACGCAACAAAATCCACTGGAATTCGGGAGTGTCACACTTCACTAATGTAATTGCTCCGTGGTGTAGAGGTCAGTAAGCATGGATGTCAAACACCTCTGCATCGTCATACTGATTGTGCCCTCAGGTCCGTAGGGCCACGCTTGGTGGCCGTATTGCGATGCCTTGGTATGGAGGCCAAGTGAAGTAGTTCTTAAACCCATGAGATGAAATCAAAAGATTGAGATCCGTTCAACTTTTGTTCCGTATGAGAAGGAAGCAGTAACGCACAAGCGGAATCGTCCCTCATCTGCATTGGTGGGCCGATGTAATCTGCTGAGCCAGAGCGAGAGGTCCAAACTAGTGTAGTCTCCGGACATCCGTGACACACACGTCTCACAGGTAATGTAAAGAGAAGACTGAAGCAGAACGGCAAAAGCAACCTTCCAAGATGGTGGTCATGGAGGCCATCGACGAGGCTATCGCATGAGTCTCATGAGGATTGAAAGCGGCTAGAGGAAGCAACCCTGCAAAGGTGTAGCCCGCAGGATTGTGGCACGCATCCAAAAGGCCAGTGTGGTCCGGGAAACCTCATCTCTTGAGGCGGTCAACAAAGGTATGAAGAGGCGTTTTGTAGCTGTCGACGATCCTTGGAGGCAGCAAGGTATATGTGTAGAGACCTAACAGGGCAGAGTGTCAGGTCTTCAGTATCATCAGGCCCAAGGATGGTGGACAACGGGGGGATGAAAAACATCCAGGCCAGTTGCCCTGACAGTTGGTTTCCACGATGAAGTCCCAGCGGAGACCCAGGAAAAACCTTGCCATGCTTCTTCCGCTCGAACCGCACACGACTGACATCCAGCCATCCTCGATAATCTCCAGGGTATACGTTACGATAACTCTCCACTATACCCAGGACGCATCTACAGTCCCGCCGGATTTTATTACCTCCCTTGGCTGGCTTCTTATCCAATCAGGTGTCTACGTTGGGAAGTTGAGCGGACCAAACACAACTCACATGCGCTTCTTAAATTATCTAACCGATTAAACTTGGCAACACAATTGATGCAGAGGTACTCTGGAAGAGGTTGAAGGAGTTTTTGCATATATTTTTTTAAAGTTTCAGACCTGTAAATTTGTCTGTATGATTTCCCCAAAATCTGAGCCGCACTGCGAACAAACCTTCGCAGGTGCGACAGCTATCTTTGTTGACACTGGCAAGTTCGGTTGTAACGGCGGCTTAGCTGATTGGCTACTGTGAGATTGCGGAGCCAGCCAAGGGAGGTAATAAAATCATCTGGCCAAGCCATAGATGCGTCCAGGGTATAGTGGAGAGTTATCGTAACGTATACCCTGGAGATTATCGAGGATGACATCCAGCGTGTGAAGCTCAGATGTAGGAGCAGCAGTAGCCAAGTTACCAGGAAGAAAAATGTCACTTTGCTCAAAGTCCCAAAGTCTTCTAAAGGTTTGTAGTCTGTAGAATTATATGACGAAGGAAGATGGACAGTTCCTAGGCCGGAGGTCTGAACTTCCTGGACTGGTCGGTGAGTTCTAGAAGCGTAGGAGACTCTGCAATTTGGGAAGAGTGGACATCTTCGTATCCGTGGCAGTAGCCAAAATTGAGTTGATAGCAGCCAAGTAGGTAGCTAACATAGTACCCTTGAGTTTCCTAGCAGCAAGGAGATGCTGAGGAACCCAGCGACAACCTGAGCGGAGGTAGAGTGGGAGATGGATTTCTCTAATCTTGCAATAGTCTTCAAAATATTTCCATTATCATTGTACAAGGAACGGGTGTAAGTATGATGAGCTGAAGTGATAGCTGTGGCTACTCGATGAGAGTAGCCTTTAGCTATGAGTGATCTCTGGCGATGCGCTATGGGTGATGTCTGGAGATGAGGGTCTGAGGGGACCTGTGGCGTAGTTCTGAGTGAGGGTGAAGAAGCAGGTCGTCTAGGTCGTGAAGCGGTACTGGGTTTGGCTCTGCCAGGCTTCTTAGGTCAACTAACCAACTTCTTGCTGGCCCGAAGGGCACAACCAAAAGCAGTAGAATCTTGCTACTGGCCAACAGCTTCTGTATTACTCTTGGTAGCCGAACTGGAGGGGGAAACGTGCAGGCGTTGAGTCCCTCCCATGATATTGCCAGCACATCGAGGTCCCAAGCCAGGGGTATGGGATTGGTGATACGAACTTCAGAAGTTAGTTTATGAACCTTGTGACAAACAGGTCTACTTAGGGCCGTGATAATGGGTAGATCATCGACTGGAAGCTCTGGGGAAGCAGCTTCCACTCTGTCGGAGACGGACGATTGGATTGGGACAAAGCATCGTGCGACAAGAAAGAGAATGATAATTCAAGGTAGTCACGTGTGTAATTAGTGGAGCATGCTGCAAGCTTCATTAGGAACTAGGAAGCTGATTAATCAGAGCAGCATGGAGTGCACAGGCGAATGGACAAGGAGGCCTATGGAAAAAAGTTTACAGTCGTTCCACTAAAAGTCGAAGCGAGAGAGAGAGGTGTTCCCATATATTTTTTGTTTGTAGTATATTTTGGTATGACGCAGCCGGGGATCGAACCGCGACCTGCTTTCTGGTAAGTTGCTCTAACCATTACACCATGGAGTGAGTGAGTGAGTGAGCGAGCTTAGTGGAATGAGTGAGTGAGTTCAGTTTTACGCCGCACTCTGTAAATAATCAAGTATGGACCAGACAGTCCAGTGATCAACAGCATGAGCATCGACCTGCACAATTGGTAACCGATGACATGTGTCTACCAAGCCAGTGTGCCTGACCACCCGATCCCGTTAGTCGCCTCTTACGACAAGCATGGGTTACTGAAGGTTCATTCGAACTCGGACCTTAATGGGTCCTGATGTATCTGCTAACAAGGGCAATGACAAGGAGGATGTTAACAAGCAGTCTGACTTACTCATTAACAAGTGGTGTTGACAAGAAGGAAGTTAACAAGCAGTCTGACTTACTAGCTAACAAACGGTGTTGACAAGGAGGATGCTGACAAGCTGACTAACGTACCTGGTAGCTAAGGAGGTTGGTTCCACATGCCAGATGAGGATGCAAGACTGACAGGCCACTGCCAACACTGATGCTGAATTGGGCCTGGAGCAGAAAACAAGATAACTAGAATGATGGACACAACACTTGAACACTATGTATCCTGTACGAGAAAATGCTTTACAAGTGAAGTACACCATCATAAGTGACATGAGATAATTCATCAACCGGATGGTAGATTCTGATGAAACTGAAATACAATGAGAAAAAAAAGAGATGTTTACTTATCCAGGTTAACTATTGCTTACACCATAAAACACAATTGTACACAGTAGGTCAACTTCCACAGGTCCACACAAAACTCAGAATTGACAGGTCAAGTGTAACTATCACAGCAAATGGAAAAAAATATCCATATTTGTTTCAGAAGAACAAAATCACAGAAAAATCCTTAAGAGGATTTTGCAGATATAAAGTCCATAAAGCCAGGAAACAGACAGACACAATGGCAGAAGAAACAAGGAGATGGACACAATGGAACAAGAAACAAGGAGATGGACACAATGGAACAAGGAGATTGACACAATGGAACAAGAAACAAGGAGATAGACACAATGGAACAAGGAGATGGACACAATGGAACAAGAAACAAGGAGATGGACACAATGAAACAAGGAGATGGACACAATGGAACAAGGAGATGGACACAATGGAACAAGAAACAAGGAGATGGACACAATGGAACAAGGAGATGGACACAATGGAACAAGGAGATGGACACAATGGAACAAGAAACAAGGAGATAGACACAATGGAACAAGGAGATGGACACAATGGAACAAGGAGATGGACACAATGGAACAAGAAACAAGGAGATAGACTCAATGGAACAAGGAGAGAGACACAATGGAACAAGAAACAAGGAGATGGACACAATGGAACAAGAAACAAGGAGATGGACACAATGGAACAAGGAGATGGACACAATGGAACAAGGAGATTGACACAATGGAACAAGGAGATGGACACAATGGAACAAGAAACAAGGAGATAGACACAATGGAACAAGGAGATAGACACAATGGAACAAGGAGATGGACACAATGGAACAAGGAGATGGACACAATGGAACAAGGAGATGGACACAATGGAACAAGAAACAAGGAGATAGACACAATGGAACAAGGAGATGGACACAATGGAACAAGAAACAAGGAGATGGACACAATGGAACAAGGAGAAAGACACAATGGAACAAGGAGATGGACACAATGGAACAAGAAACAAAGCCGATGGACACAATGGAACAAGGACTGACTGACTGAGTTTAGTTTCACCAGCTTTGCAGCAATATTCCAGCAATATCACGGCTGGGGACACCAGAAATGGAGCTTAACACATTGTGCCCATGTGGGGAATCGAACCTGGTCTCTTGGAGGCGAATGGCCGGCCAAGGGCAGCTTTAACCACTAGGCTACCCCAATCACCCTGGAACAAGGGAGATATACACAATGGAACAAGGAGATGGACACAATGGAACAAGAAACAAGGAGATGGACACAATGGAACAATGAGATGGACACAATGGAACAAGAAACAAGGAGATAGACACAATGGAACAAGGAGATGGACACAATGGAACAAGAAACAAGGAGATGGACACAATGGAACAAGAAACAAGGAGATAGACACAATGGAACAATGAGATGGACACAATGGAACAAGAAACAAGGGAGATGGACACAATGGAACAAGGAGATGGACACAATGGAACATGGAGATGGACACAATGGAACAAGAAACAAGGAGATAGACACAATGGAACAAGGAGATGGACACAATGGAACAAGAAACAAGGAGATGGACACAATGGAACAAGAAACAAGGAGATGGACACAATGGAACAAGAAACAAGGAGATAGACACAATGGAACAATGAGATGGACACAATGGAACAAGGAGATGGACACAATGGAACAAGGAGATGGACACAATGGAACAAGAAACAAGGAGATAGACACAATGGAACAAGGAGATGGACACAATGGAACAAGAAACAAGGAGATTGACACAATGGAACAAGAAACAAGGAGATGGACACAATGGAACAAGGAGATGGACACAATGGAACAAGAAACAAGGAGATGGACACAATGGAACAAGGAGATGGACACAATGGAACAAGGAGATGGACACAATGGAACAAGAAACAAGGAGATAGACACAATGGAACAAGGAGATGGACACAATGGAACAAAGAAACAAGGAGATGGACACAATGGAACAAAACAAGGAGATAGACACAATGGAACAAGGAGATGGACACAATGGAACAAGAAACAAGGAGATAGACACAATGGAACAAGGAGATGGACACAATGAAACAAGGAGATGGACACAATGGAACAAGGAGATGGACACAATGGAACAAGGAGATGGACACAATGGAACAAGAAACAAGGAGATAGACACAATGGAACAAGGAGATGGACACAATGGAACAAGAAACAAGGAGATGGACACAATGGAACAAGAAACAAGGAGATGGACACAATGGAACAAGGAGATGGACACAATGGAACAAGGAGATGGACACAATGGAACAAGAAACAAGGAGATAGACACAATGGAACAAGGAGATGGATACAATCGAACAAGAAACAAGGAGATTGACACAATGGAACAAGAAACAAGGAGATGGACACAATGGAACAAGGAGATGGACTCAATGGAGCATGATACACTCACTGCCACGCTAAGTCTGCTACATTCTTCTGTAGTTTGTGCTTGAGGATGGGCATGAGGTTGTTGCTGCCGGTGTGCACTCTGATGGAGTCGTCCTGCAGGGAGTACGCCACTTTGATGGTGTGGGGGTGCCAGGCAAACGCTCGCACAGGACTGCATTGCCTAAAACACAGACAGATCAGCTAACTGTGACAACCTCTCAGGTAAAACACACCAAAAAAAACATGCAATAACTTTTATTAATGGTTGTAAAAGACTATGTCTGATGCCAAAATATGCTAATGAAATCTAAATTCAGACTGAGCATTTACAAAAAAACATTTTCAAAATACTGACTGCTATTCTATGTATCCAAAATATTCCCTTAAATACACAGGTATTTTAGCAATGCATTATTGCAATGATTTAAATCTAGGTATTATAAACGTTTTTTCTAATTATTGGTCCTGTTATTACTATTAGGTAAACATATGTAGCATCCAAACTTGCAAACACATGTCACTTACCAGTCAGCGACAGATGTATAGCTGGATACAAGGTCTTCATTGGATAACTGCCAACAGAAACGTCCAGTACTTGTATACTTAAACAACATTCCTCTGTTTGTTATGTAATGCCAAGCTCACAAATATTGTAGCTTTATCATGACAACAGGGGGTTGTAACGCAAAACAATGACACCAAAGTACATAGTGGCACTGACAGTGTCTTTGCACTATATAAAAAGAAAGGGATGTAAAGAAGTAAACACACACTTTCAATCCACGACAAACAATGCTCACTGTAAATACCCCCATCAAAAAACATACTCATTTCAAGCCCACAGATTTAGCTACAAAAATCAGACATAGATAACAAAAATCAAAGCTGTTACCAGTAACATATTTGCAATGATAACTTCATATTATATGTTGTCAGCAAAGTTTTTATATTTACAAGTACAAACTACATCAAAAGTATTGCTTAATCTTAATGCTTATCCCTATGGGAATACGATTCAATGTACACTCTTTACCTATGGTTATCAAGACATATTCACTGACAAGATAAGCCTTCAACTAATAGTATTCTCAATGTGTGCAGGGGACTTACTGACAGATGAGGAAAAAGAGAACCATTCAGAGAGTTTGCCCATCGCAGAAATGCTAAGGTTGTCATGGCGACGGATGCAATCCATGGTGGCACTGAAAGTATACAAAAATAACACGAAAGCTCTGAGTTTTTTATCACTTTTCAAAAGTATGCAAGTCCTAGAATGGGGGCCCGTGTAAGCAGCTTGGCTCCTGGGTGTTTCTAGAGGTTTGGTCCAGTGCAACAATGAAGCACACATAGTAGTTGGTAAGTGTGTTTGTTCGTGACACGTACCCAGACATGGATAACCAGTAGGATGAGATTGGAATATGACAATTTTCTAGCCCTACACTGACTGAGTTTGGTTTTACGCCGCTTTTAGCGATATTCCAGCAACATCACGGCGGGGGACACCAGAAATGAGCTTCACGCATTGTACCCATGTGGGGATTCGAACCCGGGTCTTCAGCGTGACGAGCCAACGCTTTACCCATTAGGCTACCCCACCGCCCCTTCTAGCCCTACAGCTTGGCCAGGGTGACAATGAACATTAAGAGCACACACATCCATTGACCACTGGAATAGTAATGCAGCACCACAAGCATTCACTTGGTGAAGGGAATCTGTGCATCATACATGCACTTCTCATCATGATCAAGGTGCTGACTAGCCAATCACTTCAAAAAGTATTAAAGTCACATTCAACATGCCCAAAAAGAAAGCCCCAAAAGATGCTAGACTTTGATGTTCCCCAATAAACAGGGTTTCATGCATGCGAACAAAGAATCATTATCGGGGGAAATATTGAATCACTTTAGATGACCTGGCCAGTGATACCTGATATACTTTACTGACTGATATTTTATCATGTTTATCATCACCTTCATCTTTGCTGTTGACTACTTCCTCAAATGTTCCCGTCATCCCATGTTCATACCTGTGAATAAGGAACAACAGGCACATTTAATGCACGAAACTGCCATTTTTAATTTTAAACAGCATGTAGTCTTAGGTTATATGCTAAGATGGTAAACCCCTTATCTGACATATGTAATCTTCAGACTTTAGTGGCAAACGTTTTTATCATTACGTTCAGTAACCATGGTAACCTCACCAGGAATGCATTGCTCTTTTCCATACAGTCTCATCATGAGGCAAAAATGCTGACTTGGCACTTTCTCTTTGTGTAAGGTTCCTGGATAGTTCTTTGGCAACTGTTATTACTGGGTAGGCTGGGAGCTGTAACAGAGCATGTACAAGCTTTACTGAATTGATATTCCACGAACTGGGATTTATCTAAGATTTTAAACCAAGTGCTTTTGGCAGGCATATTGGGAAAACATTGTGATATTGTGCAAAATTTGATTCTTAATGTTCATATTCTTGTAAAATCTGAGGTATTGGGAACTTTTTTGCACCCAAAATGGAATTTTCATAGTCATTAACTGCAGACTTGGAGAATAACGGTTCTGAACAGATCTAGATACAAATATTCCTATGTAAGTATGTCCATATGTTGATTGATGTTTAAAAATTGAATTCCTAAATATTTGCTCCTTCATTCACCATATTCAACATAACCAAAAAATCCTCTGGGTAAACAATCTGTTTATAAACTACTGATCTCTTGAAACAAAGAGTGTTTGTTTGTTTGATGCATTGCAGCAATATTTCAGCTGTATGAAGGCAGTCTGTAAATATGGACTGAACAATACAGTGATAGCCATGGGCAATTTAAGGAAATTCAGGTCATGTTTTACATGTGAGCTTTTGTCATTTGCAGTCATAGTATTTTTGCTTGCTGATTTTTGGTTCAAGTCAGTCACCAACACATGCCACAAAGCCTGACAAATCAACATTACCATTCCAATATTCCCTGTGGAATCAGTGACTGGCACCGAAACAAACTCTCCATGTTTCTCAGCGACAGTCATGTGACCTCGGCCAGGAGGGTCAGGGAAACGCTCAAAGATACTGCTCATTGTTCCCTGTTATGGAGAAGAGGGAAAAGGACGGTCCATGAAACTAAAGAAGCAAGGACCCAATATTTGGGTCTCTAGGCCCAAAACAACATTTTTTAATTATTAGGGAGTACTGCACTTTACCGGGCGCACTTTTTCAGATTATTTAGCGCTGCTGGGGCTCAAACGCTCTAACCTTAACCCCTAACCCTAAGGATCGTAAAGGGTGCCTAACCCTAAGGATCATAAAGGGTGCCTAACCCTAAGGATCATAAAGGTTGCCTAACCCTTAGGATCGTAAAGGGTGCCTAACCCTAAGGATCGTAAAGGGTGCCTAACCCTAAGGATCATAAAGGTTGCCTAACCCTTAGGATCGTAAAGGGTGCCTAACCCTGAACCCAGTGTCGGCCCGGGAAAGTGAAATTTCAATATTCCCTATTCCCGGTAAAGCGAAAACCAAATTTGTGCTGGAAGTGTGTAAGCGATTGCTATGAAAACATCGGATTACCGTACTTCAGATTAGCGCACGACCCCAATACTCGATCTCTCAGCCTCTCAACTGAGATGAAATTTCCTGTTACCTTATAAACACAATAAATGAATAAGTCGGGCTCTTTTACATGTGACATTGTCTAACAAAGATCAATCAGAGCTATAGATAATTCACTCAAACTCAATTGGGTATTTTGCCATTTTACATTATTTGTTAAAATAGAATAAAGTTCAAATGTTGGTTAATGTGTGTTATTTATATTTGATCTGTAATATGAGAAAAGATAAGAAAGACTGCAAGTTCACGTGCTGAAATAGAACCTCTCAGTCAGTTATACTATCTTTCCTCAGTAACCTCCATATGTAGCCCATGGGTCTCCTTACTTCAATTTCTAGTAGGTTTGCAGAATGTTACAGTATGCAAGCTAAGGTTTTGACATCTTTGTGTGTACGCATGTTAAATCAAATTTATTGAGTATTTACAAAAATTCAAGCATACTTGTATGCAATAGACTTGAAATGAATTGAGTTTTCACATAAATGTTTGCGTAATTTACGCAGATACGCAGCTTATCTGCACCTCTGTCAGATCAAACAATTAAGGTAATTAAAGATTAAATATTTTAGTTTTGAAGCCTGGTAACTGAGATTGAAATGCCCTATAATAAGTGCTCTCTGTATTTTTCTTTATCAAAATGGTAAATGCGCAGGTCGAGAGTTACGTTTATTGACACACTGAGACCTGATGAACCTTCAGTGATCCACCTCCACATGATCCATCAATGTGACTTATCTGTGAACAGTCTGTGTCTCAAACATTTATTGCTATTTATTTATTAAATTTCTACCATGACTACGGTATCAGACGACGACTCACATTTCTTTGTTTTTCTTGTGTATTGAGAGTCCCGGGAATGCTAAATGCTGGGTTCACTGTAGCTTGACTGTTCCCGTGAAAGCGACACCAAAATTTAGGAGGTTTGGTCCAGATTTCGCTTTCCTGAACCCTAACCCTAAGGATCGTAAAGGGTGCCATGCCCTAACCCCTAGGATCGTAAAGGGTGCCATACCCTAACCCTAAGGATCGTAAAGTGCTGTTTGACTCTAAAGATGAAAGTGAAAGGAGACAGAGCAATTATCGCGATATAGCGAGACAGTGTTAGAGACAGTGCGGAAGCGCTATAGCATGATAATTGCCCCGCAGCAAGCAGCGTGGGCTGCGCCCGGTAAAGTGCATTCTAGCCAATTATTACTGGGCAGAAATGGGGATTCAAATAATGGACCTTCTGATTCAAAGTCTTGATAAAAGATTATAATTGTGTCAGCATGGTCAAGCTGTCAAGGAAAGGGTGTCATCTGCGGGATGAATCCATGACCAGCTGCACACTACCCCATCAACACAGGGCATGTACCAGGCTTCATGTAGTAGGGTTCTGAGACTCGATCCAATTTGTGAATCCTGGAATACAAACCATGGACCTTCTAATTCGACGCCAGATACCTTGTGCACCTGACCAAAGGGGAAGACCCTACCACCAAGATGACAAGGCAAGGAGTTCATCTGTGTGATGGCTAAAACGCCCTGCTACATTGGCAACTTCAGATCATCACCCAATCTGATTAATATCAATTTAATCAGCCTGAACTAAAATTAATCTTTGTTCTGAGCTCGACTTGAGTTTTTTTTTACTTTGTACATATACATTATTAAATAAGATAACGTCATTTCAAGGACGTAATGTTTGTCTCTACATGTCCATAATTTATATCATTTATAAAGAAAATGACATGGGTTCTGCAATCCCCCAAATGACGTATTCAAATCTTGACATTTCATCTGATCTAGTCTGATTTAGCGATCACATTGCGGATACGAATATGGTTTGCACATAAAACATATAAAGGAGTAATTGCACATCAAATGTCCGGCAGACAGAGTATTCATGGTCGGATTACCAGCTTTGACAGACAGAATCATCAGCTGTTGATCAAGCACTTTCGTTGGGAACCCTAAATTCGTGCAGGTGCTTGAAATCTCGCGCTTCCGTCATCTATAATATCATTGCGCGTGTTTACATCAAGCAATCATTTACTGGGCTGTGTCATGCTAGTATTTTATTTCTGCTGTGGGCTTCTACATATAATGGGACTACTTATATACATTTAGGATGGATTCTCAACAACAAATGAGGTCTTACTTGTCATTCATATAGAACTATATTTTTTGCTGGGTTAAAGCCGAACGAGGAATAACAATAATACAATTTCCGGTGCGTTGTTCGGTTCAGTTCCAGCTCATCACACGATACTACTTCTGTTGATAGCAGAGCTAGTCAGGCACCGTCTGCTAACATGTTGGCGTTTCTGATATTTGCAGCAACATTTGTGGTTGTACTGATAATTGCCGTTATTTATATATCTCCGGTAAGTGATGTGCACAGTTGCGATTTAGCTGACAAGACATCTCAACGTGTTTTTTCACCCTCAGGATGCTCTGAGTCTGAAGTTAACCGCTGACAAGACATGAAACATGTTTTTTCACTCTCAGGATGCTCTGAGTCTGAAGTTAACCAAGTTACTCACCAGTCATGTATCTAACTGTGTACACAGCACAACTTCAACTGTGAGTTGTGTTCTTACATATTTGGTATGTTTAATTGCTAGACTGTGTGTCCGAGTTGACAATAAGAAAATAGTTTGTGTGAGAAATTGTTTTTGTTTAAAGCTTAGATACAACCAAAAAAACCCAAACATAATTAAAACACTATTATCATTTATTTGTGACATATAATATACATTGCTGATTATGAAAAAACAAACAAATAAAGTAGTATAGACAATAGGGGTACGAGATCAATTCTGACAAAAAGCCATTGTAAAGCTTTATTTATCAAATAAATCTTTTATCAGGCCCTAATCTCTTACTGCTATTCTATATACCACTTTTTTTCCTGGTCACTATGACCGCAAGCCAACACTTTCCTGGTCACGTGACACTATTATGTTTACTTCTTGAGCGGTGGCAACATTGTGTCGTGAGGTATGATCAATACCTCTGGCTTCCTGGTCACTATGACTGCGAACCAACACTTACCTGGTCACACGGCTATGTTGATCTCAGCGAAACAATTTAATGTGAATCGCCTATGATTTCTTTGGTTTTCGTAATGAAGGCTTGTTGGGCTTGTTGTATTCCTTGGTTTATGTACTTTGTTTTCTCGTCTTCGCTGATGACAGTGCTTTTACGAGACTTGGTTCGAATCTCTTGTTTCATTTTGTGATATTTTGCGAGTTCAGAGAGTACCAAACGAAACTCTCCCTCTGAGATTTTACTGTCAGTGAGTGCAGTGGAAATATGGTAGTCTATTGTGTTTAACTTTGCTTCGGCTAGAATTCTAATTTCGTCGTGTTTCAATGCTTTACGATGCAATTTGCGAGATACAAACTTAAACACCAATCCCACCAACCCTGACACTCCAGCTGTTATTTCAATGCCTAGCACTATAGGTGCGGCTACGATGGTGGACAATAACCCGACACCTACCGCACCTAACCCCATACTGGCTGCCATAAGGGAGGTATCAACCCCATCCACGACATTGAAAGCTCTATGGTATTTCTTACATAATGCTTTCCATATGTCGCGATCTTGTTCTAGTTGGCGTTTTATGTCACATAACTGTTTCAACCGAAACCCATCTACGGTTTCCAGTGTTTTTGTTACTTCTTCTACGACTGGGTACAGTCCCATCCTGTGTGTGTATTATATATACTACTCAAAACAAGTTAAGGGTCAAAACTTTTAATGGCTATAACTACAAATATAAATAACAGTGAAATGTAGCGATCATATAACAACTCGAGCCAACATTTCATGATAACCATAACGGGAGACAAAAACAGCAGGAATGCCGATGTCCTAACTCGTCCCAAGCATGTTCCACAGGGGCTAAATAGTGTTCCCCCTAGGATTCAGAAAGGGCAGGGTAACTTAAACAAAAAGGGCACTTCATAATCTAAAAGGGCACTTTGGTGAGGATTATTGAAAAAATAACAATAACAAAATGTATATGAAGTCAAATGCTCTTATAATTTTATTTCTAAAGTTCATTTATTACTCTTCTCATTTTGTATTTTAAGATCAAAATTTGGAAAAAAAAGCATTTCAAGACATCAATCTGTTGTCACATTTGTTTACAATTTCACAAAACACGCAAACAACAATTTACAGTCTTCTTTTCTTTCTTGCCAAGCATCTGTTCACAACTTTTTTCAAGTCAATGTCTTAAACTGACGATGCATTCAGGCTAATCATGAGAAGTCTGTTGCAATTTTGAACACTGAGTCTGTTTCTATAATCTGTCACATTCAGTTTCACTTTTGAGAACACTCTCTCAACTTCAGAAGTGGACAATCACAGTTGCATGAATGGACAGTAATTGAACAATGTTTGGATTCAAGTTTCCAAGTTGAGGCTTGTGTCTTCAAAATGGTGGAGGGTGAACTGGTGTCAAGCTCCTTTACTTGACTCCACTCGATCTGTGTTTGGTCGACATTAAGTCCATTTCTGCCCTTGGTGTTCCACTTAGAACATAATGAACAAAACATCATTCCCTTCTTTTTGTCATCTTCTGAGTACCTCGACCAGGGACGGTTTTGTTGCCACTTTGTGTCAAATGCAGTCTTGTGACCACCATCTTTCTTCTGTGTTGGATTAACTGGCTCTGTCTCGTGTGCCCTTGAATTTTCATAGCAAACTACCTCTGACTCGTCTAAGTCCGGTCTGAAAAAACATATATACAAAGTTAATATACCATATTCAAAATATTCTTAGATATTAAATTTGCAATCATAATTATTAAAACAAAAATATCACACAATAATACACCTGAACGTAAGTATCTACTGTGGAGAGCTTCGGGTGTGGCTTCCCATTGTTTGAAATCGTGGTTTTACTCCTTCAAGACTTACATTTTTTGAAATCAACAGTAAACACTAAAACAAGGCTAAAGTGAAGCTGTTATGCTCCTGTATTAACTATTTCATTTCCCAGGACAAACAACAAAATAATACAAGATCAATTTCAAATTGCCGATGGATTCAAAATGGCGGACATTTTCGAAGTTTAAGATTTTCATCTAAACAGCACAGTCACATGAATATCGGTCCCCAAACGCACTCAAAAATACATCCCATGTAGTTCACACATCGTTGTCTTTAATAAATGAAGGTCTTATTTGAAAGGCATGTGAAATTGAAAGGGAAATCAACGGCCTAAAAATCACGAACTTAGAGGGACATACCTGTTAGGAGCGAAGAAATCTATTAGTCGGCGACACTTCCTTGCTTCAACCTTCACCGCTTCTTCTCTTTTCCATTTGATTCTTTCCTTGGTAGGCATTGTGATTTGTAAAGCGAATTAAACACATTTGACTTCGCCATGGTTTAAATGCCAATTTCCTAATCATTATCAAAACAATTTTGCGTCTCCCCTTGAAAGGGAGAGAACTCCGTCCTTAATAAAATCCGGAAAATACACACTGGTTGTTGTAAAATCAAGCACAGCTGGAAAAAAAACTGGGATTGAGGTGAAAAGGGCAGGGCGCAAAAATCAAAGGGCAGGGCGCAGCGCCCTCCTAAATGTGCCTAGGGGGAACACTAATAAATCTGCTGAATATGCCGGGCATTCCATGTGCTGAACATTGTTCTGTTTAAGGAAGTCCGTCACAACACGGGCACGGTGTGGTTGGGCGTTGTCATCTTGGAATATGGATCCGACGCTGATACGTTGTAAACATGGCAAAACAAGGGGTCTGATAATCTCCCGTACATAGCGATTTCCGGTCAGGTTACCATTAATGACATAGAGAGGTGTCCTTTGATGAAAGGAAAACGCACCCCAAACCATGACACCCCCGCCTCCATATGGCAAACGTTGGTTGATGTTAACGTCAGCATACCTCCCTCCTGGATGCCGATACACACGAGTTCTACCATCATTGAACTGTAGAGAAAACCTAGACTCATCAGAGAAAAGAACTGATGCCCACTGAGCACGTTGCCAACGAACATGGCGTCTACACCAGTCATGTCTTGCCGTCATGTGTCGCTGAAGGAGCGGTGGTCGTACTGCTGGTCGCCATGCCCGAAGATTGTTCTTCGTCAGTCTGATCAGATACCAGGGTACTTGTGGCAGTTCTCAGTTGGTCACGGAATTGTCTGGCAGTTACTCTGCGTTGTGGGAGGGCCATATTTGTCAGGTATCGGTCTTCTCTAGGAGTTGTTGATGGAGGCCTGCCAGAACGTGGCCGATTATTCAGCATTCCAGTGACACGAAACCGGTGTCATAACCTTCCAATGACACTCTGACTCACATTTAGTCTCTGAGCCACACTGCGTTGAGGTTCGCCATCTTGAAGCCAAGCAAGAGCTCTTCCTCTGTCTGTCATGCTCAGTTGACGTCTTGCTATTGTTGAATTTCAAGTGACAATAACAATGCGACAATTACAAGTTTTATAGGGAAAATAAGCATGCACAGCACTAATCCCACGAAGAACACATGCATATGTTGTTCATGATGAAACATCATCTTCCACAAGCACAGTGGTGGCGCTTCTGTGAAGGTCTCGATGTTTCAATTTGTTCATTTTTTAACACCCTACGAAATGATGACTATTGGCACCATGGTTATCTGCAGCTTTTATCCAGGTTCTGCAATGGTTTTGAATAAACTGCCATACACGGAATGTAAAGTTTTATTCATGCATAATGCAACCAGCCTCATCAATAACATTACATGATGACATCGCATGACCCTTAACTTGTTCTGAGTAGTATATTATAAGATAAAATTTAATTGGTTTTTCGTTAATTTCTTATCAATGTATTTGAGGCTTATACGGTTTAGATTTTCATCCACGGCAATCCCTGAGACATCAATAGGCACATCTGGGGTCAAAATACGGACCCCCTCGAGGCTTACTAAGGGGGCCGATCCTGGTTGTACGATGATACGGCAACGTTGGTAATTGTGTCTGTCTTCCCACACTATTCCCAACCCTTGTAAAGGGTTTACACCGATATGAGTGTTCCCGAGATAGAATTCTATGATGAGTGTGGTGTCTTGCCCCATAACTGAAAGCCCTCGCTGGTAATCGGGTGATTCGGACCCTAAAATTATATAGTCATCGTTTGGAGCTAAAATGTTGCCCGTGTAACCTGGTATTCGTATAACTTGGGTATTATCCGACGGAACAAAAGACGTGAGAATGATACCGTTGTTCTTAATTTCGGAGACGAAACCATTTGTTTTAAAGGAGATGTAAGGTGCGGTGAGGGTAATGTTGATCAACCATTCGGGTTCTTTAAAGTCTGCCAGAGACACCCGCTCGTACAAGTTGCCTTTTAAGTGCAGGACGTACAAGGCGTCTTCCTCATCGGGTCGACCGAACCCCTCCATGACTTTGAGTTTTGTCTGTGACCGAGGCATATCTATATCACAGTTAGAAATTCTGACAATGCTAAATAATGACGTTGCTGCTAAGTATTGAACTGAGAAAGTGACTCGGTAAGAAGAGGTGTGGGATAATAGTCAAATGTAATTATATAAACAGTTAAATCGGTGATCGACTGTCATAACTTATAAAAAGCTTGCGCCTGTGATATATCAACAAAACATTAGAAAAATAGCTCACATCAAAGCCTACACAGAGTACTCACCGCCAGCGAAGGTTTTCCGTCTTGAAATGTCGAACACTTCACTGGTTGACACATTGCTGAGTACATCTAGATCCTTAGCAAGGTTCTTTTATGTAACGAGTAAATTATTTACTATTTGTTGTTTGTGTACACAACCAAGATTAGACTACTCTTGCTCACGACCTTATAATCCGGGCATCCTGCTTGAAGCTGCACAAATGTATTCACTGCGCATGCGCTATAAGCGCAGCACACCACAGCTGTTGAAACCACTTTTCACCATCGCGTTATTTTTCAACTTTATAAGTTGAATTTGCATTTTTGATAATTTGTTACTGTAAGTCCAAACCGAAAGGTATCAGAATCTGCAAAGTTGTGTTTTGCGTTGCATATGACCTTTGAAGTTAGTTATCATAGATCAGAGAGATTACATAGGTCACAGGGTTCTCAGATCAGTGTGAGCATTTTCATGTGTTATTTGCAGGGTGCGATGTCCGTTTTTTTTTCAGTACCAGCACCGAGTGCAAACTGGCTTATAGGTTTGGCTGCACCTTCAAAATGTTGGTTGCACCACAAAATAATGTCACTGGTTCTAAAACGTAACATAAATACTTCTTTAGCAACCTTCATAACTAGTACTGGCTACCGAACAGTTATCGCCATGTTTTAGTGTTATTTACAAAATTACTCCGCCGTCCGTTAAATTAATGAAACAAAATTAATCATGATACTTAATTAGCAATTCACTGATGTGTCCAGCCCATTCACTGCCGCCGATCATGTTTTTATATAACGTGGCGGAAGGGAATCATGGCAGTATAAATAGATGTTTTCTCACAACTAACTGTAACAGTTATTGCCATTTAGGATTTCTCATGCCATTCGTGAAATAATATATATATTTATATCATTCAGTTACCTCGAATAATTGATTGTGTGACTACTTGTGTGTTTCTTTTACAGTATATTGATAGGGAATGAAACAATTAATGACTTGTGAGTGAGTGGGTGAGTAAGTATGATTTTATGCCGTTTTTAGCAATATTCCAGCAATATCACAGCAGGGGACACCAGAAATGGGCTTCACACACTGTACCCATGTGGGGAATCTAATAATGACTTGTGAACTTGAATTTGCTATTATATAGGTCGTGGGACATCCCCCTGACTAAGTATATTTATTGGATTCATTACTTTGTTTTAATTTTCTCTTATGTTACTTAACATGAAGAATGTTCTTATTGTTGTCAAAGACCGTGGGGGGGGCGGTGGGGTAGTCTAGTGGTTACAGCGTTGGCTCGTCACGGCGAAGACCAGGGTTCGAATCCCCACATGGGCACAATGAGTGAAGCCCATTTCTGGTGTCCCCCGCCGACGTGATATTGCTGGAATATTGCTAAAAGTGGCATAAAACCAAACTCAGTCAGTCAGTCAGTCAAATACCGTGGGGGAAAAATACCGGAATTGACTGGAACTGCGCACGTATGATACAGATGTATTGGCGATAATTGTTACGTGGCGATAACTGTTTGCTAGCCAGTACAGAACCATAACCTAAAGTCGTGGATAACCTTGATTTGTGAATCGCTGTAATTATCATGCTATCTCATAAATTAAGTCTCGACTGACGTCATGAAGCGGTACTTTTGATGTACATGCAATGCCACGCCTCGCTGGCAAAAATGTCCGATCTCTGCATTACACGAAAGTATACTAACTCAATTTCTAGCACTGAGATAAATAGCCCAAGATCACTAATGCCACCATTACCAAATTCTATTTTTACAAAATGTCATGTAAAAAGATACCAAGAGCGTCAACCTTGTCACATCTCACCGTCTGCTTTCCTTAGTGTCAATACTTACTGCGATGGACTGTCGTACATAGTTATATAAATATGATAAACTAACCGACTACGTAATCCATGAAACAAGGTGATGTCAAATTTGGGGGCACACAAATGGGTGATGATTGCAAATGGCTTTGGTAAACAAATGTTTCATTCACAAATGGAATATTAGGCTTTTTCAATTTGCTGATTCAGTGAATAAAATAATGAGTAAGTATACAAAATGAAATCGTGCATTTGAAATATGATTTTCGCTGCACTTCCCTTATATCCACGAATCAAGGTTACGCGAGTGTACTAAATATCAGATACATGCAACAGAACCAGATCCAGTGATAAATGATGAATGATTATGTGGTAGTTTTGCATTACATTTATTTAAAAATCTCAATTATATGATTACTGCTGCATAACTGATTAATGAATACACAAATGTTCATTCTTCTAATGAGTCTTGTTACTTCTTGCCACTTACTTCCCAATTAAGACACACCAATCACAAATGTTGGAGGATTTATTGTTACCTGCACTGAGTGCAACCTGTTTCTAAAGGCATCCTGCACCAGCTATTTTGAACATGCACTGGTGCAGGTCGTAAATAACGAAATCGCACCCTGATTTGTCACAGGCTTTAATTATTCATAATCACAATTATAACTTCATGATCTTGCTTCTGCCAAAATAAATGATTATTGACATCAACAACTGAGAGGAATTATGAAAGCTGATGAGTAACGTTTCCATGTATAATATGCCCTGACTACCCCTGCAGGTAATACATGTGTATTCTTCATTATTTTAGTAGGAGATGGTTAAAATGATTATTTACAAAATCTTTGTACAATCAATTTAATCGTTTTATAATTTGTTTCAGAAAAGTTCCGCCAAAGGGACGACAGTGCCTGGTCTGTCTCCAACCACTACAGAGTATGTATTAGTGGTGTTCCGATTAATTGAAAAAATCGAAGATTGGTCGCAGTGACCAAACGACAAAGCAATCGATCACATTTTCTCATAATCGAACACAAATGATTTTGAAACTACTGTTTTAGTCTTTGAAATACTTGACGATGGAACGTATCTTAGAAGTTGTCAGGGACTGAAAACATGTTTAATACTTAGAAAACTCACTTCACTAGCTGAAAAGTCATGACTGAATATTTCTTGAAGACTCCAGGAAGTTTATGTTCATGATATATTAGTCATCACTTTAATGTAGCATGTTGCAACATGTTATACTTTTCTGCAGTAACAACCTGGATAGGAAAATCTGAAAAATGACGCTAACCAAGTTTTTTCGATGATTGTTCGTTGGTAATGAAGCAATCATCAATTGTGAGATTTCAACCAATTCCTAACACTAGTCATTCTCTTCCCACAGAGGTTACTCCTGTCATATCTTCCTACGTAACCTCTGTTCTAATACGGCCCTTTCATGGTGTGAGCGTTCAAGACTTGTGATTGGAGGCAATCAGATTTAGTTGTGCAATCAGCGACGTTGTTTCAAAAGTGATCATTCGCAAGGCCTCGGTAATTTCCGTATGCTTCGAGAAAACTAAACTTCTTCCCCTGCGCGATGCGCAAACGTTTCTTCTAGACAGAACTCAGTCATGTTATGGCGGATCAGTGGCGCCGTCGTTGACAACGGACAAGCTAGCCATTAAACGTCTTGTGTGTAACATCAACACAAGTCCCCGGCAGATGGTGTATATTTGTGGCCCCACATTTGGTTGTGTTAGTCAAGTTGAATCTAAGTCGATGTAACACGTGTTCTGATTGGATAGAAAGAAGGGAGATAATTTGTGTTGCGATCTTTTGCCACTAGGGAATTTTACGAGAACCGGGAAATATGGCCGTATTAGAACAGAGGTTCGTAGGAAGATATGACAAGTAACCTCTGTGGGAAGAGAATGAACACTAGTATGTATATTCTATTTTTTACCATTTTGTGTGACATCCACGGTCACACAATGAAATATTGTTCTGTTCTTTTAATGAACAAACATGTCATATATACTAAAGTAGGCGTTGGGGTAGCCTAATGGTTAAAGCGTTGGCTCGTCACGCCAAAGACCCGGGTTCGAATCTCCACATGGGTACAATGTGTGAAGCCCATTTCTTGTTTCCCCCGTCGTGATGTTGCTGGAATATTGCTAAAAGCGGCGTAAAACCAAACTCAGACAGTCAGTACTAAAGTAGAGCAAGTTAACTCAATGGTTCATCACGATCTGTTCATTCTGATCTCCAGCCTCAAGCCTGAAGTAAATGTCTGTAAAACCTCCCTCACTAAACTTGACATTTCCTAATTCATGCTCTTTTGTAACTGCTGAGGTGGGGTGTGTGTGATGCTATGGCTTTGTATTTCTTTGATTAATGGTGTTAAGATGACATGTTGTTGAACGGTACTGTATTCACTGCCAACATCTGCGATTTTATCGTAGTCACTATGAATTTTAGCCTCAGACTATGCCAATATGATTGCGCTAGAAATTCTAAGAAATTTGGAGAAAATTCATTAAAATTAGGATAGATAGACAAAACCATATATTTTCGTCGATTAAATACATTTTTGCCAAAAAGAAACGAGAAGAAAGGTAATGCTGATAATGTGGAAATCTGCTGTTGGAGGTGTGTGAAATTAAAGCTTCACTCTTGATTAGTGTCATATTATCTTTCACAGAATCCATCATGATTTAAAGTTATTAGTTGACTACTAATTTTATGGTCAAACTACCAATTTTGATCCTTGAAACTACTATTTGCAACACTTTGGGGTTGGCATCTCTGCTTATCAGTCTCAAATTCTGAAACACAGTGAACAAAGGAGGAGTTATTTTCAGCAGAAGTGTGTCAGGGTGTGCATAAATACCTCTGGCTCCGACTATAGTTCGTCCATGCTTAGGTATGGGTGTTATGATCATCGTAGCACTAACATCGCTTTGTACAGCAGCACCATGGTGTATAATGAAAATTGCAGTTGAAGGTTTTATTGTCAGAATACGATAAATCATGAAATTAATGCATCACAAATTTAATGCGAGTGTGAGGGTCTAGTCTAAAATACGTCATGAAATTAATTTGAGCTCAGGAATCTGTGTTGATGATAAAATGTGACACTCTGAATCTTTGGTGTTGTTCTTTTTTCTTTTCACACTTGTTATTTACCAAATAACCTGAATTGAGCTTGTTAAGCAATGAATGGAAATGAGCTGACGATGTTTTGATTACGCTGCCATGTTTGATCACGTGATTGCTTGCTACTACTTGTCTTATGACTACATGTATAAACGTAATTCGACTTGAAAGACACAAGTCATCTACCTAGGTACAACAAACAAGTGGGGGGTCTTCTCGTTTATCCACCACCTATTGTTCTAGGTGGACAAGTCACTGAAGCGGAATAATCCTCAAGACAATAGATGTCCCTGAAATTTTGTTCCCTGTGAAATAAGATCCCCCCTTGAATGTAGTAGTAAAAAAAAGTAAGTCTTTCTACATTTTTTTTTATTTCAACAATACATACAATATCAAAATTAACAATACATTCAATATCTATGACAATCCTCAATAGCCTGTTAAATGGGATACTGCATCCCAATATGCATATACATCCATATGGCCAGCCAAGAATTGCTGTTTGATGTTACATAATCTGTTTGTTAAATTGACATATTTAACTTTTTGCGCGAGGAGGTTTGGCACCTCCTCTTAATTGCATACATGATGCCTCTACGCATGCCGATTGTTCTTTTTCAAGAATTCAATAATCTTGAAGATATTGGGATGGTTTTCTAAACAGGAAAGCTTCCTGTGCCAGCCCTCAAACATGATTAGTAGTGCTGGGGCCTTCGTGGCTTAAGTGGTTCCACATGGTCCTGCCATGGTCACCCTCCACCCAGTACGATGTCATATAGTCTGTAAACTGTTCCACCCCAGGAGGTGCATCTTCCAGGGCCTGCCACCACACATCACTCACACAGTCCACTGGTACCAGGGGTAAGCAATCGCCAGTCTTACAAGACGACCTATGTCCGGTTGTCCTTATATTCAGTTACCATTCCAAGCTTCTGAACTTTTCTCCAAACACTCTGGCTAAAGTGAAAGTAGCAACCCTTTAATATGGCATTTTGAAAAGTCATCTTGATGGCGCTTTGGAGCAGCTGACTCAAAATCAGTGAACACACTCACTGGATCCAATACAATGTTCTTAGAGGCCGCTACATTCTTCACATTTTCAAAGAAACGCTCATATGTCGATCGCTTTTTATCTGGGAGCAGACCATACACCAAAGGGCACATCTTATTTTGCACAAATGCATGAATGGTGTAAAGCTGGGTGAACACACCAGGGCACTTGTCAAATGTTCGTCACAGTAGTACACATCTGCTTCGGAGAGAAGTCGCGCAGTTCTCGCCAGTCGGAAGGTCAGGATCTTGTCATGGTCGCCGAAAACAGCAGGAAGTTGTCATTGGCATGCGCCTTAGTATATGCATCGGGAAGATCTATTGCTGATCTAGTTGCTGGCAGATGGGGATGTCTTTGGCTCGAGCGCGGTATAGAGCAGGGCGTACACTGTCAAAGATGGGCACTTCTGCAATGATGTCAGGATTCATCACTCAGACCTAGAACAGAGAAACACAATGTTAAATTCAAAGAAAACTGTTGTAGTATTTTAGTATTTAATAGTAATTAAAAAGTTGCCAAGTATTTATGTTAATATTTACCTGATAACTCCTCCTGATAAAGAGATGGAATTGGTTTGGAATCTTTTCGGACAAGGTCCTTAAGATTGGCCAAGAAAGAATCTACAGCGATTCTATTCTCCACAGATGCATGGTTATGCTGGTCTCTGTAGGACGTGAGAATATTATCTTTGGTGTTAACCGTGGCATGGCAGTTCTTCTGGGCGCAGTTCCAATGGACAGATGTTCCTCGCCTTCTTTAACTACAAACTTGTAATTTTGGAACACTAAGTACTGACCACCTCTACCATTAGGAATAAACTGGACATTAACCTGTTGGTTAGCCATCGTGACTGACCTTAAAGAACCTCATGTACCATTTTATAATCGTGTAATAGTGAAAAGTGTTCACTGAATTAAAAAAACACAAATAGCATAATCGACACAATTTAATTAAAGTTCACGAACACTGTTCACTGTAACAGGGCAAATCAGCTAATTAGTGTCACCCACCAGGACCAAATTTCAGAGTGAGCAGTGTAATCACTAACCCGTATCAACTAATCCCATCTAATCCCTTGTCAAAACTAAAGGGTGGTGGATAAGTGAGAATGAACCACAAGTGGCTGGAGAATGTCTGGTATGGCTGATGTGCTTGAGTGATTTTAAACAATGACCAGTGATTGTAACCAGTAATAATTACATGTGGTTTGAGATACCTGTAATGAGGAAGTGACCTGTATTGGTGTAATGTGTAGTGTCAACAGATTTACGTTTTATTAAGTTCTCAAAAGTAGACATGTTCAGACTGAAATGCGTCATTATAATAATGCGAGAAGAGTACAGATGCAAATTTTTCACATTAGTAAAATGCTCTCATTAATTTCATGATTTACAGTAATTAAACCTTGATATACTTTTGTGGCATATGTTTAGGTCATCTTGATATCATCAACATAACCGCTGATTTTTGTCTGTTGTCTTGGGCATGTTGGGTGACCTCCCTTGGCTGTGCAGAGTTGTGTCCCATAGTTGTAGGTGGATCTGGTCATTAAGAGTTTGAATCCAAGATAAATATGTAAAAGATAAGTAATAAAATATCAGTAAATAAATATATAAATAAATAAATGAACTAACAAACTGATATATAAAACAAATAAATGAATACATAAATTTAAAATAAATAAATAAATGTACCTGCTACATACTTTAAGACATGTGAAACAAACATGTCAGTGAGTGAGTTTAGTTTTACTCCGCACTCAGCAATATTCCAGCTATATGGCGGTGGTCTGTAGAAACAAACATGTCTTTGCCAATGTTAGTGATAGGTTTCCTTGATAAGTCCCTTGATGAGCTGTGTATTGTTGACAGAGATGGCAACCTGGCTGACATTGGAAGGGCTGGCAGCTTGCACGAGTTCTTGATGGACCTTCACCAGCAGTTTGGGCCTATCGCCTCCTTCTGGATGGGACCAGGAGCTTGTTGTCAGCATTGGATCTGCTGAACTGTTCAAGCAACACCAGAATGTGTTTGATCGACCTCGTGAGTTGCCTTGATGTAGTTTTAGTACAAATGTTGTGTGTTGTCAAACCACATGTTTATGGCCCGTGAAACTGCTACTTCTTTCAACACTGTTTATATTCAGAATTGTGAGTAAGTAATTCTATATGCTCTTTCACACTTTAAAATTATGCATTTAAGAAAGTAGGATACGTTCCTTCTTCAAAATAACCCGTGAAGGTCCGGGTTAGAATGTGCCTTCAGTACCCCATGCTTGTCGTAAGAGGCGACTAACGGGATCGGTTGGTCAGGCTCGCTGACTTGGTTGACATATGTCATCGGTTCCCAATTGCGCAGATCGATGCTCATGCTGTTGATCACTGGATTGTCTGGTCCAGACTCAATTATTTACAGATGGCTGCCATATGGCTGGAATATTGCTGAGTGCGGCGTAAAACTCTCTCAACTTCTTCAAAATATATCTTCCAAATTATTGACATTTTTTCTTCAAAATACATGTAGATAGATTGTGAGAAATATCTTTGCTATTGATGTTACATGTTCTTGAAATGAAACTTCATCAGTGATCAAATGATGTGATAAAAAAAATTATGTCAGCATCTTCATTCATTGTAGACTTCTACCATTCTACTGACAACTGGAGAGTGATTGTGTTTAGTTTTACGCCACACACAGCAGTATTACAGCTATATGGCGGTGGTCTGTAAATAATCGAGTATGTACCAGACAATCCAGTGATCATCAGCATGAGCATCAATCTACCCAATTGGGTTTTGATGACATGTCAACCAAGTCAGCGAGCCGGACCACCCGATCCTGTTAGTCGCCTCTTATGACAAGCAGGGGTCGCTGAAAGCTAACAAAAGAAATAAAAATACCAAAATGTGTTTTGATAACAGATTACTTTGATAAAATGGCATGTAATATTACTTGTAGAATCATTTTGGAGTGTCAATTTCTGAGCATACTCAATAAGAATGTCTCTTTTCCCTTCTCCCAAGCCATTGTTCAGTGACTGTCATGAGCGGTGGGGTAGCCTTGTGGTTATAACGTTTGCTCATCACGCAGAAGACCCAGGTTTGATTTCCCACATGAGTATAATGTTTGAAACCCATTTCTGGTGTCCCCTGCCGTAATACTGCTGCAATATTGCTAAAAACTAAACTCACTCACTCTTTCACAATCAAACATTGTATCAAATAAAAATTTATATTAACTTAAGTGTTTTTTTTCTAGCGAAGCTGTTCCGGCTATTTGAGCCTATCATAGGAACCAAGAGCATACAGTATGCTAATGGTAGTGATGGACGAGGTAGACGGGCAGCTTTTGATAAAAGTTTCTCCCATGAAGAACTGAAGATGTACTACCCTTGTCTGCAAAAGGTGAGATGTGAGACTGCACCTCGGAAGATTAAAGTCAGTGTATGAAATAAGGCCCGTCTGACCTCCCAAGAGGGGCTAGATTTCTCCCGGACGGTCTAATTTTACAGCTAGCCAGCCCGGTGGACGGGTGAAAAAAATATTCAGATAACGTGTCCACTGGCACTGCCTATTTAGGCAACAACTGGTTAAATCTCTTCTGGGCTGGTAATTTTTGAAGTTACCAGCCCAGATGTCTGGCTGGGTTTTTGGCTAATTTCATACACTGTTAAAGTGTGGTGTAATAATTAAGCAGCTCTCTTCAAAGAGGTTGTTAGTTTTGTGGACATATCATGGTTTGAGTAAAAGGATCTTTAGCATTCTTTGGCACATTTTCAATACTGTATAGTTTCTTCATCTCCCATGACTGCCTCTGTGGTGTAGTGGCTGAGCCTCTTGCCCTGGTATGCAAGTCGTTGATGAATTAATTGTGAAGGAAGTAAAGAGGTGGTACTTGTTGTTGCCCTGCCTGAGTAGGGTATCCATTTTAGACTGTGGCCTGGTATCTTAGTGGGCAAACCGTCCCAAACTGGAATGAGTAGGGACTAGAATATGCAGCTAAACATGTACGCACGATATATGTGAAGTAATCTTGACTTATAACAGGCATGGTGTTTAGGCACAATCTTTCTGCCCAGACTACAAGTCCTAGCACTGACACGTAACTCCCATACTTTTGTATGAGAGTAGCTGCAAAATTGCTGATACAGCAATCGGCAATATTCACTCACTCACTCACTCCCTCCCATACTTTGGCCTAAAGGTATGGCTGTCATACTCTTCAAACGAAATTCTCCTACTTCAGCACAGTCATAGCACAAAGATCTCTTTGTGAAACGGAGTCTGTACTCATCATAAAATAGATGGAAGTCCACTCTACTTTGCGCTGCTTCACCTCTCTGCTCTACATCGCTAAATTCAACTCCACTTCACATAGAATCACAATGCTCTGCCAGTCTGGTCCATTCCACTATGCTACTTGTGAAAATCCGGGTTAGAATTGATCTTCAGAAACCCATGCTTGTCGTAAGAGGCGACTAACGGGATAGGGTGGTCAGGCTCGCTGACTTGGTTGACACATGTCATCGTATCCCAATTGCATAGATTGATGCTCATGCTGTTGATCACTGGATTGTCTGGTCCAGACTCAATTATTTGCAGATCGCCGCCATATAGCTCGAATGTTGCTGAGTGCGGCGTAAAACTAAACTCATTCGCTCACTCATTCCACTATGCTTTTCCGTTCCACTGTCTCGCTCACTCACTCACTCACACCTGCACTCACTCACTCACTCAGTGGTGTAATGGTTAGAGCATCTGCCAAGAGAGCAGAAGGTCGCTGTTTCGATCCCCAGCTGCGTCATACCAAAATATGGTACTTATTGGTCCCTGCCTGGTGGTCAGCATTAATGGGTACAACAAGGACTGGTCGGCTCGGGAGTCAGTATATTGTGTCTTAGTGGGGTATTCATGCTTAACTGCGGCATGGTATCTCAGTGAGCTAACACTATAAAACCAGCTTAAGTCTGGGCTAGTACAAGCAGCCACACATACACACACTCATGTTGTCATATGAGCAAAATGTTCTTAAGTACACCGTTATACCCCATTTCACCTCACTCACTCGCTCACTCACAAACTCACTCACTCACTCTGTTTCAGGTGACTGACGACCTGGTCAGCAAGTGGTCCTCTATGGTCAAGGAGGAGCACATTCCACTGGGCCAGTACATGTTTGCCTTCGCTATGAAGGCAGCACTGGTTACACTTCTCGGGGATTTATTTGAAAATGACAAAGAAGTTTTGACTGTCAAGACCCACTATGACTTGGTAAGTAATCAAACTAATGTATTAAAGAAAGCATAAAACAATTTGAAATGTTGTGAAAGTTGGAATGTTTCATGATCAGCCAACAATCAAATTGAAAATATGTCATCTGGAAAGTTGTTTCAAACCCTCCTGTAATTCAAGAAATGGTTGTGATTGCTAATGACTTTGTAATGGGTGTTGTATTATTGTTTTGCTGTGAACTTTTTCAGGTGTGGTCCGAATTGGAACACCGATTGGCTGAACCTACCATTCCAGATGATGACTCCCCCAGGGCAAAAGCGTTCACTGATTGTAAGATTGTTGTCAGTATTGATTGTAACGTTGTAGGTAGTATTTATTGTAAGATTGTTGTCAGTATTGGTTATTGTAAGGTTGTGGGTGGTTTGGATTGTAAGATTGTAGGCAGTGTTGATTGTTAGATTGTAGGGAGTATTCATTTAAAATTGTAGGCGGTATGGATTGTAAAGTTGTAGGTAGTATTGATTGTAAGATTGTAGATGGTATTGATTGTATGATTGTAGGCAGCATTGATTGTAAGATTGTAGGTGGTATTGATTGTAAGGGTTGTAGGTGGTATTGATTATTGATTGTAAGGTTGTAGGTGGTATTGATTGTAAGGTATTGATTGTAAGGTTGTAGTATTGATTGTAAGATTGTAGGTATATTGTAAGGTTGTAGTTTGTTGTAAGTATTGATTATGTAGGTAGTATTGATTGTATTGTATTGGCATTGTTGTAGGTTGTAGTATTGATTGTAAGGTTGTATTTGATTGTAAGGTTGTAGGTAGTATTGATTGTAAGGTTGTAGGCAGTATTGATTGTAAGGTTGTAGTTGTATTATGGATAGGTAGTATTGATTGTAGTATTTGATTGTAAGATTGTAGGTTGTAGTATTGATTGTAAGGTTGTAGGTGGTATTGATTGTAAGGTTGTAGGATGTATTGATTGTAAGGTTGTAGGCATTGATTGTATTGTAGGCAGTATTGATTGTAAGGTTGATTGTAGCATTGTATTGCAGTATTGATTGTAAGATTGTAGGTTGTAGTATTGATTATGGGGTTATTGTAGTCAGTATTGATTGTAAGATTGTAGTGTATTATTGATTGTAAGGTTGTAAGGTTGTAGATTGCAGTATTGATTGTAAGATTGTAGATTGGCAGTATTGATTGTAAGGTTGTAGGCAGTATTGATTGTAAGATTGTAGGCAGTATTGATTGTAAGGTTGTAGGTATTGATTGTAAGATTGTAGTAGTATTGATTATTGATTGTTGAAGATTGTAGTAGTATTGATTGTAAGATTGTAGGCAGTATTGATTGTAAGATTGTAAGATTGTAGTATTGATTGTAAGATTGTAGGCAGTATTGATTGTAAGGTTGTAGGCGAGTATTGATTGTAAGATTGTAGGCAGTATTGATTGTGGATTGTAAGATTGTAGCATTGTTGCAAGATTGTATTGTATTGATTGTAAGATTGTAGTCAGCATTGATTGCAAAGATTGTAAGATTGTAGTATTGATTGTAAGATTGTAGTCAGCATTGATTGCAAGGTTGTAGGCGGTATTGATTTAAGATTGTAGTCAGCATTGATTGCAAGATTGTAGGCGGTATTGATTGTAAGATTGTAGTCAGCATTGATTGCAAGGTTGTAGGTAGTATTGATTGTATGGTTGTAGGTGGTATTGATTGTAAGATTGTAGGCAGTATTGACTGGTTTGAAAGTTTGCTGGCAGTAAAAGTTGAATGTGTACCAGATTTAGATGGTGTCACAGAATCACTACAGCTTCTGTGGTGTACATATACTTGTTGACCCATGATCATAAACATGAAATTATGGCTGTATAGATCATGATTAATTGTAGAATTTGTGTTGACTTTTGTTTGAAAGGAAATATTTGTCATATGTGTAATAGTGCAGAAACAATTCAGTTTAGTAAAAATAAGTATTAAATTGTTGGGTGAAATTTAATCCATTGCTTTTTATCAAACAACAATCACTTGTATACCCTTTTTCTTGGCAGCTAAGGGTGTGATCTTGAATACCGTCAAGAAGTCTGTGGAATATCGTAAGAAGCATGGCAACAAGGCTGAGGATTACCTTCTGATAGATCGAATCCTAGACTATCATTCAGAAATGGACACTACCAAGCTGGACTGTTTGACGTACCTTGTCGGAGCATTCCACACAACTGCCAACTGTAAGTTTGTCTGATGTACCAGGTTGGGGGTTCAGACATGTTGTCTGATGTACCTGGTTGGGGGTTCTGACAAGTTGTCTGATGTACCTGGTTGGGGGTTCAGACAAGTTGTCTGATGTACCTGGTTGGGGGTTCAGAGGTGTTGTCTGATGTACCTGGTTGGGGGTTCTGACATGTTGTCTGATGTACCTGGTTGGGGGTTCAGACATGTTGTCTGATGTACCTGGTTGGGGGTTCAGACATGTTGTCTGATGTACCTGGTTGGGGGTTCAGACATGTTGTCTGATGTACCTGGTTGGGGGTTCAGACCAGTTGTCTGATGTACCTGGTTGGGGGTTCTGACATGTTGTCTGATGTACCTGGTTGGGGGTTCAGACATTTTGTCTGATGTACCTGGTTGGGGGTTCAGACTGATGTACCTGGTTGGGGGTTCTGACATGTTGTCTGATGTACCTGGTTGGGGTTCTGACATGTTGTCTGATGTACCTGGTTGGGGGTTCAGACATGTTGTCTGATGTACCTGGTTGGGGGTTCAGACCAGTTGTCTGATGTACCTGGTTGGGGGTTCAGACATGTTGTCCTGATGTTGTCTGATGTACCTGGTTGGGGTTCAGACATGTGGGGGTTCAGTCTGATGTACCTGGTTGGGGTTCAGACATGTTCCTGTCTGATGTACCTGGTTGGGGAGGTTCAGACATGTTGTCTGATGTACCTGGTTGGGGGTTCAGACGTGTTGTCTGATGTACCTGGTTGGGGGTTCAGACATGTTGTCTGATGTACCTGGTTGGGGGTTCAGACAAGTTGTCTGATGTACCTGGTTGGGGGTTCTGACATGTTGTCTGATGTACCTGGTTGGGGGTTCTGACATGTTGTCTGATGTACCTGGTTGGGGGTTCAGACATGTTGTCTGATGTACCTGGTTGGGGTTCAGAGATGTTAGTCTGATGTACCTGGTTGGGGGTTCAGACATGTTGTCTGATGTACCTGGTTGGGGTTCAGAGATGTTGTCTGATGTACCTGGTTGGGGGTTCAGACATGTTGTCTGATGTACCTGGTTGGGGGTTCAGACATGTTGTCTGATGTACCTGGTTGGGGGTTCAGACATGTTGTCTGATGTACCTGGTTGGGGTTCAGACGTGTTGTCTGATGTACCTGGTTGGGGGTTCAGACATTTTGTCTGATGTACCTGGTTGGGGGTTCTGACATGTTGTCTGATGTACCTGGTTGGGGGTTCAGACATTTTGTCTGATGTACCTGGTTGGGGGTTCAGACGTGTTGTCTGATGTACCTGGTTGGGGGTCCTGACATGTTGTCTGATGTACCTGGTTGGGGGTTCAGACATGTTGTCTGATGTACCTGGTTGGGGTTCAGACATGTTGTCTGATGTACCTGGTTGGGTGTTCAGACCAGTTGTCTGATGTACCTGGTTGGGGGTTCAGACAAGTTGTCTGATGTACCTGGTTGGGGGTTCAGACGTGTTGTCTGATGTACCTGGTTGGGGTTCTGACATGTTGTCTGATGTACCTGGTTGGGGGTTCAGACAAGTTGTCTGATGTACCTGGTTGGGGGTTCAGACATGTTGTCTGATGTACCTGGTTGGGGGTCCTGACATGTTGTCTGATGTACCTGGTTGGGGGTTCAGACAAGTTGTCTGATGTACCTGGTTGGGGGTTCTGACCAGTTGTCTGATGTACCTGGTTGGGGTTCAGACCAGTTGTCTGATGTACCTGGTTGGGGGTTCAGACAAGTTGTCTGATGTACCTGGTTGGGGTCTTCAGACATGTTGTCTGATGTACCTGGTTGGGGGTTCAGATGTACCTGTTGTCTGATGTACCTGGTTGGGGGTTCAGACATGTTGTCTGATGTACCTGGTTGGGGTTCAGACATGTTGTCTGATGTACCTGGTTGGGGTTCAGACCAGTTGTCTGATGTACCTGGTTGGGGGTTCAGACATGTTGTCTGATGTACCTGGTTGGGGGTTCAGATGTGTTGTCTGATGTACCTGGTTGGGGGTCCTGACAAGTTGTCTGATGTACCTGGTTGGGGGAGTTCAGACATGTTGTCTGATGTACCTGGTTGGAGGTTCAGTCGTGTTGTCTGATGTACCTGGTTGGGGGTTCTGACAAGTTGTCTGATGTACCTGGTTGGAGGTTCAGACATGTTGTCTGATGTACCTGGTTGGGTGTCCTGACAAGTTGTCTGATGTATCTTGTTGGGGGTTCAGACAAGTTGTCTGATGTACCTGGTTGGGGGTTCAGACATGTTGTCTGATGTACCTTGTTGGAGGTTCAGATATGTTGTCTGATGTACCTGGTTGGGGGTTCAGACCAGATGTCTGATGTACCTGGTTGGGGGTTCAGACATGTCTGATGTACCTGGTTGGGGGTTCAGACATGTTGTCTCATGTACCTGGTTGGAGGTTCAGATATGTTATCTTGGGGGATGAGTACCTGGTTTCTGATGTACCTGGTTGGGTTGTTCAGACCAGATGTCTGATGTACCTTTGGTTGGGGGATTCACATCCTAAAGGGACAAGTTGTCTGATGTACCTGGTTGGGGGTGATGCAGACAAGTTGTCTGATGTACCTGTAAGGATTGGAGGTTCAGATGTGATCAGATTTAGTCTTCAGAGAAATAATTCTTGCAGCTGTATTCTGTACTTTCTGTAGTCTGATGTACCTGGTTGGGGCCAATTCAGACTAGTCTGTCTAGATGTACCTGGTTGGGCACATTCCGCTGTGATGTATTCCTGACAAGTTGTCTGATGTACCTGGTTGGGGGTCCGACATGTTGTATGATGTACCTGGTTGGAGGTTCAGATGTGTTGTCTGATGTACCTGGTTGGGGGTTCAGACCAGATGTCTGATGTACCTGGTTGGGGGTCCTGACAAGTTGTCTGATGTACCTGGTTGGGGGTTCAGATGTGTTGTCTAATGTACCTTGTTGGGGGTCCTGACCAGTTGTCTGATGTACCTGGTTGGGGGTTCAGACGTGTTGTCTGATGTACCTGGTTGGGGGTTCAGACGTGTTGTCTGATGTACCTGGTTTGGGGTTCAGACAAGTTGTCTGATTTACCTGGTAGGGGATCGTGAAAAGTTGTTTGACATATTTGGGTTCAGGTCTTGTCCAGTTGTCTGACGTATTTGGTTTGGTATCCAGACCAGTGGTCAAACTTCTGTCTACGTGACATGAAACCGAACTCAATTGTTCTCTAATGTGTAATTATCCCCTGCCGCGCGTTTAACATGAACCTGGGGATTAGGCTCCGTCGGTCCGTACGTACGAATTGGAATATCTTAAGAACCGTTGACTGGATTCTTTTCATATTTGGTACCTAGGTTCATCATAGTAAAAGAAAGGTCCCAGTCAGGGTTGGCGACCTTGACCTTCGTTTCAAGGTCACAAGCGGACTTTAACGTTTTACCCTTGTCAGCGAGGTATCTCAAGAACCGTTCACTGGATTTCTTCATATTCAACACCAAGCTTTATCTAGGGAAGGTGCAGGTCCCAGTCGATTTTGGTGACCTTCACCTAATTTTCAAGGTCATGGTGACGCTCTGAAGATTTCAGCATGTTAAGCTGCATGTTAAGATTGTCAGCGAGATATCTCAAGAACCGCCCACTGGACTTTCTTCATATTTGACACAAAGCTTCATCTGGGGAAGGTGCAAGGCCCAGTCGATTTTGGTGACCTTCACTTAATTTTCAAGGTCACGGCGACACTTCGAAGATTTCAGCATCTTAAACTGCATGTTAAGATTGTCAGCGAGATATCTCAAGAACAGTTCACTGGATTTTCTCCATAGACTTTCAAGACTTCCCTTGAATGCTTTTCAATAAGCAATTTCTTTATTACTATTTTTGCATATTTCATACACTAAGACATTCATGTCAAGGTCAAAGTGAGTCTTGAAAATATTTGTGCGTTTGAACAACTACAGAGCAAGATATCAAGAGAGGTTGACTGGTCATGTTTTTGTTTACATTTAACTTCATCTTAAATTACAACCTTCACTTTCATTACTCTTTAAGTTTGATTTGATAATTTGCGGCGGGGGATTATGTCACCTTAGTGACAATGCTTGTTATCAATGTTGTATGTGCTGTTTCAGTGTTAACGTGGGCCTTCTACTTTTTGGCAACCCACCAAGACATCCAGGAGAAAGTGTACAAGGAAGTCATCAAGGTTCTGGGTCAAGACGACTTGGTGGAGCATCACAATCTCAATGACCTGAAGTAAGTGTGAGCTCTTGATCTTAATGACCTGGAGAAAGTGTGAGCCTATGATCTCAATGACCTGAAGTGTAAGCTCCCAGTCACAATGACTTGAAGTAAGTGTGAGCCCATGATCTCAATGACCTGAAGTAAGTGTGAGCCCATGATCTCAATGACCTGAAGTAAGTGTGAGCCCATGATCTCAATGACCTGAAGTAAGTGTGGTCATATGATCTCCATGACCTGAAGTAAGTGTGGTCCCAGGATCTCATTGACCTGAAGTAAGTGTGGGCCCAGGATCTCATTGATCTGGAGTAAGTGTGGTCCCAGGATCTTAATGACCTGAAGTAAGTGTGCCCAGGATCTCATTGATCTGGAGTAAGTGTGGTCCCAGGATCTTAATGACCTGAAGTAAGTGTCTTCCCAGGATCTCAATGGCTTGAAGTAAGTGTGGTCCCATGATCTCAATCACCTAAAGTAAGTTTGGTCCCATAATCTCAATGACCTGAAGTAAGTGTGAGCTACTGGTCTCAATGACCTGAAGTAAGTGTGGTCCCATGATATCAATGCCCTGAAGTAAGTGAGATCCCAGGATCTCAATGACTGCTCATTGAATTATTTAACATTTAAAACAACAACAAAAAACACCCAAATAAATGAATCACAATGTGTGCTTTAGCCAATGAGAATATTGATCTGTTAATTCAGCCTAATTTCTATACCACATTGATCAAGAAATTTCGCTTTGTATGCATAAGAATCTACAGTTCCTTGAATCTTCTCAAGACAAAAAATTTAGATATGCCACTGACTCTTGTCAACCCATGTCGTTTTCCTCGAACAGGTATGTTCGACAGGTGATTGACGAGACACTGCGATGTGCTGTTGTTGCTCCTTTGGCGGCCAGGTTTCAGGACTTTGATACAGAACTGGGAGGACACAAGATTCCTAAAAATGTAAGGATAGTAAGAGGCTCTCAGATGCATCATTGCCTTTGAAGGTACAGGTTACAAGGGGTCTTCGGCAGCCCATATCAATGCTGCAGTCAGACTGTGTAATTGCAGGATTCCCGCTAATTGTACTTACCTTGGCACTTTATTTATAAATTTATGAGTCAACAATGGTGCAAATTCATTATTTATAATATGTTTTTATATATCGGGCGCGCGTAATCAATTTCAAAATACGACTATTTTCATTGAAAGGTATGTCAAACATTCGGAAATCAAAATCAAAATATTGAAACTTCTAGAATTCAAAACGAGGCTTCGTGAGCTCTGCACATTGCTAGTACGTCTATTTGCATACGAAACTGTAATATGAATTTCTGTAAGGAGCTCGTTTCGCTGTATGGAGCTCGACTTGATGTACAGAGTTTATCATCAGATCTTTTTTGGCTGTCAAAATGTCAAAGAGAAGGATTACACTTTTGGTTATTGGCCCACACTTTCTAAAGGAAGGGACCACCTGGAAATGCAATCTGTTGTGAGGCTACTAATGGGGTGAGAAAGTGAGGACCACTGACCTGGCCGATGCATGTCGTATTATTACTGTTGGGAATTAGTTAGAAACTGATGATAGGTACATTACAACAGACCAACCATAGAAATCATTTATGAAATTTTCCTGTTATGTTTGTTAATGCACAATTAAAATAAAGAAAAAACATGCAGTTTGTAGCACAAAATGCATATGCAAATTTCACATATTTAAAGGATGAGTAGTATGTTAGGAACATTAATTTCCTGGAGTCTTTGAGATAAATTGAATCATGACTTGGAACGAGCTTGTAGTGGTCATGAAATGTAAATTTAATGACACAGAGAAAACCAGCGTTTGGAAAAATTGTTGATGCAAACAAGTGTTCCAAAATTGTTTGTGTTCGATTTTGAGAAAACATGATCAATTGCTTGGTGGTTTGGTCTCTGCGACCAATTGTCAATTATTTCAATTAATCGGACTACCACTACTTGTTATCCTGTTTGCTTTGATCCATGCTGTTTCATGGTAACCTTAGTATATGCAAACAAAGTATAGGCTCTGGCAGTGAGTATTTATTGTAGTGTCAATATTCACAATTTGTATTGACAGAATCATCACTAAGATTTTATCAATTCATTGTTATCACAATATGGAAAAACATCCATAATATAACGAGTACCCATGAAGATCCAGGTTAGAATTGGTCTTCAGCAACCCATGCTTGTCATAAGAGGTGCCTAACGGAATCCGTTGCTCAGGCTGGTTGGCTTGGCTGACACATGTCACTGTATCCCAACTTTGTAGCATGATGCTCATGATGTTGATCACTAGATTGTCTGGTCCAAACTCAACTATTTACAGACCGCCGCCATATAGCTGGAATATTGCTGAGTGGCGCCATTTAACAACCAACCAACCAACCAAGAGAAAGTGCAAGTTCAACAACCAAGTACAGAGTGTTGTTGATATAATACGGAAACAACTTATGAAACCGATTGAGTGAGTGAGTGAGTGAGTTTAGTTTTACGCCGCACTCAGCAATATCCCAGCTATATGGCGGCGGTCTGTAAATAATCGAGTCTGGACCAGACAATCCAGTGATCAACAGCATGAGCATCGATCTGCGCAATTGGGAACCGATGACATGTGTCAACCAAGTCAATGAAACTGACCACCCGATCCCGTTAGTCGCCTATTACGACAAGCATAGTCGCCTTTTATGGCAAGCACATGGGTTGCTGAAGACCTATTCTACCCCGGATCTTCATGGGTTGAAACCGATTGAGCACATTTCCTTCTATTACAGACCCCAGTGATCCATGCCCTAGGGGTGGTGCTCCAGGACGAAACCGTATGGCCTCTGCCTAACAAGTAAGTAGCTGTAACTTGAAGTGGTGGGAAAACCCAGGGGTTAAAGGTTCGTTCATCACACCAAAGACCTGGGTTTGATTCCCCACATATGGTTTACCCTGCCGTGATATTGCTGGACTAAAAAGCGATGTGAAACCATACTTGCTTAATTATTTATATAGCTGGATTATTCCTGAATTTTGCATTAAACCAATATTTTAACAACCAACCAAACCTTCTGCAGTACGATAAGCGGCATTTGTAAGCAAATAAGCATGAGTCAGGATAAGTATAACATATTAATTTTATCATAATAATTACATTTTGTTTGATATTTATTTGATATTTTATGTTCCACTATTTCAATCTGTTTACAGATTTGATCCTGATAGACTGTCGACAGAACAAAGTAAAGATCGACCTACCTTGGCATTTTCTCCATTCGGCTTTGCTGGGAAAAGAGTCTGTCCAGGATATAGATTTGCTTATGTTGAGAGCACAATGTGCATAGCATCTCTCATACGCAAGTTCAAGGTCAACTTAGTTGAAGGCCAAGTTGTGAAACCAAAATACGGCCTTGTCACACATCCCGTTGATGAAATCTGGATCACAGTCAGTAAAAGGAAGTAGCTGTGCTATTGCATACTTTGCTGTGGAGGAAAGAATGAAATGATAGAGTAACTTCCCCTGTTGTTCTGTACACAGAGCTACAGATAACTTTTTGGGTCATTGAGTTATGTACTCGCTTGTCTTCATCTCAATTGGGTGTCCTAATTTTCCTTTGAGTAACGAAATGAATTGTACTCACCTCACTCAAACTCAGTTGGGGATTTTGCCATTTTCCATTAATTTTAAAAATATAATAAATTTTAAATGTTAGTGTTTGTTATTTACATTTCATCTGTAATATGGGAAACAAAAAGAAAGACTGGAAGTTGTCAAGTTCATGTCCTGAAATAGAACCTCTCAATATACTTCAATTATTTTATCTATCCACCGATACACGCAAGCTACGATTTGACATTTTCTGTGTACGCATGTAAGATCACATTTACTGAGTATTTACGACACTTCAAACGTACTTGTACGCAATAGACTTAATAGGAATTGAGTTTTCACATAAATATTTGCGTAATTTACGCAGATATGCAGCTTATCTGTACCTCTGTGTACAAGTGTGAATGCAGCTGGATTGTGTTGAACAACACCATATTAAGCGGGCTGAGTTATTGAATTTAACAAAGTAGGAATTTATTTAAACCATAAACCATTTAAAATTTTTTTATCAGAGATTGATTAGAAGGGAACAAACTTAAATCAAACATTGATAAAGCTAACCTTGTTTATAATAGTGGTTACTAGGCAATTTAGAACCCTGTCTACACTGATATGATCTGTCAACAAATCTGTGCTGTGAACACTAAGGTATGAACTTTGATGTTTGTTTTCCGATTATTTTGTAGAATACAGTATTTCCAGACCCTTCCAATACCAGTAGTCTCCTGTCCTTAAACAGATTAAACAGGTCACAGGTTATACAGTTACCGGATGTGCTGGTATTCACTATATAGAGTTGTGTCCCTTGGTCATGCCAAGATCCTCTGATCAGTGTTTCTGTTATCTTTTTGTGGTGAATATGATCCTTGGAATCTCAAGATTATCACTTTTCTGCTTTCCTCCTGCTTTCAGCTGAAAGCACGATATCTACTGCTTCAAGCAGCATTGCACTCAATTCACTCACTAACTGAAACCTACTAAATTATTGGTCAGGCCTTAACTAATTATATTAATATTGTTTGCTATTGGCATGTACGAGGGGATATCAAAAAGTTCTAATTATCACCAAGACATAATTATTCAGGGTACAAACTTTATTTCGCTTTCTTGTCCTTATGATTTCTCTACGTAGTCACCATCCCGAGTTACACATTTCTGCCACCGTTTTTTTGACCTTGTGCAGACCGGCTGAATAGAAGTCCCCTGATTTCATGCACCTTGGCCTTTTTCGGAGGGGTGACGTGGCATGTTTCCACTCTTTACTCATCTCTCTTGTCTCAGGATCATACAAATAGACCCAACATTCGTCCATGGGTACAAGACATCTGAAGAAATCCTCTTCACCCTGCTCCAGAAGCTCCAGTGCCTGTTGTAACATGTCCCGTCGAGTCTGTCTTTGAAGATGAGTCAGTAAGCGAGGAACCAAACGTGCTGGACACTTTGGACATGTGCAGTTGGTTATGAATGATGTTCCATGCACTGCCATAGCTCAAGTCGGTCTCATGCATAGCCATTTGTATTGTTGCACGGCGATCTTCCTGAACCAGCGCCTCGACTTTTTTTCCCGGTGTCCAAATCATCAGTAAGTGAGGGGTGTTCACTTCTTGGCTCACCTGTGAGGGACATGTGACCAGTTTGGAAATTCCTTTTCGATGTCACAACAGTGTCATAGGATGGGCTATCATGACCATAAACAGATTTCATCTCATCGTGAATTTGTCGTGCAGTGCAGCCCTTCAAGTGCAAGAACTTAATTACACTGCGCGCTTCAATCTTGTCCATACTTGTGGTTACTGGTGTGTAGGATCAACTCGCACATGACTGAATGTAGTGAAGAAGATAGTTCTTGGTCCATTAACTAGATAAGGATCACTGATGTTACAGTCAAAATTTTATCCTGATTGCTCAATAACCTCTTGGTGATAATTGGAACTTTTATACCCCCTCGTATATCCTAAATACACCATAAATACCATATAAACATGATAAAGTTAGTGCCTCTGATGCTGATATCCAGTCACAGGGATTTATCTAGACATAATCTGAGGCTGATATTTGACCCAAGGTCTGCTACATTTAAATGCCCAGTTTCTCTGAATTATGGGGTAGCAAAGTGGTTGAAGTGGTCGCTTGTCACACCAAAGACGTGGGTTCAATTCCCCACATTGGTACTAAGTGTGAAGCCCATTTATGGTGTCCCCCACCAGGATATTGTGGAATATTGCTAAAAGCTGCATAAAACTAAACTCACTCACTCCCTGAATTATCACAATTGGCAGATGATAACAGATCACAAAGTTGACAACAAAGTTGAATGGTATATTTCCCCGATTTACCGATTTGCAAATGCCACTTGGTTCTAATCCTAAATACATCCCCGAATCAGTAATCAGAATAGTAGTCCAGAATTATTGTGTATGAAAGTAGCCAGATTTTTCAATCTTCAGCCAAATTCAGCAAAAGTGATGTATTTTTCTTTCTTATAAGATATTTAAAACAAAAGATTAATAATCATGTTGACTTGTGTTTTGAATGTTTATACAGTGTTTGTGTATGAGGAAGAATCTGACAAGAGAGCACGTTCTGAAACATGTAAGTTTGAGAGTGCGAAGCTGCCTTGTGTGTGTCCTCTTTAATGACTGCCACTTGCGTGCAAGCTTAAAACGCTAGTGCTGTCTACCCACTTTACTGCCAAACTATGTTCCTGGTCCATGTTCCACAGAGCAATGGTAGCTGTATGATAATCGTAAGCCTATGTTAAAGGATGGGAGTTACGATCTCATAAGCACTAAGAGTGCTTTGTGAAACGGGCCCTTGGATTGTTTTCTGTTTATCATTCAACGGGGATTTCTGTTGTAGGGTAACTACAAAGTATATTGAAAGTACTGGGGTCCATGTTTTAATCATCATGTTTAGAGATACATAAGCAACAGTGTAAGACTTGGTCCAACTCACAGTGAGTTAGAACTTGCCTATGCAAAATTTGAATGCTGCTGGTTTCAAATAACAATTAACTTTTAGTTGTACAAGTACAAGTTATTAACTAGAGGGATACATAAAATCACGTAAACCATGCCTACCCTGAGGGATACCGTTGCAAACTTTGCTGATTTGTTTCAATCTTTTCATGGTTAATGGTTTGAAAAAAACCCAGCTGTTTGATTGAGCAAAGGTTAACTTGAGCTTTGTCTCATGACTTGTATTCCTTCTAATTCTGAACTAGATGCAGTATTTTATTTCATGACAGGCTGCAAGAGAAATGCACATGCAGTCTGTTTTCTTCGTGCCATGGTATAAAGAATATATTATCCTGCTCGGAAATATATATCCATCTCAGGTGAGATATGTAGTTCTTAATCAGAATCATGTAAACCAGTTAGATCTCTTCATTCTAAAATTTAGACAATATAAAATGATTTGATTCACAGTCATGCCATGCGAGAAGGATATTTAAGTTTCTTAGTGACTGAAAACCAACTTCATGAGAATGTGATTGGCTGTTCCTCAATCCAGTGCCTATTTTCCTTAATGGTTATAAGTAAAATATTTTATATATTTACATTGGATCACCATGATGAGCGTGGAAGTAAGTTGTCTGCAAGTGCTTGTTGAAATGTGATATTATATGGAATTTAAAAAAAAAAATAGATACTAACTACTGTTATTTCTGCCTCTGAACATCTGTCTTAAACACATTTTTTGGAAAACATGAAAAAATATAAAGAGTAGAGGTGTGACGATACAGAAATATCACGATACGATACGTATTGCGATATCTTGGAACGATACGATTCGATTCGATGCATATCACGATATGCTATCTTTAGTTATTTTCTTTCAAAATGTATATTTTGATAGCAAGTAACAGTGTCAAGTTTGACATAACCGCCAATTTCTGGTGAAAATTAATAATTTTAAGGTCAACGATACATATCACGATACGAAAAAAAGTATCGATATATTTATTGTCAGAAAAAGTATCATGATTATTGATACTACGATATATCGTCACAGCTCTAATAAAGAGATAGTCTCTTTCATCAATTTGAATGAAACTTCCATAATACATTAATATATTGTTGCTGCATGTAGTATAAGATATAGACAAAATATGTATTAAGTTAATACCCTACAAATTAGAATGTACTAGAATAGATCGAATATCAGTGTTCATGATACTTTGAACCAAAATCCTCAGTGAAAGGCATGTAAACTATGAAATTAGAATGTAGAAAAGAAAGCATTTATTGGGAACAAGGGTGTGTCTTTCTTTTTTTCTGATGAGAGCATGTTTATCCAGAAGTAATAATGGTGTGGTATGTGTGATTTGTGATAGGATGGTAGTGGGCTGTTTGAACAATGTCAGCATTGTGTAATATATACATCTAGCAAAATGTTAAGCACTGCCTACTCTTGGCCATGATGATGAGTCATTTGAATCATATTTCCTTAATGTTTTGACTGAAAAAGATCATGACTGACAAAATGGTATTTTGAAAGTAACTGAAATTAATAATTCAGTGACATTTGTTGTAAGTCAATAGATATTGGACTGCCCTATTTACAGGGATGAGAATTTTCCGCTGATCTGTGGAATTCCATGGATTTGATTGAGCTGGGGTCATTCTTGTGAATCGTCTAACTCTCGAGAAGAAAGACCCTTGGGCTCATTTTCCTCTTTTTTGGACTCGTACCCATTCTCATCCCTGTACTTAGTAAAGGTGCAGCCCACTGGTCATAGAAAACTGGTCCACAGCACATTGCTGAACAATTTTAGGTGAAAAACAACTTGTCATTTAGTTCTACGCTAATCTTGGACAAACAGTGTGTAACCATCTTTGTGTTTTTCTACTTCGAGATCATACAATAGGACTGAGCAGCAGGTACTTACGACTGTCATCATCAGTGTTTTGTGTATTACTGCAGATGTGGTGCTTTACATATTTCACAAAATGAAATCAATGGTAGTGTTAGTCATGAAAATGTACAAGAAGTGTTGC